AGGTACGATTCATATAGTAGTATTGTAATTTTTGAGTTTTTTTGAGAGTTAAATTTTATTGCGGGTACTCATTATTTTTAGGACATATTTAAATGGAAATAATAATATTGTCTAATTTCCAATTTTCTTAATAGTAAAATTGATACAAATTAACCATAAAATTTGTCCTTTGGACAGATGTGAAATAAAGTTTATTTAATATTTTCATCAACATAATATTCATATACATTTTACATATATTAATTATTTTATAATAAAATTTAAATATCTGATGAGTAATTAAATCCAAATAGTGCCTAAAAAATTAACTGACATCATCTAATACGTTGGTTTTAAATCAAAGGTGATGAATTTAAATAACTTTTCGTTTAATTAAATTACTTATAACAGCGGCTGCATCCGATCCCATTATCCAAGGATGCCTTTTTTAAAAATTATTTTTGTCAATCATAGCCAGATCGAACTACCGACTGACCTGTTGAATCCACTTCGTTGTTGACTTTTTAAAATTTTTTTTTGCATTTTAAGTTATACTTATGAAAATGATGAAAAAAGTTTAAATACAATACGTGGAAATGTTTGACGTTATTTATCATTAATCCATAGGTATATATTGTACATGATGATCAATAAGGCACTCATTATATTGGAGAGTATGATTTTTTTGGAAATTCATTTTTCAAAAAATTTAAGATACACGCTCTAAAATAATTGTTCCAAAAAATAACGGAAATTTAACATTTTGGAGAAGCTTGTTTTTTAAAATATGTTCTACAAAAAAATTGGTGGATAAAGTTTATAGTTTCCAAGATAACGATTGTCTTACGTTATGATATCACCTTGGAAACACTTGGGTCTAATATTGTTCAGTTTCTTTTACAATGAAACTGCAATAAAATATATAAAATATCTTACTTAATTTTCTTATTTTTTTTGTTGTAATTTATGATTCGAGGTAATTTTTTCATAGGTAGGTATAGTACCTACTAGGTACTATCCTCTAGAATATCTCGGGAATAATAAAAATAATCAAGTAAATAAATAAATAATAAAGTAACAGCCGTTTTAAATTCTATTAATCTGTGTGAAAACCGATGTTATCTAGGGATTAACCGCGTTACGCGATAACATTGGTTTTCATACGATTAGAACAATTTAAAACGACTGTTACTTCGAAACTATTTATTGGATATCAATGTGTAATACATTATAATTTTCAAAAAAAAAAAAATTCTACATAACTATCTTAAAATTTTCCAAAAATAAAAAGTTATTTTTTAATTTTTTTTGCATTAAATTTAAACAATTTAATACAAATTTAAATATTTGTAGTCCTTATCCCTGTGAGTAACATAAAAAAAAGAAACAGAATTTGATTATCCTTTTTATCTCCTGAAATATTCAATGGGTCTTCGGGGAATATCTTGGTAGAATAAAACGTATAAATTATCAGTTGAAAAAATCAGTTGATTTTCGATTTGTTCTTTAAGGGAATTGTATGTTTCGAGTGTTTGATATATATGACTGTATTCGTTTTATTTTATGTTCAAAAGCATTGAAATAGGCATTTTTTTAAGATACCTTATACTGAATAAGATATATTTTATCATATATTGCCGTCTATATTATAGTTTTTTTAGACATTGGATGAAATCAATTGCAAAAATTGACTACCAAAATTCATAATATTATCTTTTATTGCTACTCTTAAAAAGATAATTCATGTATGGTAAATAATTAATCTAAGTTTTAACACCAATTTGTACAAAATCTTTGAAGATTTTGTAAATTTTAGGTTTTTCAGTCATTTATACATTTGTATATATTTAATGACAATATTAAGTATACAAATAAATATATTTAATCGTCTTTTTGTATTCAAAAATTTATCTCGCAAAAAATATTCAAATGCTTATTTTAAATATTCGTTCTTTTACATTTTTATTTACTTAAATAAAAATTTTTTTTAGCCCGAAAAAAGTTTTAAATTGTGAAAAAAATAAATGTTTGATTTTATATTGTAAATTGTATACAGTCGATTATATAGGCACCACTTAATAAATCATTGAAAATATATAAATTATTTATTTTTAATCTTTTATGAAAGTATCATATTTAATTTATAACTACAATACGTCTATAGATTATTTACATAGTAGGTATTTGAAATAAATAGTATATAAAAAACTAAGTAAAATATATTCTGATATATATTTTTTAATTCGTAGTTAGAAATCATAAACTACATTAAAGTTAATGATGCAGTGTTGACATTTTAACCATTAAGGATGATATCGAGAACATTAGTAATGAACAGAAGTTCAGTGGCAATTTCCGAAACAAGAATAGTTTCGTTACTAATAGCAGTTAATATAACCAAAGATAATGTTGATGATGACGAAAATCAAATAAAATATTATTTTAAAATAATTTTATTTGTATTGATGACGACTGTAGAATGTTTATTCATCTTGCACCATATAGTCACGCAAAGTCACGTCTTATTAACGAGTTCGTTTTTATTTTTTTATAAACTATCTCTCAATCAACTATTTTTAGGTATATTATACAATAAGTTTTTGAATTGAATTTAAAACATTTCGGTGAAAATAATATTATAGTTTATTAATTGTAAAAACAAAAAAAAAAAAATGTTTTTCAATTTAAGGGTGTTATATCAACAAGTCAAATGCAGTAGAATTTCGGGATTATTACGTGCATAATTGGATTTGTGATTTAAATGATAAATCATTGCTATTAAATAATAATTCAGAGAAAATTTATATTAAAAATGTTTTGAAAGGTTGTTAGTTGAACGATTTTTGTCAAAATTTGAACTGAAAACACTCAAAAAATAAAAATGTTAAATTATGTTCAATTGTTTCCCCACTAAGCATAACTTTTGATAAATCTCGGTGTTAAATTTTTGAGCAGTATTTTGTACTTAAACAATTTTATCTACATAAATCAAAAAAAAATACACCAAAAAACAGTAGACAATTTTAAATGGTTTCAAATAGCTCAAATATTGCCAGAATACCTTGAAGAATTGACCACATCTAGAAAGTGCTAATATTCTAGTATATTTTAGTATTTTCTGGTATTCAATAAAAAAATTAGGTCTAAACACAATTATATTTAATTAAATTACAATAAAAAACCAAAATAACGAAAACCGTTATTGCGTACATTTTTCCGTTTTCAACTGTTTTTTCACGATTTTTTCAAATTATTTTGAATTATTAAAATGTATCTCTTCAATTTTGTACTATAAACTATTCCTGGAGTTGACAGAATAAAAGTGTTGGTAGAAAAGTTATTTAGGTAGACAAAAAACAAAATTACGAATCATAGTAAATCAAATACGTTCCTCGCTTTGTTTAAGATCTAAACATAAAAATAAACCGCATTTTATAAACCTCCCTAGTGAAATTTCCCTTTAGAAAAATTGGAGTTATCCACAGAAAACAAAAATAAACATCTTTATAAAATCATAAGCTTTTTTGTTTCACTCAGAATCTAAATTTGTACTATCTTTATTTTAGCATCAATAATCTAAATCTAGACATTACTAGGTATAACATTTTTTTAGTTGAAAATCCATCAACTAATTTTATTAATAATAAGTTTTTTTTTAAAAAAAAATGTCAATGCTAAAAGAATATTTAGGTATTTATATAAGTTGTCAAATAATAAATAATGTTCATGTTAATCACCTTTACAATGTAATTTAAATATTTTTTTATACTTTAGGTATTTTAATAAATATCCTTTTTCCAAGACTAAGAGATAACATATGAAAGCTTGTTTCAGTCTATTATTAATTATAGTTTACTCTTTTGGACAGTGTCGGATCTAGAACTCAATCAAAATGGATAGGTAGCTTAAAAATCGTAATACACCACAAATTATTGTAAGATTATTTTTCGTTCAATAAAAGCAACAGTTAATTTTTTTTGAGTTCCTCTCCTTGCCAATTAAAATAACTAATTTGTAATATTTCTAATATTATACAGAAAAAAAAAAAGATGTATACCGTGTGTCTCAAAAAACAGTCACTTTATCACTCATTAACCTGTAATTATTTTCTAATTCTCTTTGCGGGACATTAAACTAGACTAATTGATAATAAATTCCTAAGACTCTCAATATTTTTAACTCATGTATCTTGCGCATGCGCAACAAAACTTACTTTATTTTAAAAGCAACCCCTATTTTGAATATCATTTTCGGATTCATCAATTTTTTTCAAGTCATTTTGATGCACCAACGTGTGTTCTAAACCCTAAATTAGCTTAACTAGAACTAAATAGAATTTAAAAAAAAAAAAATTAATTTAAATTAATTTTTTTTTATCTGTACGTACTTATTTTTTCCTTATAAACACCATGAAACAATCACAATTATTATTATTAAATATATCAATTATTTACTAATTCTAAATTATTATCTTATTTTATTACACATTATGAAGTAACATAGTTTAAACATGTGTTTTCAGGAAAAAAAAATTCTAAATTTTTATTTTATTTTTTTTTAACAATACTATACATTTTTATTGACAATTTAATTTACAGAAATTACAAATATAATCTATTCAATAAACTGTTCGAAAGTCCCTTCGTTGTGTAAAGTGCATGCCTCGAATCAATGTAAACATTCAAGAGTATTTGCTAACAGTAATTGATTTTCATTTTAGAGGCTACACGCGTGTGTAATTTTATTCTTTAGTTTATTCCTTTATTTATTCTTCAGTTTACACAACTGTAAGGGACAAGTGTCCCCGCAAAAAAAATCTAACGGTGTTAGATCAGGTGACCTTGGAGGCCACTCTACTGGTCCATGTGTTGCAATTAATTTTTCACCAAATCTTATTCTTAACAATTCTTGGACAATTCGGGCGTTATGAGCAGGTGCCTTGTCTTATTTATAATACATGTTTCTACATGTAGCTAAAGGTAAATCATCAAGGAGTAATTGCAAATCATTACGCAAAAAATTTAACTTCCCGTTAAAGTTCCGTCATAGAAATAGGGCCCTAGTAATTTCTTACCAATCAAACCAATCCATACGTTTGTACCCCAAAATGCTTGGAAGTTAATAGGAAAAGTCCAATGAGGATTTTCATTCAACCAATAACGATTATTTTGTTTATTTAATATTTTATTATTAGTAAATTTACTTTGGTCAGTCCACAAAATATGATTAATTAATAATGGGTCTTCCTCAGATATCACCATATACTAAGAAATAAAATTTGATTTAAAAAAAATTCAAACTATAACTTTATAACACCTATTGACAATAACGAACAGAAAACGTCGAATTACAAAGACCACAATGACACATGACTCTGAAAATGAGTCTAATAATACTTAATATAAAAATAGGTAATGGCATTTTAATAGGTATAGATAGATAACAAAACTAGAATACTAAATTATTTCATGTGTTATAATAAAATAAGATAATAATTCATAAATAGTAAATAGATAAGGCAATTTTGGGTTTAGAACATAAGTTGATACATCAAAATGACTTAATATAATTAAATGTGATTCAATAAGATTAAATAATAATAAAATTAATAAAATAATATGAAGGTATAATGTTAATTTTAAGAATTTTATTCTAATATTCTAAAAGTACCTATATTTGACGTATTATCTTGACAAAACTTATTTAAAATTAAAAAAAATATATATGAATTATGAATTATATTGCAATACTTGTTCTCCTCATTAGGCAATAAATTGGTTGTTGCACGAAAATATCTGGTTTATGACATTTAATGACAATATAAGTGTAAATGTAATAACAAAGTATTATTTCTTGTTGCAAATACCACAGTTCCAATGTATGTAGCAGAAAATAAACAAATTTATTCATGTCGATGTATATGACATAAATATTTATGTTTAAATGTATGATAATAAGTAATATTACCTACTGTGAAAAATTTAAAATTTATGGATGTTTCAGTTTTAAACTAAATGAGTTTGATCATTATCAGATGAGTCCTTCGGGCATAAGTCGATATATGACAACAATATTTTAAAGCAATATTAATTTTTTTCCCCTGCAAACTAATCTATGACTACTGCCTCGACATTCACATAGATATCCCTATATGTTTTCTAGATAATTGCCCTAGTTATATAATTATCACTACTTTTTGGTAATGCTGATATAAATACCTAAGAAATAATAAATAACATGGGTATAAATACTACATTATTTTATAACCTATATACTATAACTGTGATTAAAAATCGCAACTAAAAAATTCCAAGGAGGGAATAGTTCACCCATCGCTCTCCTCCCCCAATTTAATTTTATAAAAGCGTTAAATAATTGATTTAGATTTTGTTAATTTTTCTCTTTAAGTTATGTTATAAGTTTTATTATTGATTATTTGTTTAATTAACTATGTTCTTTTTTTCTCTGTAATTAATTTTATTATATTTAGAACACTTATTTACAGCACAGTCATTGACTATAGTTGATAAACCAATAATTTTGATTATTGTTGTTTGGTGAAAAATATTATTATTATTATTATTATTATTATTGTATCTACTCGTGATTAAATGGATTTTATATTAAATTTAAATAAATATCTTCAGCATTTTTTACACTTTAACAATATTACTATTTTTGTCTTTATGCATTCAATTGTTCAACATTACTCTAATACAATTCATAATTTGTACCTATATAATTATGTAGAATAATTTTATTTACGAGTACAAGCCACAATATAAATCGTGTACACGTTTAAAAGTGGGCATGTCTATAAGACACAAATAAAATTAAGTAGGTATTTTAAATGTTCCAGTATTTTATTCTGGGATCAACGTTAAATCAAATATCATTTAATGTCAAACGAAGATTTCAATTAAATTAATTAGAGCGGCAGAAGTTCTTATCGATAACACTGCCAAATCGAGTGGTCTATTTTCCAAATCATTAAATTTTCGTAGGTATTTTCAATTTGTACAGATTCCATCTATTGCGCGGTATTGAACGCGTCTACAAATGGATACAAATCGCTTTATCGGAGAATATCCAACGTCATGGACAGCTAAAGATATTTCGTGGGATCTAAAAAATCAAACATATTAGATAAAATACATGACAAAGTTTACCTACTATGTTAAAGTAAATTTATTCAAAAATTGTACACATATTTTCTACAAAATAATTTATATTATTATTATATATATTTTATATAAATAATATAGGTATATTATATATAGGTAATATAAGTGTATTAATATACATTCAAAATTTGAAAAAAAATAATTACCTTTTTTGGCCGGTTTTAATGTATTCCAAACAATTTATTTAATAACTGCCATTGAAAAATGTTATCCGAGATTTTACGCAATGCTCCTAAAAGTATCGTTCATAATTCAGTTGTGAAACACACATAAATGTGCGTGTATTGTTTTTCAATTTTTTTGGGGTCAAAATTAAATGTGTACAACTTTTAGACTAGGCCAAACATTTACCTTCCATTTATAAGTATACATACAGAAATCAACACTCATTTGTAGGTGGTGCTGTATAATTGCAATTCTACATTTTCTGAGTACAATGTTGTTTTGAAATCGTACATTTCATTTTGTTGTGATATTATACGTTTTTCCTCTCATATATAATAATAATTATTAACAATGTATGATGAAAATATTGAGTGACAACCAATAATAATAATAATACCGACCAAATATTTTATTGTATTTGGCGTATTTTTATGAATGGGGAATTTAATTAATTTAAATTTTTATGATATTTTTACGAAATACCATAGTATATTATATTATTCGTTCAACTTATAGAAATAAAAAAAATAAATATCTTATCATTATAAACAATATTTAGTCGTTTTATATTTTGAGTTAAGTGAAGAAGCTATTTTGTTACATTGATAAAGTACGTTTATATTATTTATTTTAATAAATTTAATTAAACAAATACTGAACATTCTTAGACACACATTGATTAATTTGAAACAAGATAATAAGATTACAATATTTTGTTTTTAAATATAATTTCCATGATGAAAAGTATTTAAAACACGATCAAACTATTTTCATTATCCAAATAAATTCATTAATAAATAAATAAAACTCGAATAACATCCATTATATAAGTTACGACTATACTGAAATAATAATTACATCGTTTTGCCTTGGATAAATCTTTGAAATGTGTTTTACTCGAATACCTACCTGCAATTTTAGTTGAAACACCATACGGTTACATTAACAGTAATAATAATAATAATAATTTATTGTCAAAGGATAAAGTTATAAAAGCAGGATACATCCAGAAGACATTTTTAATTTTTGACACTACCTCAAAAGCATATTATACTTGCCTAATGAAAACAAAACCGTAATACCATTTCTTTAATTTATTTAATGACACTGGTCAAAAGTAAACATATTTTTAATATAGCAATCCTTGTTACTAGAATATATTAATATACGTTTATGTCGTTGTACTCTATTAGGTTATTAGGTACCTAAAATATGAATATCACTTTGCTTAAAGTTTTAAATGGGGAGATTTTATGTCGTGGAAAGTCTAAAGTAAAACATTATTTTTCTGTAGAATACTTTTCTACTAGCAATTTTGCTTCAACTTAGAACGATAGCAATTTTCCCAAAAGGAAAGCCGACTGAGAAGGTACTTTAGAGTTGTCATTTTTCAGGAGTTTTCTCAGCAAATGTGAAAAACCGGGAAAAACATGGAAAAACCGAGAATATCGGTACAACATTAAACAAATATTACTAAAGAAAATATATAAAGCCTATTTAATTATTTTACTATATTATGGCATATATATTTTTGACAAAGCATTACTATCATCTGAACTCCACTTAGAATCATATTTTCATCATAAGCAATGGTTTATCGTTGTTTATAGATATATATTAAATTACCTATAACAATGGCTGCAAACATCTCCATTATCCTAGAATGTATTTTTTTTATGTTACTCACAGGAATGAGGACTACATATATTTATTTTTGAATTAAACTTTTGTATTTTATATTTTCGGGAATTATTTTAATCTACGGAATAACATAACCGTGTTACGCGGTAACATCGGTTTTCACACGGATTAGTAGAATTTAAAACAATTGTTACTTAAAAATTATTCACATATAAATGTATGATAAATTAAAATTTTTATAAAATTAAACTCTACAGAATAGCTATCTTTAAATTTTCCGAAAATAATAAAATAAAAAGTTAATTTTTTAAATTTGTCTACTATAAAAAATAAACTTAAAAATAAATGTTTGTAGTTTTTACCGCTGTGAATAATATAAAAAAAAAAAATCAGAGTTTGATTTTCTTTGATATCTCCGGAGATATTCAAAGAGTATATCTTCGTGGGACAGCTTGTATACATACAATGTTCTATTTTTGAAAAAATGTCTGGGATCTTTATTTGCGGAGACCTCTGTCCAGATCTCTAGAGCCTTCTTCTCTCTAAATACGACCTTACAGATCAACCTAGCCTAACTTAACATGACTGAACAAAACACTTATTATTCCGTTATAAAATAAACATTAAAACAATATAATATACCTATCTATTTTTTTTTAAATAAACAACTAGTCTAATTGATTTTTATTTTTAAACTTAATTTATTTAAATATCATTTATTTATAGGCACTAAATCTAATCATTACTTCAAAATTGCATCTGTGTTATAGACGTTATATTGGTTACATGCAAGTGAAATGTAAATAGTAATTACTTTACTTATCAACTGTATAATACAATAATAACCATGCACTATTTATATAAATATTTGTTATGGTTATTATTTGGATATGACAAATATGATTAATATCAATGTCCGGTATATTGTTTCTTACCGTTTCATTGCAGAACTAAAATGGAAAATATCGAAATCATATCAGAACATCAGAGTATCAGTGTATCAGACTCGTAAGTATTTCTAGTATAGTTTTTAAGTGTCGTGAACTCTCGTTATTCTTGTCAATAAAACACACGTGTGCAATATTTAATCGGATTGTCGACTAACATACTGTAGGCTTAAATATGGTTCTGATAAAAGTTCTGTCAGCATACGGTTCGGTTAAAATACGGTTTGGTTCAAATATGTTCCGGATTAAATATTTATTAGCTAAATTATTTATCGGGTAAATTATACTTCGGCTGAAATATATCTGGCTTTTAAGGTGCTCTCAAATGACACGAGTCTAAAATTATACCTACCTAAATCGTGGCATCGTCAAAATGTTGGTATATTATTGTTTTTTAAATTATAAATATAACGGTATTTGATTGGTGATTAGACTCTATGGCAAAATTGGTGATTTTATTTTAGGACCACTGAAGTCATTAAATTAAAATTAGGGGTGTAAATTTAATGCAGTAAAAAACCATAAAAATGTATAAAACATGCACAAAAAACGTCAAAAAATGCATAAAAAAGGAAAATATAAGTTTCATAAACGAATTATGTACTTATAAAGCATTTTACAATCAGCTAAAAAAATGCACTTTCCTAAAAATTCATAACCTTAATTATTATATTGTATTATTAAGCTTACTAATATTTTATATATACATATATATTCACAGTTACATTAGCTATAGAAGATATTAAAATCTTATAATATAAAATTCAATAGTAGCTAAAATTATTACCAAGAGAATGAGTTTTACATGACGAAGCTCTTTGTAAAAACAGATAAAAAATGTAATACTAAATATTAACATTCATTCATAACTAAATATAATATTATACATAGCTAGATTTCAAAAATTAAATTACTTATTTATGCAGAATTGGACAATGTGGTTTAAAAAGTATGATATTATGATATTATTAGTATAGTTAGAGGATAAAAAACCAAGTTATTCAAATATAATAAAGTGACAGGAGGGGAGATTTTGGGACTGTGTATGAATGAACATAGGTAAAGAAAGGTTAGAGTGACAAGTCATTTGATTAAATTATTTTATACTACTAAAGCACTTTTGTTGAGGAAACTAAAGAGCCAAATACAGATTATCTAATAATTACATTTAATTTATTCCATGAACGTAAAATCTTTTAACAAATCTCCTATATATATTAAAATAGTCCTTTTTTGTCAAATTTTAAATTTTGTTTATAGTACCTTTTAATATTTTTTTTTGTATAATAAATGAAAAATATTTGTAAAATTTGCGATTGATTATTCAATTATATATATAATTGCTTAGGACGAATCTATAAATTTGGCTTTACTGTTTATTTAATATGAATTCATACCTACTAGAGTCTGTCAATGTGGCGTGTTAATGTGTAGTATCTATGTATAGGGCAGTGACCGCAGTGATGGTTGTTGGTCATAGGAGTATAGCTTTAAATATTTTAATAATATACCTCTTCCAGTTTGACGACATGATTAACAAGATTTACAACCTGTTTTCGTAACAGCCGCAATCAAAGTCATAATATATAGAATATACCTATTATAAAATATTATTATAAGACATAATAGCGTATTGTAATTTGTAGTACAGGAACATTGCCATGGAATTTTAGAACAGTTTTAAATGAGACACCAATCAACAATAATATTCCTTATCACATAACCAAAAAGTATACAGTGGCATACTGATAGGATAGCATGGCAAGTAATGAACCACGGGCTTATGAAATTTAAGGGCCAATGGCCATTTAGGGCCCAAGGCATTATTTGTCAGTGAATGGACAGGTGAATAAAAAAGTATTGTTATACTTATTAAGTAACATGAGTGGACAGACAGATATATAAAAACATACCTGACCAAAATGTGTAAATTGGGACCCAACTCAGATAGTGGCACTTAGCAAGGCCTTGAAATTATTAATGGGAATTGATGGATTGATAGAATACAAATTATTATTTTGATAATTTGAAAGTTTCTGTATTAGTATTTTGGATATTACATAATTTATTAATTTATAATACAAATTAATTGTCTTTTATTTAAGTTCAGAAGGGGTGTGATGGTCACGTCGTCCCCACAGTGGTCTCAAACGTTAATTTCCACGTCAAAAATCATACAAAATTTCGAAATTTTAATTTAAATTTTTAATTGTTTATAATAAAAATGTACAACCCTAATATTTACACCCCAAGGAACCTACATATTAATTTTTTAAATGTTATTGATAAATTTACCTTACTCCTAGTGTTATTTTCACACGGTTCTTTCTAGTATAGATGGTATGTTACCGGAATTTGTACTTTTCGTGGGTATTTTTCTAACTTAAATAGTTTTTTCTTAATTTTTTCATACGATTAATTTGAAGTTTAACGGCTTTAAATTATGTAAAAAACAAAAGTGCATTGTTTTTATTTTTAATTTTTTAATTTAATTAATACAATTTTTTATCTTAAATCTTAAAACAGATTCGGGGCGGAGCGAAGAATCGCTAATAGAAATAGTAAAATTTTAAAAATATTTTAGCGATATGTAGGCATTTTATGTTTACGAGTCTTTTTTTACATAATTTTTAATTATCAGGTACTACTCAATCGATTTTGGTAAAATAATGTTCAATGTGTGTATAATTAGGTCCAACTTAAAAAGATAAGATAGTCTTCAACGTTCCATTTTCATTCCCATGAATTATATCGGGGTTTTTAGGTACTTTTGATACGAATATCTAATTGTTTATATTTTATTTATTTATTTTTGTTTATTTGCGGATTACCTTGGTGATATTGGTGATACAGATGATAATTTGATTATCACGGTCAAGAAAATTACTGTTATTATTATTTACACTATTATCTAGCAATACCAAAGCATAGCCAGGTTAGCTAGTATATATATATATGAGTTACAATAAAATCGTATTATTGGCCGTTTTTGATATAGATAACGTTTGTCTCCATTTTACCTTATGGAACCGTAATTTCTCCACGGAGTACTAGTTTAAATTATTTTCTGTGATTTTGGGTAGTTCCTTAAAAAAATAAAAAAAGATTTAACTATTCTATGTGGACGGATTTTGTACATTCTTATTATATACCCAGACCGCAATTCATAAACTCGGATGCTAATTCATACTTGATTTAGGGATTGGACTGCAATTCACCAAAAAAATATTATATTTTTAACTATAAACAATAAAAATAATAATAATGATAATGTTTGGTTAAACATCATATGGTTTTATTACAGAACACAAAATGAAGAATCTATTATGTGTTCACGTATACCAAATGATGATCCACTTTATTGGTAAGTGTTCTTAATATAATAATTATAATTTTTAGGAACCTACATTCAAAATAAAACGTATTTTACAGTTATTATTATATCTTTATTTATATTAATACATCTTTTGAATATTGAGTATTAAAATAATTATTGAGGTTTTAAAAGTGGCGTCTCCATCACCAAATGCAGTACGGTGCATTGCAATAACCCTCATCTGACCTAACTGGGGAAGCCGGATCCTCCAGGTTAAAAAATAAGCGTAGAGCTAACAAACTTATCTCATAAAAATCGAATGTACAGAACTTCGAAAATTTGCCTAGGAAACGTGGATTTAAGAATTTTAGACAGAAACATCGGAATTTGGTTTAATATTTTGGGACTTTAAATGAACAAATTTAATGCAAAAATTGGACACCAAAACTAATTTAAATCTATAAAATGAATTACACTGGAAACGACTTGGACTAAAGAGCCTAAAAATAAATGGGGTCACAAGATAGGACTAGAAAAGTGTGATTGGATAGAACTAACAAAGAAGTAGGTAAATGTAGGACATAAGAAGTGTCATTGAAAAAAATTACAAGAAACCCTTTTTGTTTGATTTTTGGCTGTATTAGGAGCAAAAAATTACTTCTTGAGATAGTTATTTGATTTTCCAAAGAGTTTTAAAAAAAATTGGGAAAACCCGAAAATAAAATTACAGGTAAAACAGCAAATGATTACAACGCATCACGGCGTTACTGATTTCATTGTTTCAAATTTGTGTATACCATGTTTTTTATTATGAAATATTGATCTAAACGTAAAATGACAGGATATCGATTTTGTTAATTTTAGTATTCACCCACTTAAAGAAATAGTAATTTTTCGAAATCTAAAGTATTTGAGATCGAGAGTGGAGAGAAGAAGCTGATAATTTTACAATGATGTTTATTTTTTTTTTAACTGTAAACATTTTTTCTACCAGTATTATTGCTCTGATTTTAGGTGTAATACTTTTTCTGAAAGGAAATCTGATAGAAAAGGTACTTATTTAGAAAGGTCATTTTCCGTGTTTCTTAAGAGTTTTCCCAGTAAATGTGAAAAACCGGGGAGAAACGTAGGATAAATTGGAAAATCGGTAGAACATTTAATAAATATTATTAAAGAAAATATATAATGCCTATTTAATTAGTTTACCATAATATGACATATATACGAGTATATTAACAAAGTAATATTAACGTATTATTAACAAAGTATCACTATCTACTAAATCCCGTTCGGAATCTGAAACGTTTTTTTGTTAGCAATGATTTATCAATGCTTACAGTTATACATTACATTACCTACAACAGTGACTGCATTCGTTTTCATTATCCTAGGACTGCTTTTTTTATAACAATTTAGAAAAACTGAAAAAGACAATAAGTATGATTTTCTCATAATACGACATGATTTTATTATTTAAAATTTGTACGGTTTAAGTTTTCTACCATAGATATTTATCCAATAGAATAACAACTAGATACTTTTTTTTTTTTTTTTGGCATTTTAAATCTAGTTAGTGAGGAGTTTAGAAGGCGAAGCATATCATAGGAAATATTGGTCACAGCAAAATTAATAGGACTGGAAATTAACACTGATACAGTGCTTCTCTTAATTACAGGGAAGAGGCATATTGGATCACACATTTAGAAGTAGGTGTATATAAATAGGTTCAAAAGATTGTAGTAGTTTAGGTAAATAACGAAGAAGCTACCGAAATAAAGACCAGCTTGTAACAAATGTTATTACGAATTATTTAAATTACTCAAAGCAAGAATGATTTAATAAATTTAAAGGTATTATTATACCGTACTCATTCGACCGGTAGAAATGTATAATTGTGAAATGTGGACATTATTCACATCCAAATAAATTTAACTTCTTGTTTTCGAGAGGAAAATATTAAGAAGAATATATGGCCGGGTCAGGATAAAGGTAAATTAGGTTAGGTTAGATAAAAATAATGAACTCAAACAGTTGTATCAGATGTTAGGCAACTAGGGGAAATTATAAATAGACATCGCCAATTGATTGGGCATGCATACAGAACAGAAGGGTTACTGACACATATGATTCAAAGTAGTATGCCTGCAGAGAGAAAATCTACTCTTGGAATTTCCAAGAAAAATGTAGGAAGATTCGTTGAAATTATGTGGAAAACGTGAAAATAATAAAAATATGAAGTATTAAAATAATTTTTTTAAAATAAATGGGTGGCTGACGTGAGGAATATGTGGCGGCCAGCGAGCCCCTTTAAATTATTATGACAAAAACCGAGAAGAGTAGCATAATAATTAAGTACTTCTTAATTAATATTACAAATCATAACTGTTTCGTACTCATCTATAAACTGGATTGTGAAGTTTGAGCTTTGGTGATATAGATGTAAATATTAAAAACCTTTTAATAAAGTAACCCTCGTTTTAATGCTTAAACTTTCCATAGATAAATATTGTATTAAAAATAATAAATAATTGATTAGTTAGGTTATATTAGTAATTTAGTTAAGTTAGTACTTAATAAACAGTGTTTTAATACTTAAATAATTCAACTAATCGTGTGACAAAAGCTTAATAATTTAGGATTTCTTTTAGTTCTAGAAATGTGTACACAAACATTCTTGAACCAAAATTGCAGTTCATACGATTGGTTAATCCATTTTTACTAATAAAGAAAAACATCGAGAGAAGTAAATACCTTATATTTGCCAAAGGCAACAACGCCCTTCTTAAGGTAAGAAGAAATTACTGAAATTAACAATGCGTATAGTGCTTAACATAAGATATTTATTATCTCGGAAAGTATAAACTTTTTTCGGAAATTTTTTTTTTAAACAATGAAGAAATAAATAGCTCCACAATTTTGCATTTCTTCTTTTTACTATCCTTATTTTAGGGTGTGAAGTCATAATCTGCTTTTGATTTTCAAATGTCTATTTATATTAAAAATTACATAAATTGATAGAGAGAACATTAGTTAATATCAATTTTGATGGTAACATTTTTAATTTCCTTCAATCCGTTGACGAGATATTTCACTTTTAAGTTTCAGTGGAGGGAGAATAGTGGTGCATCGTTTGTACGGTAGCACGGTGCGCGGTATCTTAAGAGTGTTATCCCCCCCCCTCCGAAGAATATTATCAAAAATAATAAAAATTGAATGTGATGATAAAATAATAATAAATATAAAAATAAAGGAATAAATAAAAACAATCGAATTTTTTAACCCAATTTATTTTCAATTTTTCAAAATATTTAAAATATGTGACGTTCTAACAGACAGATAATCAATTTGTTGATTAAGATTATAGGTGTAGAATACTTGAACGATATAGTTTTGAATTTAATATCAGCTGGAATGAAGCACAAGGGTAGTAGGTGTCTACCAATAGTAGCTACGATTCGAAAATGTGTATATTCTCTATTCATAATCATAATTTATTTTTCATAATATAAACTCTAAATGTAGATAATGTGTAGGGAATGTGTTAGCTTTTTTATGATGTGTGCTTCAATTTTTATATTATTATTGTTTAACCATATACGTATTTTATGACTTTGTTAAGTAAGTATTATTTTGCATTATATAGTACTAATACATTTTAATTATAAACTTTAAATAAATAAATTTTTGTTAACTTAATCATATATCGTATCACTATACAATCCTATTATCAGGATTGGGTTAATTGATAAAACAATATCAACAAACACAATGATCATTTTCATTTTCAGTAATCTATTTTCATCCTCAAGCTAACATCCACCTGTTTGATTTTACAGAAGGAAACCATCAAAATGACCAATAGAGAATCTAGAAAGGATACTCCAACTCAACCTCTCGAAGTCATTAAAGATAATTTTAAAAACACTAAGCATACAAGAAAAAAGAAACAGAAACACAGACATTTCAAACATCACAGACCCAGTGTGGCATATTCAGATTCGGAATCGGACCAATATAAAGCCAATAACGAATCTCAAGCTAATTCTACTCCGTCAACACAACACCTTCAACTGCCATCGTCCAACAAAAATCCGAATGGCATAACGGACAACGTAAACATTTGTCCAGAAGTCGATCACCTAGAATACAAGTAATTTTTTTTTTTTAACATTACTCATTTAGCTTACTATCCAAACTTGATTTTTAAATATAATTAAAATTCATTGGTTTTTAATTATTTTAGTACCATTTCGAAATCACATAATAAATCCACCAGCAATGGACTGATGAACGAATCTTACGAGGATTCGTTTGAAAACGAATACGGAACCGCCCTTTTGTCCAGATATGGTGAAACCGATCAGGAAATAACATATCGTCGGTATAAACGTCCACTAGGACTGGGTCAAATCTCTTCTCATAAACAGGTGCGTTTCATGTTATTGTGATTAAATTGTGGACTAAGCAATATCGTCGTATCAGTTATAGTTTTCTAAAAATAAAAAAACTATTCAAAATTAGAAATGACAATAATAACAACACATTAGTACCTAAGTACTAACTAGTAAAAAAAATAAAATAAAACCAAAATTGCAATTAACTTCCTTATTGAAAGAAACCACTTTTAAGACCACATTAAAAATCCACTTTCATTATAATTTTCATGAAATTTTAGAAGGGTGGGGTGGTTAATCCTTAAACTGCACACTTGTACGCGTGCCTACTCCTAAAGTCATAAAGAGAAAAAAGTTCGATAAATCACTGGTTCCAATGTCTCTTGGAAGATTCTGCATATCATAAAAAAATAATATTAAATTAAATACACAATTTGATAATATTTTTAGTTCCAATTTTATCATGTTAGTTTAAAAAGTGTAGTATCGATAAGGCAACATAAATTAACCGATTTAATGGTGCATAAATAAAGTTTAAAAAAAACTGATACTGGGAAGGAGTGTGGCCACTGTTATACATGGATATTTGGGAAGGTGGGATACATAAAGTTATTTAATTTTTACCAGTAACCTATGATACACCATTGTTAACGAAAATCTATTTGAAGCGTAAATTTTGTTTTGCATGTTTTGAAAGACTGAAATATTTTCATTATTTAGGCTTTATGTTTTTTTCAAGGAATCTAGCTATGATAATATAATTCCAAGATACCGTAATTGGTGCAATTTAGATCTAGTTGGTGAGTTAAAATTTAATCCGACCCGAAATTTGTTTGTACCTATTTGAGAAAAACCGAAAAAAAGAAAGACCAAGAAATTTTACTAAAATATAATGGTTATATTCTTTTCAACTCTGTTTTAAATTCTGAGTGAAGCGAAAAACTTATATCTTTACAATAATGGTTATTTTTTTATATTCATAGTGTAGCGTAGAATGTTTTTTTTTTCTAAAGATGTTTATTTTTTTTTTATGTTAACTTTTTTTCTACCAAAGAAGCTTATTCCGATGTATATGATGTAGACCCTTTTCTAAAAGCATATTTTCTTGGGTTGTTTGAAGTATGTTTGTCTTCGATTATCCCAATATTATTCTCAATAAATAGGAAAAACCGGAAAAAAGAAGGAAAAACTAGAAAATACAGACAATATTTAACAAAAATTATTAAAGAAAATATATAATTTATATGCATTCTTTTATCATAATATAACATAATTTTATATATAGTATATATTGTTGAAAAAAGAACACTATCATGTGAATTCTGCTCGAATTCTGACTCATTTTATCATAAGCAATAATTTATCGTTGTTTATAGATTTACATTAAATTACTTATAATAATAATAGCCTACATATCCACATTATTCGAACAGATTTTTTTGTAGTATTAAAGTAAAAATGTTTGTAGATACTCAACATTATGTCAGAAGACATGTTTATTTAAGTATTTTGAAGTCATAATAAAATTTAAAAAAAAATTATCTTATTTTAGCCTTAGTAACACTTTAAAAAAATCCAAAAAAATTCTTTGATCTATTTATGATAGATATGCTTTTTATATTCTTTAGTATTATTGCATACTTATTCTTCAGTAGGTACTATATTTATAAAATCGTTAAACCAAATAGAAATGCTTGGAAATCTTAAATTTATTTGTTTGTTTCAATAGAATGAATCCGTTGAAATGATAGAACGAACAAGACCAAGTATTTCATTTCAAAGTTTTAAAGTCAGAAAAGTATTGTCCGAATCGTTAGATCAATCGGGAAGCAACTACCGTGGTGAGCATAATGGTCAGTCAGATTCGTTATTATCTGAGACCTCCTTGCCGTCAACTATAGTCAGTTCATCTAGCCGTTTTGTGTCGGAAAGTTTCTACACTGATTCGTCTGACGATAAACGTATAACATCGATCACATCAACTGTTACTCCAAGATATCAAAACAATGATATTGAGGGCACTATAGTACAGGACAAAAACAAAAACATAGCGCTAAGGAAAATATTCCAGGCACATCGTAAGGGAATCGTAAGAAATATTCTAAAATGTAGAGATGGTAAAGGTAAAGGTAATGTTATAATAGTGGACAAAAACGAAAGTATGCGATACAATAAAGAACGTGTTTTTTCCACCGAAGTGGTCGTTCTACCAAAAAGATCTAAATCCCCCAAAAAGTTATCGACCCATTCGCTATGGTGTAGCATACCATTGAACATCATGTCCAATCAGTTTTCTCAGCTTGCAACCAATAATGATTTAGCAAACTCTAAGCATACCATTAAAAAAAATACACCGTCAGTGATCACTTCGGACGACGTTTGGAACGAAAATAAAAACAAAACCACCAACGAACATTGTAAGACCCAGCAGCAGCAAAATTGTCCTTCAAATAAACGTTCATTGGAACTGGAAGAGATCTCCTCGCCAATAACTAAAAAAAACAGGAAAAATTGTTTTCATCCATTTGAGCCCAATAAAAGAAATCCTACAGAGATGGTAAGTTTGATATATAATAACAATTACATAATAAGGTACATGTTTCAATAACATATTAAACATAGAGCATAACGAGAAATGCATGATAATAGACGAAAAAAAACAAATAGTATTAAAAAACCAATTGAAGAACTAAATAAAAATAGAATAGATTATAAGAATTACGATAAAACTGTAGGAAACTAATTTTTATTCAGTAGGTACGAAATCTGTTAACAATTGTAAGACATAATCGAAATACGTGTCAATAAAACAGATATATTATAAACGATGATTTGTGATCAAATAAAAATATATAAGAAAAATAAGTATAATGTAGCTTTTACTTTTGTTTTTTAAAAGAATTTTAACACTTAATGTTGACCAATATCGTAAATATTAGGGCCTTTCAACTGATTTAGTAAAAACTAAACATAGAGTGGAAAATAAAAACATGTCAGGGATCGCTTCGGACAAATTTGAAACGTAAACAAAAAAAAAAAACACTAGCAAATAATATACGACCCATGTGCAGCTTACCATTCTTCTATATGAACGTTCAATGTCACTGAAAGAATTATCTTAGTTAATGCCTAACATATTCCGTAGAAAATTCTATCGTCCATCGGTGCCCACCGCAAGACATGCTACAGAGATGGTAAGTTTGTGTTTTAAACTAAATCATATTAAGTTACCAAATTCGATACAATTTTAGATAGGAGCTTAGAAAGGGTTGCATTGTATTTACAATTATTTCCTATTTTGTTTTCCCGTGCGAAACGTTTCAAGCCAAAAACATGCACCGAATTACTACGTGTAGCTCTTTTTCTGAATGAGCTTATTATATTGGCAAAGTAGACAGGCCATGGTTTAAATTTCTGAACAGTTGACATAATGATTGCGAAAAAATGTGGAAAAAGGAAAAAATTGTCGAGAATAATAATTTTCCTATTTTTTTTTTTTATATCACTTTATTGGTTTAAAAGTGAAAACATTTTTAAAGACTTGTTATTTTGACGGATAATATATGTTTGCTTAATATAGACATGGTATGATTATTAAAACCATTGGAAAATGTATAAGATATTTTAAACATTTTATTTTGAGATCATTTACTTAGTTTTTATTCGGTAGGTACTTATTCTGTAGACAAACTTGTTAGAATTAAGAGAAATGGGTGTCAATTTAACAGGAAATACGTTATAAATAGTGATAAGTGATCAAATAAAAATAAATTTAAAAAAATAGTAAATTGTAATTTTTTTTTTTGATTTTTAAAAAACATAGAACACTTAATATTGATTAATATCGTAAAAATTAGGACTGTTCTAAACATGTTTACAAGAATATTTTACCTAATCGTATTACTTTAGCACAAGCGTTTTTAGAAAATTGGATAAATTGATTAAATTTTGACTATTTTGTGTCAGTGATCAAGAGGAAAAGGTAATAAATTATTTTTTCCCTAAATAAATGATATGAAGACCAAAATAAAACAAATTTCCTTAAAAAACAATACAATATTGAATAAATTATTAAAATAACTTTAACATGGTAGAACACTTTGTATTGTGGGTGGGAAATATGCGCGGTATTTTCTCCAACAAACTATAATCGAATGAGCTATAATAATTTTAGAGTATAGATTAATGATCATAGATCAGAAAATATTGTTATCATCACGTGCGTTTCTCTTATATTTCCAACACCTATTATAAGAGCTCAATAACTACGGAATGATATAGATTAAATTTTATCCTGTATGTACTAGATTCCAGCATGGATGAACATAGATGAATCCTCTTCTACACAACAAGAATTCGATGATATTCCATCCCAAGCGAACTAGACACGGAATTTTTAAATTTTGCAGTCCGTTCTAGTCCAAAAAATTAATTATTTGTTCCGACTCAAATTTGTCCGATAAAAAAATTACAAATCATTGTTGAAAAATATTTATTTTTACATTCAGCTCAATACAATCTGATTAAAATATTCAAAAAATTAATCATTAAAAATATTCTCTGAACAAGTACTGTATTGTCAAAGTAGTTCAAAACCTGGAGAACACCTACAATTACATGAGATATTTTGTCGAATTATAAAAATATCAATAATACTTGATATTTTGTCAGAAAAAAAATCATACTATATATTTAAAAGTTTCAAAAAATATGGCTGATATATTTTTAGGATTTTTATATTTAATTAATATATTTTCATAATTTTTCTTTGGTAGATACTATGTTTATAAAATTGTTTTACCAAATAAATATATATACAAATAATATACAAATTCCTGTAAATCTTAAAATTAACTGTTTTTTTTTTTTTTTTTTTTAAAGGAATCTTTTGGAATGTCAAAGCCAATGAGGACAAGTATTTCATCCTCAAAGACTAATGTCACAGAAAAATTGCCCAAATCAATTGAATTTTGGGCCATCAAATACCGTCGTAGGCCTAACAGTACGTCAAATTCGTCATCATCTTCGAATAAAACTGTCAGTTCAACTACAGTCAGTTCATCTAGCCAATCTGTGTCGGGGAGTACCGACGATGATTCGTCAGAAGATGAACATAAAACAGGAATCACATCATCGGAAACTCTAAGCTCTCCAGACAGTTATGTTGAGGACATTTTAGTACAAAGTAAAAACAAAATAAATAAGATAAAAAATTTAACCCGGGCACACAGCAAGGAAGTCGTTTTTAATGGTGAAAAATTCAAAAAAGGTATACAAAGTCATGACGATCGTGGATCTTCGAGTGAAGCGGTCATTGTACCCGAAAATTCTAAAAATACGAAGATTTCATCGACCAATTCAGTATGGTGCAGTATACCATCGGAGAACATTAACAATCTGTCTTCATTGCTTGTAAACTCTGCTGATTTTACATACTCTAAACATGCAATGGAAAAAAAAATCACGCCGTTAAACAAATCAGACAACTTTAGGAACTTGGACAATGAAAAAAACGATAGCGAATGTTATAGAACCCACGAGCAGCTAACCAATCCTTCATATGAACTGGCACCGAATGAATTATCCTCATCTATGCCTAACATATTCCGTAGAAAATTCTACCGTCCATCTGAGCCCATAGGAAGACATGCAACAGAAATGGTAAGTTTGTGTTTTGAACTAAACCATTTTAAAATATCAAATTCGATAACATTCTAAATAGATGCACAGAGAAGAATGTATTGAGTTTACAATTATTTCCGAATTTTTTTTCCCGTCCTAAAAGTTTCAAGCAAAAATCATACACTGATTTACCACGTAAAGCTCTTTTTCTGAATGATTTTATTAAATTGTCATTGTAGACAGGTCATAGTTTAAATTTCTATGGGGTTGACATAATGATACCGAAAAAATTAGAGAATTTCGAGATTACTATTTTACTATTTTTATTTTTATTTCGGTTTATTGGTTTTCAAGTGAAAACATTTGTAGAAACTTGTTATTATGACGGGAAATATTTGTTTGCTTATTATAGACATATTACAACTTTTAAAACCATTGAGCGATTTATACGATATTTTAAACATTTCATTTTGCGAACTATTATCTAGTTTTTATTCGATATGTACTTACTATGTGTACAAATTTGTTAGATTTCACAGAAATTCGTGTTAATTGATCAGCATATACTTTATGAATAGTGATATGTGAACAAATAAAAAAATATAAAAAAATAATACATTGTATTTTTTTTTTTTTTTTGATTTTTAGAAAACATAGAACATTTAGTATTGATCAATTTCGAAATTATAAAGGCCTTTAAAAACATGTTTACCCGAAATTCACTTCTAAGCGTATTTATTTAGCAATAGTGTTTTGCTTATAATATTAATTTTAACATAATTATGTTTTTCCTCCCTTTTTTAAATCATATATTTTGAGTGAAAATAACTTTGTATTTTCTTCTCATAATTACTAAAAGATACGAATTGATTATTCTGTAACTATTTATAATTTTAAATTGGTAAAAGTTTCTGTTTTAATAAATTTTAAGTTTACAAACATTCATACCAGATCAAAAGTGTGTCTGTAGTTGCCCATTTAGTTTTTAGAAACTTTGTTTAAGATAATTTAATTTTGACAATAATTAGCGTTTCGGGATAAGTTACCACACTTACAGGTCATTGCTCGTCTCTACAGAATATAAATTATATTCTCTCGTATACCTGAAAAATAAATTCACCATAACTAAGAAGTTAGAAATCTTATATAACTGTAGAATACTATAATTTTAAGAAAAATGTATTATTTAAAATTAATATTTTTCAAATTTTATAATGTATAAGAATAAAAACATAAATTTTCAGTGNGGATAAAGATTATTATTAATTATGTCTCCACACAAGTAAAAAAATAATTAAAAAAAACATATGTTCTTAAAAAACCAAGCAAAAAACTAAATTAGTATTGAAATTAGTTATTAGAATAACAATAACACGGTAGTACCGCTGGTTTTGTGGGTGGGAAATATGCTCGGTATTTTCTCCAATAAACTGTACTCGAACGAGTTTTACCAATTTTAATATACAAAATAATGATCATAGATATAAAAAATATTGTTATCGTCACATGTGTGCCTCTTCAATTTTCAATACCAAATACAATTACGGCATGGACGAACATAGATGAATCTTATTCTACACAACAGGAGTTCAAAGTTATTGCCTCCCAATTGAACTCCAATCGACAATTTTAAATTTCGCAACATTTTCTAGTCCAAAGAAAATTTTTTAGTTCAGACTCTTTTTGTCCGATAAAACAAATACAAATCAATGTCGAAAAATTTTTTTTTACTTATGTCTCAATACGATTTGATTAAAATACTCGAAAAGTTATTTATTTAATGACATTCTCTGGAATTTAAATGTGTTTGAAAGTCTTACAAACACTGGAAAACACCTAAAACTAACTGAGTTCTTTTAATATACTATAATGATGTCGAAGATAAATGATATTTCCTTAAAAAAAGTACATATTTATATATTCCTGGCTACGGTTACATATATAAAAATTTCATAATATATGGAGGATTTATGTATAGGATTTCTATTTTTTTGCTGTATTAATTCGAAATTTTTTTTTTTTGTAGGTACTATGTTTATAATATTGTTTTACCAAATAAAAATTCCCGTCAATCTTAAACTTAACTATTTTTTTTTTTTTTTTTTAAAGGAATCTTTTGGAATGTCAGAGCCAATGAGAACAAGTACTTTATCCCTAAAATCCAATGTCATAGAAAAATTGCCCAAATCATTTGATCCTCGGGCCACCAAATACCGTTATAGTCCTAAAAGTCCGTCTAATTCGTCTTCTTCTTCGTCCAAAACATTGTTAACTACGGTCGGTTCATCTAGCCAATCTGTGTCGGGAAGTTCCGACCCTGATTCGTTAAAAGATGAACGTAGAACAGGGTTCACATCAACGGATAATCCAAGATCTCCACAGAATAATGTTGAGAGCATTATAGTACAGGATAATTACAAAAATGATAAGATAAAAAAATTTATCCGATCCCACCGCAAGGAAGTCGTTTTTAATGGTGGAAAATCCAAAGATTTTATACGGAGATATGACGATCGTGTTTCTTCGAGTGAANATAGTCCTAAAAGTCCGTCTAATTCGTCTTCTTCTTCGTCCAAAACTTTGTTAACTACGATAGGTTCGTCTAGCCAATCTGTGTCAGGAAGTTCCGAAGATGAATCGTCAAAAGATGAACGTAGAACAGGGTTCACATCAACGGATACTCCAAGATCTCCACAGAATAATGTTGAGAGCATTATAGTACAGGATAATTACAAAAATGATAAGATAAAAAAATTTATCCGATCCCACCGCAAGGAAGTCGTTTTTAATGGTGGAAAATCCAATGATGGTATACGGAGTCATGACGATCGTGCTTCTTCGAGTGAAGTGGGGGTTTTACCCGAAAATTCTAAAGACACGAAGACTTCATCAGCCAATTCAATATGGTGCAGTATACCCTCGGAGAACATTAACAATATGTATCCATTGCTTTCAAACTCTGCTGATTTTACATACTCTCAACATGCAATGGAAAAAAAAACCACGCCTGTAAACAAATCGGACCACTTTTGGAACTTAAACAATGAAACAATCGATAGCGAACGTTATAGAACCCACAAGCAGCTAACCAATCCTTCATATGAACTGGCAGCGAATGATTTATGCACATCTATGCCTAACATATTCCGTAAAAAATTCTACCGTCCATCTGAGCCCATAGAAAGACATGCAACAGAGATGGTAAGTTTGTGTTTTGAATTAAATCGTATTAAGCTACCAAATTTGATAATATATTACATAGGATCTAAGAGAATGATTTATTAAATTAATAATTATTCCCTATTTTGTTTTCCTTGCTGAACATTGTGTATTACAAAAGTGTCGAAAATACATGACGTTTCATCAAAATAAAGTTCTTATTTACAAATTTAAAAATTTCAGAAAATATGGCCGATGTATTTTTAAGATTTTTACAATTTTGTAATATTATTTCATACATTTTTTTTTGGTAGGTACTAAGTATATACAATTGTTTTACCAAATAGAAATGTTCGTAAATCTTAAACTTAACTGTTTTTTTTTTTTTTAAAAGGAATCTTTTGGAATGTCAGAGTCAATGAGAACAAGTACTTTATCCCTAAAATCCAATGTCACAGAAAAATTGCCCAAACCATTTGATCCTTGGACCACCAAATACCGTTATAGTCCTAAAAGTCCATCTAATTCGTCTTGTTCTTCGTCCAAAACATTGTTAACTACGGTTGGTTCATCTAGCCAATCTGTGTCGGGAAGTTCCGACCCTGATTCGTCAAAAGATGAACGTAAAACAGGATTCACATCAACGGAATCTCCAAAATCTTTACAGAATGATGTTGAGAGCATTTTAGTACAGAATATCCACAAAAACGATAAGATTAGAAAATTTATCCAATCCCAACGCGAGGAAGTCGTTTTTAATGGTGGAAAATCCAAAGATTTTATACGGAGATATGACGTAGGTGCTTCTTCCAGTAAAGCGGTCTTTCTACCCAAAAGTTCTACAGATTCGAATATATTAACGACTAATTCAACATGCAACAGTATACCGTCGGAGAACATTAACAATCCGTATTCTGTGCTTGCACATTTTGCTGATTTAACATTCTCTAAACACGCCGTGGAAAATAAAACAACGCCAGTAGCCGAGTCGGACGATTTTTGGAAGTTAAACAAAGAAAACAACAATGGCGGATGTAATAAAACCCATGAGCCGCTAGCCAATCCTCCAGATAAACGGTCACTGGCACTGAAAGAATCATCGTCATCCATGCCGAATATATTCCGTAGAAAATTCTACCGTGAATCTGAGCCCACCGCAACACATGCTACAGATATGGTAAGTTTGTGTTTTAAACTAAATCATATAAAGCTACCATATTCGATAAAATTTGAGATGGGATCTTAGAGAATGATATATTGAATTTACAATTGTTCCCTATATTGTTTTCTCGTGCTGAACGTTTTAAGCAAAAACCATGGCATTTTAAAAAAGCAATAGTTTAAATTTCTAAGAGGTTGATATAACAATTGCGAAAAATGCGGAATAAAGTGAAAATTTTAAAAATACTAATTTTACTATTTGTATATTTATATCGGTTTATTGGTTAGCAGTAAATACATTTTCAGAGTATGTCGAAAATGTATTATGTTTTATCTAAATAAAGTTCTTATTTACAAATTTAAATATTTTAGAAGACATGGCTGATCTATTTTTAAGATTTTTACATATTCGTTATTTTATTTTATAATTTATGTTTGGCAGGTACTATCCTTATAGAAGTGTTTTATCAAATATAAATTCCTGTTAATAGTAAATTAATCTTTTTTAATTTTTTTTTTTTTTTTAACAGGAGATATCTGGTGGGATGGCAGATCCATTGAGAACAAGTGCTTTATCCTTAAATTCCGATGTCATGAAAGGAATGCCCCAATCATTAGATCTTTGGACCACCAGATACCGTTTAATTCCCAGAAGTCCGTCTAATTCGTCTTCTTCTTCGTCCAAAACATTGTTAACTACGGTCGGTTCATCTAGCCAATCTGTGTCGGGAAGTTCCGTCGCTGATTCGTCTAAAGATGAACGTAGAACAGGATTCACATCAACAGATAATCCAAGATCTCCACAGAATGAAGTTGAGAGCATTATAGTACAGGATAATTNTGGAAAATCCAAAAGTTTTATACGGAGTTATGACGAAGGTGCTTCTTCCAGTAATGCGCACTTTCTACCTAACAGTTCTAAAGATTCGAATATTTTAACGACCAAGTCAATATGGAGCAGTATACCGTCGGAGAACATTAACAATCCGTGTTCTGTACTTGCAAACTCATCTGATTTAACATACTCAGAACACGGGATGGAAAATAAAACCACGCTGGTAGCCAAGTTGAATGACTTTTGGAAGTTAAACAAAGAAAAAAACGATAGCGAATGTAATAGAACCCATGTGCAAGTAACCAAACTTCCAGATGATCGTTCACTGGCACTGAAAGAATCATCGTCATCCATGCCTAACATATTCCGTAGAAAATTCTACCGTGCTTCTGAGCTCACCGCATCACATGCTACAGAGAAGGTAAGTTTATGTTTTAAACAAAATATTATTAAGCTACCAAATTCGATAAAATTTGAGATAAGATCTCAGTGAATGATGTATAGTATATACAATTATTCCCAACTTTTTTTCCCCTGCTGAACGTTTAAGCTACTACTTTGTACAGACGTACTATGTGTAGATTTTACTGAATGATCATATTATATTGGCATTTTAAAAAAGCAAAAGTTCAAATTTCTAAGCGGTTCATATAAAAATTGCGAAAAAATGCGGAATAAAGTGAATATATATAAAAATACTAATTTTACTATTTCTATTTTTATATCGGTTTATTGATTTAGCAGAGTACACATTTATAAATTAAGACGAAAATACATGATGATTTATCTTAACAAAGTTCCTATTTACAAATTTAAAGATTTCAGAAGACATGGCTGATCTATTTTTAATATTTTTACATTTTCGTTATTTTATTTTATAATTTATCTTTGGTAGGTACTATCCTTATAGAAGTGTTATATCAAATTTAAATTCCTGTAAATCCTAATTTAATCTGTTTTAATTTTTTTTTTTAATAGGATAAATCTGGTGGGATGGCGGATCCAATGAGAACAAGTGCTTTATCCTTAAATTCCGATGTCATGAAAGGAATGCCCCAATCATTAGATCTTTGGACCACCAAATACCGTTTTATTCCCAGAAGTCCGTCTAATTCGTCTTCTTCATCGTCCAAAACATTGTTAACTACGGTCGGTTCATCTAGCCAATCTGTGTCGGGAAGTTCCGTCGCTGATTCGTCTAAAGATGACCGTAGAACAGGATTCACATCAACGGACACTCCAAGATCTCCACAGAATAATGTTGAGAGCATTGTAGTACAGGATAATTACAAAAATGAGAAGATAAAAAAATTTATCCGATCCCACCGCAAGGAAGTCGTTTTTAATTTTGGAAAATCCAAAGATTTTATACGGAGATATGACGAAGGTGCTTCTTCCAGTAAAGCGGACATTCTACCACAAAGTTCTATTAATTCGAATATATTAACGACCAATTCAACATGGAACAGTATACCGTCGGAGAACATTAACAATCCGTATTCTGTGCAAGCACACTTTTCTGATTTAACATTCTCTAAACACGCTGTGGAAAATAAAACAACGCCAGTAGCCGAGTCGGACGACTTTTGGAAGTTAAATAAAAATAACAACGATAGCGGATGTAATAGGACCCATCAGCAGCTAACCATTCCTCCAGATGAACGATCACTGGCACTGAAAGAATCATCGTCATCCATGCCTAATATATTTTGTAGAAAATGCAACTGTGCATCTGAGCCCACCGCAACACATGCTACAGAGATGGTAATGTTTAAACTAAATCTTATTATGCTACCAAATACGATAAAATTTTAGATAGTAGCTTAGAAAATAATGTGTTAAATTACAATTATTTCCAATTTTTTTTTCCCGTGAAAAATGTTTCAAGCAAAATCCATGCTCGTAGGTACAACGTGTAGCATTTTTTTCGAATGATCATTTATATTGGCATTGTAAAAACGCAATAGTTTAAATTTCTAAGAGGTTGACATAAAAATTACGAAAAAATGCGGAATAAAGTGAAAATTTGTAAAAATACTAATTTTACTATTTCTATTCTTACATCGGTTTATTGGTTTAGCAGTGAATACAATTTTAGAGTGTGTCGAAAATGCATGATGTTTAATCTAAATAAAGTTCTTATTTACAAATTAAAAGATTTTAGAAGACATGGCTGATCTACTTTTAAGATTTTTACATATTCGTTATTTTATTTTATAATTTATATTTGGTAGGTACTATCCCTATAGAAGTGTTTTATCAAATATAAATTCCTGTTAATCCTAAATTTATTTGTTTTGTTTTTTTTTTTTTAATAGGAGAAATCTGGTGGGATTGCAGACCCAATGAGAAAAAGTATTTTATCCCTAAATTCCGATGTCATGAAAGGAATGCCCAAATCATTAGATCGTTGGACTACCAAATACCGTTATAGTCTTAAAAGTCCGTCTAATTCGTCTTCTTCTTCATCCAAAACATTGTTAACTACGGTCGGTTCATCTAGCCAATCTGTGTCGGGAAGTTCCGTCGCTTATTCCTCTAAAGATGAACGTAAAACAGGGATCACATCAACAGATACTCCAAGATCTCCACACAATAATGTTGAGAGCATTATGGTACAGGATAATTACAAAAATGATAAGATAAAAAAATTTATCCAATCCCACCGCAAGGAAGTCGTTTTTAATGGTGGAAAATCCAAAAGTTTTATACGGAGTTATGACGATGGTGCTTCTTCCAGTAATGCGCACTTTCTACCTAACAGTTCTAAAGATTCGAATATTTTAACGACCAAGTCAATATGGAGCAGTATACCGTCGGAGAACATTAACAATCCGTGTTCTGTACTTGCAAACTCATCTGATTTAACATACTCAGAACACGGGATGGAAAATAAAACCACGCTGGTAGCCAAGTTGAATGACTTTTGGAAGTTAAACAAAGAAAAAAACGATAGCGAATGTAATAGAACCCATGTGCAAGTAACCAAACTTCCAGATGATCGTTCACTGGCACTGAAAGAATCATCGTCATCCATGCCTAACATATTCCGTAGAAAATTCTACCGTGCTTCTGAGCTCACCGCATCACATGCTACAGAGAAGGTAAGTTTATGTTTTAAACTAAATATTATTAAGCTACCAAATTCGATAAAATTTGAGATAAGGTCTTAGTGAATGATGTATAGTATATACAATTATTCCCAATTTTTTTGTCCCTTGCTGAACGTTTAAGCAACTACTTTGTACAGACGTAATATGTGTAGATTTTGCTGAATGATCATATAATATTGGCATTTTAAAAAATCAAAAGTTCAAAATTCTAAGCGGTTCATATAAAAATTGCGAAAAAATGCGGAATAAAGTGAATATATATAAAAATACTAATTTTACTATTTCTATTTTTATATCGGTTTATTGGTTTAGCAGAGTACACATTTATATATTATGACAAAAATACATGATGACTTATCTTAACAAAGTTCCTATTCACANTGAGAACAAGTGCTTTATCCTTAAATTCCGATGTCATGAAAGGAATGCCCCAATCATTAGATCTTTGGACCACCAGATACCGTTTTATTCCCAGAAGTCCGTCTAATTCGTCTTGTTCTTCGTCCAAAACATTGTTAACTACGGTCGGTTCATCTAGCCAATCTGTGTCGGGAAGTTCCGTCGCTGATTCGTCTGAAGATGAACGGAGAACAGGATTCACATCAACGGATAATCCAAGATCTCCACAGAATAATGTTGAGAGCATTATAGTACAGGATAATTACAAAAATGATAAGATAAAAAAATTTATCCGATCCCACCGCAAGGAAGTCGTTTTTAATAGTGGACAATTCAAAAATTTTATACGGAGTTATGACGAAGGGGCTTCCTCCAGTAATGCGGACTTTCTACCTAAAAGTTCTAAAGATTCGAATATTTTAACGACCAAGTCAATATGGAGCAGTATACCGTCGGAGAACATTAACAATCCGTGTTCTGTACTTGCAAACTCTTCTGATTTAACATACTCAGAACACGGGGTGGAAAATAAAACCACGCTGGTAGCCAAGACGGATGACTCTTGGAAGTTAAACAGAAAAAACAACGATAGCGGATGTAATAGGACCCATGAGCAGTTAACCAATCCTCCAGATGAACGATCACTGGCACTGAAAGAATCATCGTCATCCATGCCTAATATATTTTGTAGAAAATGCAACTGTGCATCTGAGCCCACCGCAACACATGCTACAGAGATGGTAATGTTTAAACTAAATCTTAATATGCTACCAAATACGATAACATTTTAGATAGTAGCTTAGAAAATAATGTGTTGAATTTACAATTATCTCCTATTTTTTTTCTCGTGCTGAACGTTTAAAGCAAAATCCATGCACAGACGTACTATGTGTAGCTTTTTTTATGAATGATCGTTTTTTATTGGCATTTTAAAAGAGCCATGGTTTAAATTTCTAAGGAGTTGACAAAATAATTCCGAAAAAATGCGGAATCATGTGAAAATTTACAAAAATACTAATTTTACTATTTCTATTTTTATATCGGTTTATTGGTTTAGCAGTAAATACATTTTTACAGTATGTCGAAAATGCATGATGTTTCATCCAAACAAAGTTCTTATTTACAAATTTAAAAATATCAGAAAACATGGCTGATCCTTTTTTAAGATTTTTACTTATTCATTATTTTATTTTATAATTTATCTTTGGCAGGTACTATCCTTATAGAAGTGTTTTATCAAATATAAATTCCTGTTAATAGTAAATTAATCTTTTTTAATTTTTTTTTTTTTTTAACAGGAAATATCTGGTGGGATGGCAGATCCATTGAGAACAAGTGCTTTATCCTTAAATTCCGATGTCATGAAAGGAATGCCCCAATCATTAGATCTTTGGACCACCAGATACCGTTTTATTCCCAGAAGTCCGTCTAATTCGTCTTCTTCTTCGTCCAAAACATTGTTAACTACGGTCGGTTCATCTAGCCAATCTGTGTCAGGAAGTTCCGTCGCTGATTCGTCTAAAGATGAACGTAAAACAGGGATCACATCAACAGATACTCCAAGATCTCCACACAATAATGTTGAGAGCATTATGGTACAGGATAATTACAAAAATGATAAGATAAAAAAATTTATCCGATCCCACCGCAAGGAAGTCGTTTTTAATAGTGGACAATTCAAAAATTTTATACGGAGTTATGACGAAGGGGCTTCCTCCAGTAATGCGGACTTTCTACCTAAAAGTTCTAAAGATTCGAATATTTTAACGACCAAGTCAATATGGAGCAGTATACCGTCGGAGAACATTAACAATCCGTGTTCTGTACTTGCAAACTCTTCTGATTTAACATACTCAGAACACGGGGTGGAAAATAAAACCACGCTGGTAGCCAAGACGGATGATTCTTGGAAGTTAAACAGAAAAAACAACGATAGCGGATGTAATAGGACCCATGAGCAGTTAACCAATCCTCCAGATGAACGATCACTGGCACTGAAAGAATCATCGTCATCCATGCCTAATATATTTTGTAGAAAATGCAACTGTGCATCTGAGCCCACCGCATCACATGCTACAGAGATGGTAATGTTTAAACTAAATCTTATTATGCTACCAAATACGATAAAATTTTAGATAGGAGCTTAGAAAATAATGTGTTAAATTACAATTATCTCCTATTTTTTTTTCTCGTGCTGAACGTTTAAAGCAAAATCCATGCACAGACGTACTATGTGTAGCTTTTTTTATGAATGATCGTTTTATATTGGCATTGTAAAAACGCAATAGTTTAAATTTCTAAGAGGTTGACATAAAAATTACGAAACAATGCGGAATAAAGTGAAAATTTTTAAAAATACTAATTTTACTATTTCTATTCTTACATCGGTTTATTGGTTTAGTAGTGAAAACATTTTTAGAGACTAGTTATTATGACGGGAAATATTTTTTTGCTGACTAGGAATTTATTATTTTTTTTTTTACCTTTGTAAATGTCCCGTTTGTATAAGTTTCTGTTTTAATAAATTTTAAGTTTACAAACATTCATACCAGATCAAAAGTGTGTCTGTAGTTGCCCATTTAGTTTTTAGAAACTTTGTTTAAGATAATTTAATTTTGACAATAATTAGCGTTTCGGGATAAGTTACCACACTTACAGGTCATTGCTCGTCTCTACAGAATATAAATTATATTCTCTCGTATACCTGAAAAATAAATTCACCATAACTAAGAAGTTAGAAATCTTATATAACTGTAGAATACTATAATTTTAAGAAAAATGGATTATTTAAAATTAATATTTTTCAAATTTTATAATGTATATGAATAAAAACATAAATTTTCAGTGATTAAAGGATAAAGGTTATTATTAATTATGTCTCCACACAAGTAAAAAAATAAATAAAAAAAACATATGTTCTTAAAAAACCAAGCAAAAAACTAAATTAGTATTGAAATTAGTTATTAGAATAACAATAACACGGTAGTACCGCTGGTTTTGTGGGTGGGAAATATGCTCGGTATTTTCTCCAATAAACTGTACTCGAACGAGTTTTACCAATTTTAATATACAAAATAATGATCATAGATATAAAAAATATTGTTATCGTCACATGTGTGCCTCTTCAATTTTCAATACCAAATACAATTACGGCATGGACGAACATAGATGAATCTTATTCTACACAACAGGAGTTCAAAGTTATTGCCTCCCAATTGAACTCCAATCGACAATTTTAAATTTCGCAACATTTTCTAGTCCAAAGAAAATTTTTTAGTTCAGACTCTTTTTGTCCGATAAAACAAATACAAATCAATGTCGAAAAATTTTTTTTTACTTATGTCTCAATACGATTTGATTAAAATACTCGAAAAGTTATTTATTTAATGACATTCTCTGGAATTTAAATGTGTTTGAAAGTCTTACAAACACTGGAAAACACCTAAAACTAACTGAGTTCTTTTAATATACTATAATGATGTCGAAGATAAATGATANAACCGTTTTTTTTTTTTTTTTTTTTAAAGGAATCTTTTGGAATGTCAGAGCCAATGAGAACAAGTACTTTATCCCTAAAATCCAATGTCATAGAAAAATTGCCCAAATCATTTGATCCTCGGGCCACCAAATACCGTTATAGTCCTAAAAGTCCGTCTAATTCGTCTTCTTCTTCGTCCAAAACATTGTTAACTACGGTCGGTTCATCTAGCCAATCTGTGTCGGTAAGATCTGACGCTGATTCGTCAAAAGATGAACGTAGAACAGGATTCACATCAACGGATACTCCAAGATCTCCACAGAATAATGTTGAGAGCATTATAGTACAGGATAATTACAAAAATGATAAGATAAAAAAATTTATCCAATCCCACCGCAAGGAAGTCATTTTTAATGGTGGAAAATCCAAAAGTTTTATACGGAGTTATGACGAAGGTGCTTCTTCCAGTAATGCGCACTTTCTACCTAACAGTTCTAAAGATTCGAATATTTTAACGACCAAGTCAATATGGAGCAGTATACCGTCGGAGAACATTAACAATCCGTGTTCTGTACTTGCAAACTCATCTGATTTAACATACTCAGAACACGGGATGGAAAATAAAACCACGCTGGTAGCCAAGTTGAATGACTTTTGGAAGTTAAACAAAGAAAAAAACGATAGCGAATGTAATAGAACCCATGTGCAAGTAACCAAACTTCCAGATGATCGTTCACTGGAACTGAAAGAATCATCGTCATCCATGCCTAACATATTCCGTAGAAAATTCTACCGTGCTTCTGAGCTCACCGCATCACATGCTACAGAGAAGGTAAGTTTATGTTTTAAACAAAATATTATTAAGCTACCAAATTCGATAAAATTTGAGATAAGATCTCAGTGAATGATGTATAGTATATACAATTATTCCCAATTTTTTTGTCCCTTGCTGAACGTTTAAGCAACTACTTTGTACAGACGTAATATGTGTAGATTTTGCTGAATGATCATATAATATTGGCATTTTAAAAAATCAAAAGTTCAAAATTCTAAGCGGTTCATATAAAAATTGCGAAAAAATGCGGAATAAAGTGAATATATATATAAAAATACTAATTTTACTATTTCTATTTTTATATCGGTTTATTGGTTTAGCAGAGTACACATTTATATATTATGACAAAAATACATGATGACTTATCTTAACAAAGTTCCTATTCACATATTTAAAGATTTCAGAAGACATGGTATGATCTTTTTTTGATATTTTTACATTTTCGTTATTTTATTTTTTAATTTATATTTGGTAGGTACTATCCCTATAGAAGTGTTTTATCAAATATAAATTCCTTTAAATCCTAAATTAATCTGTTTTAATTTTTTTTTTTAATAGGATAAATCTGGTGGGATGGCGGATCCAATGAGAACAAGTGCTTTATCCTTAAATTCCGATGTCATGAAAGGAATGCCCCAATCATTAGATCTTTGGACCACCAGATACCGTTTTATTCCCAGAAGTCCGTCTAATTCGTCTTCTTCTTCGTCCAAAACATTGTTAACTACGGTCGGTTCATCTAGCCAATCTGTGTCGGGAAGTTCCGACCCTGATTCGTTAAAAGATGAACGTAGAACAGGGTTCACATCAACGGATAATCCAAGATCTCCACAGAATAATGTTGAGAGCATTATAGTACAGGATAATTACAAAAATGATAAGATAAAAAAATTTATCCGATCCCACCGCAAGGAAGTCGTTTTTAATGGTGGAAAATCCAAAGATTTTATACGGAGATATGACGATCGTGTTTCTTCGAGTGAAGCGGTTGTTGTACCCGAAAATTCTAAAAACATGAAGATTTCATCGACCAATTCAATATGGTACACTGAACCGTCGGGGAACATTAGCAATCCGTGTTCTGTACTTGCAAACTCTTCTAATTTAACATACTCTAATCACGCAGTGGAAAATAATATCACCTCGGTTATCTCTTCGGTCGACGTTTGGAACGTAACCAAAGAAAAAAACGCTAGCGATTATTATAGGACCCATGAGCATCGTACCAATCCTTCATATGAACGTTCACTAGCACTGAAAGAATCTTTGTCATCTATGCCTAACTTATTCCGTAGAAAATTCTACCGTCCATCTGAGCCCTCTGCACGACATGCTACAGAGATGGTAAGTTTGTGTTTTGAACTAAATCATATTAAGCTACCAAATTCGATATTATTTCAGTAAGGAGCTTTGATAGGGATTTATTGTATTTACAATATTACCCTATTTTGTTAAAAACTAAATAATCATTGATTAAGTTTTTAGATTTACTATAACACTGTAGGATACCCTGTATCATGGGTGAGAAATATGTTTATTATTTTCTCTAATAAACTCTGATCGAATGAGTATTACTAATTTTATGTATGTTATAATGATTATTTTTAAAAAAACTATTGTTATCGTCACATGCGTACCTTTTCAACTTTCAAGTAGTATTATTGCATAATTTTTTTTTTGTAGGTACTGTGTTTATATAATTGATTATCCAAATAGAAATACCTGGAAATCTTAAATTTATCTTCTTTTTTGTTTATAGGAAGTATCTGTTGGAATGACAGATCCAGCAAGGACATGTATTTCATCTCAAAATTGTAATGCTATTGAAGAATTATCCCAATCATTAAATCACTTATAGGCTAACTACGGTGGTGAGTATAATAGTCAATCAAATTCTTTATGATCTATATCCTTTTTGTCATCAACTACTGATAGATTACCACGCTGTTCGTTGTCGAAGATTATTAATTTAGATTTCTCGATTGTGTTTTAAATAACCCTTTACTAGTAAATGTGTTTTATAAAAATATATAGTTTTTAAAAAATATCCAAGCATATATTTTATTTTTTTTTGTTATTATAGTTTTTATTTTAACGGTTACCTTAATAATTACTGCTTTATTTAAATATACTATATTTCACTATATGTTAACCTATTTATGTAGCATGTTTGAAATAAAATATATTCGATATAATTTTAACATACACGTGGTTATTTTATTTGTTTATCTTTTGATTTTCCTCCATAAATGGTTTACCTGAATTTTTCTTAAAATAGAAAATCTACCCAAAAACTTTTACAGGCCACAGGTTTTATAATTCACTGCAAGTCTTTCAGCAAATTCTTCCAAATCTAAAAAATGTTAAATATAAAAAAAAAATATGCATTTATGGAATACGTGTGGATGTAGTAAAACCTCTTTTAAGTCATTCAAATGATAGAATGAATATTAGATCTATAATAGAATACAATTTTAAAAAAAGATACACTTAATTGTTTAATAAAGTTTTATGAATTTCTATTATTCTTATTCATTAATTAAAGATATAATTGGTTTATGATAACTGAAATAACTTATGTATGTTTTTAATTGGACGTTTTGAAGATATTGTGTGAAAATTGCATCTGTTGTGTTTCCTGACCGAGTTGTTGGAGGTTTTGGATTATCATTCATTGTTAAATTGGTTCCTATGGTTATGATCTATCTGATGCGAAATTAATGTTAAAGTTTCCACTCAGAATCATAGGCAGTTTAGCGATTTTTATTCATATTGTCGTATATGTTCAGCAATGGACACAGGACTAGGTGATAACGTTAATATAGCAACTAGATTATTTTGCAATATTTTTTCACCTTTCCATATACAATATTGTCGTGCACGTTCAACATCATATACAGGCAGATGAAATTCAGCTTCAATGACTACTCGGTTACATTGACTCAGTTGTTTTGTAACGTATTTACCAAAAGCTTCTTTAACATAGTTGCCCATTGAATCTGTAATTAAAATTTTTTTTTTTTTCTGTAAAATGATCGTAACACCATTTTTTCCGTTTGATTTTGGTATGTTTGATTTAGCTAAGCTAATAAAGACAATTAATAATTTTAATGATGTAATGGATTATCGGGTGCTACGGTCGTCCGTTCCTAAACAGGAATACCAAACCCGCTATACTATAATTAGTAACTTCGTGAAATAGTCACTAGGACACCTCAACGTATTTATCAAATATGGTAATTTGTTATTATATAAATAAACAGGTACAATATTATAGCACATTGGGCCCATATGGCCTAACTAGTTCTAATAGTCTATCGATTTAAAATAAAGTTAAATAAAAATTACATTATTTTTGTTTTATTCGTTTATAGGTACAAAATAAAATATATTGGTTTTAGTACTTTAAAACAAATCTTTGTAATTAACAATAAATTGATACAAAATTACAATTAACAACTATAATTAACTTTAATTTCTAAAATTCTAAAATTAGTATTTACTTAGGTAAAATATTTTTGTGATAAATTAAATATTTACCGCGTGTTGTCTCCTACGTCGATAGTAGTCGTCAGAAAAATAATAAACACAGTGCAATTAGCAAATTCACATAAACTTTATACTAATGTAGTATCTTAAGAGGGGTTCGGCCTCCACTATATATTAAAAGTTTCTCAGGATTGTTATCTGATTGCAGTTTCTCTAATGTGTATGTGAATGTGTTAACAGCTGATAATGTGATCACGGTGCGTGCTGGTTAACTGACGACCAAGCGTTTTTTTTTTCAAGTTTCGTGAAACCGTTTTATTATTGCGACGACCAAACGTGACGCACGATAATATAATTTTTTTTTTCGTACCCTCTGTAAAATAGTTATACTTTAATTAGAAAATAAAATTTAGGGGGTCAGTTTGAGGCTACTGAATTTCCTTAGGGGGACGTGTCCCTTAAGACCCTCTCCTTTAGTAATTTATCTAACTGCAGATTCGTGGTTAGTAGATACGTAAAAGAATCACTCAAATTACGACAAGTAATTCGATTGGAACGACGTCAACGACGTATGAGTGTCCAACATAACTAGCTGAGAATAATGTAATCAGACACCTGCCTAAGCAACTATTGGTATTTTCTCATTATTGTAATTAAACCATTACCGACTCAAAACAATCAGAAAAGTTTGTGTAATACATATTATAAATTGTAATCTGCGATGAGCGACAAAAGCCTTCATTTAATTATAGATACTGTTCTATTATAATTTAATTTTATAATTACGTGAATTTAAATTTTTAGAATCTGAGTGGAGCGAAGAAACTCGTGTTTTTACAGAGGTGTTTATTTAATTATTCTTTTTCTGTGAACAACTTTTCTACCAGAGATCTTGCTCCGATAATTTACAACGATAGCACTTTTTCTAAAAGGAAATAAGACTATGGAGGTACTTTAAAGAAATCATTTTTCGATTTTTCCTAAGACTTTTCCCAGTAAATATATAAAACCGGAAAAAACGTACGAATAACAGGAAAAATTAGTACATTAAACAAATACTATTAAAGAAAATATATAATGCCTATTTAATTATTTCACCATAATATGACATAAATATATTGTTGACAACTGAACTCCGCTCAGAATTATTTTTTCGATAACAATGATTTACCGTTGCTTACAGGTATACATTAAATTACCTATAACAGTGGTTGTGCCTGTCCTCATTATCGTACGACAGCTTTTTTCTATTGAACATTATTGTACTTCCCGTGACATCTCGAGTGGTCTAGAACATGATAACAAGTATAGATGCTATGGCGGATAATCCATATTCGATAGACGAGTTCAATAAATTTCGAGTTAATAAAACATTGCTATACAATAATTTTTAATGAATAAAAAAAGACGTCTGATATTTATTATAAATATATTTTTTTTTCATTTAAAGTGTTTTAGTTTTTATTTATAGAATTTGTTTTTAAATTAATATACATTTACGTTTTTAGTTTTAAAATTATTATTCCTAACACATCCGACCCTTAAGAATGATGATAGAAATCATTGTAGGCACCACTTATCTGCATCTCTTTTTGTCTATCTACACCGTCAACACATTAAAAACTGATGCAACTACTGATGTTTTATTTTCTGGCGACACTGGTCTTCACCCGGGTAAAGGTAAGTAGGTATAAATAACATGTCTTTTTTCAGTGGAACACATATAGAAGAAAAAAAAGTGACAATTATTTTAATAATATAGTCGTAAATATATTTTTTGGCGAACAATTAAAATGCTGTTCATTAATTAATACTTTATCATCATATAACAGACAGTAATTACCGTTACCATTATTCTTATTAATTATTTGAAATTAAGTAATCTTTTACTAAAGGTGAGAAAGTTAATGCATAATTTCAACTCGATTAAATTAAGTTAAATAAACTAAATATACATTTGGTTAAAAGTTCCAAGTTAACATAACATCAACTTCGAATTTAACTCGTTAAGAAGACTTAATAATACATTTACTAGTAAACTCATACATAGTACATACCACTCGTATTTCGATTATAAAAACTGTTCTCAAACGATATTATTTATAGCAATACCTATTAAGAGAACATTATCAAAATTGTACAATACTTAAATTAAAATTGTATACGTGCCGTGACGTGTTCGAGTTGATTAATTTTTAATATTTGTAATCCTTTATTAACAATGGTCGATATCATCATGTAATTTTAAGTTAAAATTAAAATTAACTTAGTTTTAAATAAGTTTTTTTTTTATTTATAATTTTTTAAAACAGTTCCATTATTTGCAACTAGAAACAAAATTAAATAAAAATGTCTCTAAGTATTTTTGATTAATGTAATATTTCTAGTAAAAAACATAGTTCGCAAAAGTTAAAAACAATGAAATCAGCAACGCCATGACGCGTAAATATTTAACGTTGGCCTATAATTTGTTTGTGGCTTTTCCCGTGTATTATGAAAACCCCTTTGAAAATCATAAAATTACCTACTCAGTGTATCAACAATGTAAAATTTCCTTTCAATAAAGATGCTACACTTGATACATTGGAGCAAATGCACTTATATGAAAACACATATCACAGTAAAGCCAAAACTGGTTTTTAAAATATCACAATATACAGCATTTCAAAAAATTATCAATTATTAGAATATTGTAATATTTATTACTTTTGTTTATAATATTTTTTAACTACTGTTTAGTAGGCAATATGATTATTCTGTCGTTGGCAATTAAATTCTATTCGAGTGTTATTTTTTTTATCTCAAGACAAAGCCTATAATTACTTGAGTTAATAACTCCGATAAGGATTCTTACTTTCCATAATATTATGATGCTAGTTTATATTACGAACCAAATAACTGTTTTAAAATAATTGTCCACCAATGTTTTGATGTATAATTAACTATTTCTCCTTTGTCGAAAAATCATGTTAATCATATTCATTGAAAGTAAGTGTATACGAACGAAAATTGCATTGCATTATTTTTATTATTAGGTGTGCACGAGATAGTTCTTAGGCACCCCTAAAATAAAGCGTATTATTTGGAAATTAGAATCAAATAGATTATAAAACTAAAACGAGGTATACTTTTAAACCTATAATACAAAAATGAACTAGGCTATTATTTCAAATAAAAAATGATGTACCTACCCAGAATACGAAGAATAAAAAAGTAACTATGTAGTTAATAATTAACGAACGACAGTGAAAAAGAGTGTTTACTATGCCATTGATAAAGCGTTTTCTTTCAACAGGAAAGATTATCAATTAGTTTTCGATCAGCAAGACTATAGCTAAGTTTAACACACTTAATGAATAACTAGGCTTTAATCGTGGGGCTCAAAACTCATGGACGTAATTCAAGCGATTTAAAATTATAGGTACCCATCTATAAGTAATAGTAATATGAAATATAATATAAACATTTTAAAACATATCACTGAATAATAATTATTGCTGTAGCAGGTAGGTATAAACTATACATAGTATAGAAAAAACTGATACCACCAATATGCTTACGTTCTTTATTATTTAAATCGAACGTTCTATTATAGTTGTAATTATTTATTTCAAAAATGGGAGAAAATATTATTACTCAGAGTTAAAACGATAATAATTTTTTTTTTTTATTACAGTGATATGAGTAAAAAGAAACTAAAGCTACATTGTTTTGTAAAACTAGTTTTACCACTTTTACAGACTACTTTTAACTCACTTTATAATGGATTTCCACGAAATTATTTAACAGTCTTTATAATGTTTTATGTACACATTGTTCGGTATAATGAACGTAATAAATGTCGTACCTACCCAACAATTTATGGGACGACCCGCAAATACACATTACATCGTTGATAATATATCTTGAAAACTGGATTAATTATTGTGTACATAGTAATTTATTATAATTACAGTATAAACATCAATCAACCGATTGTGAGTAAAGTGCTGGGTACTTAAATTATTCTACTGCAGGAGAAGTACACAAATTAAAATTAAATTTGTATTAGATTTATATTAGAGCTATTGGTTTTGCCAAGATGTTTATTTTTTTCTTTCTTTCTTTCTTTCTTTTAATCTATGGACACGTTTTTTCCTAGTGAACTAGCTACGATTTTTACGAGTAGCATATTTTCTGAAAGCACAAGTTGTCTATATCGTACTTTAAATTTTTGATTTTCGACGCTATTTTTTAAATAAAAACACTTGAGTGGGAAAAAACGTAGGGAAGCGTACAATTTCACGATTTCATTATTTTATAAAAACACGGACCACGTTTTCTACCAGAAAAAATGATTTAATCGAAAAACAATAAGATACCTTTTTTATTTCCATTTTGATTTCCTTTCTTATCGTATCATTGCTAAAACTTTTGAGCCACTTTTGAGCATTTAAAGAATTTTAATTTTTTTGGTAGTTTTTTTGCTGTAATTTGGTTATAAATACACGTAGAGACTTGAAACTTGGTGATAATACTTATATTAGACTTTCCTATGTGTGGTCAAATTTCCAAAATTATCGAAGAATTTTTTTTTTTTAACAAGCGTTTTGAAATCAAATTTAAACGAAAATCGCAATAAAAATTATGGCACTTCAAAATTGTGTATTACCGAACTACGCTCGGAATCGTCTTTCGTCAAACAATGGTTAAAAGAGTTAAGCGACACTTTGGGTCTGAGCTGCACGGCTTCACTTTCGTCGCTTAGATCCTTTTTACATGTCATCATTGATATATATAATATATTATATTTAAAATATTAATTTGCATAACACAGATTTTTTTTTAAAAAAAACTAATTTATATTTTATAATCTAATATATTCAATGAAAATTGCATTAAGATGTCTGGTAGAAAAGTTGTTCACAAATCAACAAAAAAATAAATTAACATCATTGTAAAACCAATTATCACTAAAAACCATTACTCTGTTGATAATCTATAAATTAAATGAAACAAAATTAATTTAAGCCCTCACTTCCCGGGACCAAAGGTAATATAATATTAATAGCAATAACGTAATGAAATATCATCTAATCGGCCGAAACTCAAAAAAAAAATATAAATACATAAGAACGTTATCAGGGGTCATTGTTTTTGGCTGTATTGTGACACATTAAATCTAATGAAGTTTTTTGAAATCAAAACTGTATACAAACATAATTAAAATAATAAAGTAAAAACAAAATTATTAAATGGCTAATACTTGTAAATAAATAAATGCGTTGCCTGAAATATTATGGTATGTGTATTTTACGACCGGGTTCGAATTAAAAACTCATCTTATACTTGATTTTTAAAATATATCCTGTCAATCAGTGTATCGGTCTCTTCTTTTCATTATTTGTAGATACCGGATTAAATAGGCTCTTGTAATTGTATTATTATGCAGTGGAGTGTATGCACCTTACTAGGTAGGTAATTGTGTTGGCTTCACTTCTGAACATAATGGTATTTACATTTCCAATATAACTATGCCGGGTAGTAACTTGATTAAAAATAAAGTGTTTTTTTTTTCAAATATGCTATATCATGACGATTACTGTATAATAAATTAAATTATATTATATTGAGTAGTGGCCAATTTTTAATTTTTTATCAAACTTTCTTAAAAAAATTAAAATAAAATAATATATTTTAATATATTAATACGTATTCATCTTTTTTCCACTATATTTAGATAATTTAGGGGTTCATTTTGATCCAAAATAGCTTTAACTTAATTAAAAATGTTTACAGGTACAAATTGAAGTGATAAAATTCGGGTTGAATTTCAATATGAATTGAACCATGTTTTTGCAGGAGGAGTGTTTTTTAGAATTAATACATATAAAGTTATACACATTCCTAAAATGAAGCCAAGGGAATGGCATTTTGTATATGTATAACGGTAATATCAACAATGTACATTTAGGGATTTTCAATAGTAATATAGTAGATATATTATTAATTATACGTCAAATCTCTACGGATATTTTAAACTGAATTACATTAAAAAATAAAATAATTATTTTCGTAAATGTCCCCATCCTTTCTACGTATTTTTCGGTTTTGCTCAATTATTTAAAAAACTATAAAAAAAAAATCAAAAATGACTTCCTAAGTCACCAACTGGATTAAATATTCAACAAACAAGTTTTCTTGTCGTTTTTATATTATTGGCGCAGTATTTATAGTAGAAAACATAAGCCGTCAACATTTTAAATAATAAAATCGTTGCGTCGTAAAAATAATTATTTTTCGTCCTTTTTGGTTTTCCAAATAACTATGAAAATACTTTAGATAAGAAACAAAATCGATCTTTTGTCATTTTTCAACTGGATTAATATTTCTGATGAAAAACATTGTGAACAAAAATTAAGAACATGCGCTATAAATACATATTTGCCGTTTTACCTGTAATTTCTTCTTGGGATTTTTTTCCCAATTATTTCGAAAACCCCAAAAATCAAAAAATGATTACATCAAAATATACACCAAAAATGTAAGTACCATACTCCTTACATTGGAGTAATATTTCTGTTCAAAAATTTGTTTACACACAGAAAAAAAAGCACACATCAAAATAAAACCTAATCTAAAATCTCGAGCTTTAAATTATTCGTTTATATAGCTAAGTGTTTCTTTACAAAATAGCAATCAAATTGGTTAACTATTTAAAATCGTTTTATTTTTTAATATTGCCATTTGGGAATCTGAGCTTCAAGATCTCGGATTAATCGAAGACTTCCAATATCCTTTTAAGCACTTAGTATTCGCTGTTGGTAACAGAGGGCAAATATATAATTATGAAATAATATTATGTCTAGCGTATAGTTATGAAAATAATTAATACTAAAGACTTAAGATATATGTACTCTGTAGATTAGATTTCATACACTCATTTTATTGTCGTTTTTACTACCAATCCATCTAATCTATTATATTAGGATTTGGTTCCTATACGTTAGTATTTTGTATGTTTCGGGATACATTCAATCATTTTCTAATATGTACCTGTGTATGGCTACCCAATTATATACGAAGAAATGGAATATTACTAAAATTTAGTATGCTATAAGGCTTTATAGGGCAAAATTTATATGTTAACATCTCCTTGTGCCATATTTTTTACATTTAAGGGTCCTGCTAGTGCAATTTTCTACAAATATTCAATATTTAAAATTATTAAGTCTTAATAATTCAGAATCAAAAGTGCGATAATTTTTATTTTTGTATTAATATTTTGCTCAAAACATTATTAACAGGATTAACACTCCTGCCTAGCAGAAACATCCGATTTCGATATTTTATATTTTTATTGTAAAGCGACCAATTTCCCATTGGATTTCGATTTTTGAATTTTGATTTTTATCAGAATCTACAAGAAAAAATGTTAAAAAGCAGTAAAAATTGGTCGTATTCAAACTGTGATTAAATCGTTCCTAATTTTAATTTTTAAAATCCAAGTCCAATGCATTCTGAATAATTGTTTATCTTTCCTAAAAAAATATCGTTTAAATCTACGTGGCAGGAGAGTTAACCTTGTATAATAACATTTTTCTGGACAAGAAAACAGGTTACACGCAGTTCCCTTAGGTAAAAAATCGAACAAGGTACGGCATACGAATGTTTAAATATTTTAATGGATTTTTTTTTGAAACTATTTTTTTTTTTTAGGAAATAATAGTAGTATCACTACTAATATTAGCATTTTTAGTAACAGCAGCCCGATTTCGTGTGAAACGATTCATCGTTCAATGGATGAATTCCCTCCGGATTACTTCACCGAAGAACAAAGACGTAACGGGGCTGTAATCTTTCATTTATCGATTGCTTTTTACGGATTTATTTTAATAACAGTCGTTTGCCACGATTATTTTCTACCGTCCGTATTATACATATGTTCAGGTATGATAGATAAAATAATTTGTTTTACATTTTTACGTTCCAACCCGAATATATCAAAAATGTAATACCTCTGATAATAATTAAATACCTAAACCATAACATAATAATTTTTGACTTAATTCTAGGACTAAGCTCGTCTTTAATAAAATACAAATTATGTTCATTTATTACAGTAATCAAATTCAATGTATTCAAACAAACAAAATTAAAATTATAAAACAAGAACAGTTAATTAATTTAAAATAATATGTACCTAATAACGCTAATAACTTATAAGACAGTGCTATGGTTTTAGTGGAAGTATGTTAACAACTCTGGAAAACTGTATACACCGAAGAACAATATCAAATCATAAATATTTAAATTGAGAATTTAAAATTATGTTGGAAAAAAGTCAATAAAAGTATAACAAAACGAGGAACAAAAATGTTATCTAGTTACTTAACTCTTGTCCCCCTCCCATACGACACACCAAATCGTAATGTCTGTATATTACGAGTTATTTGAGATAAATATTTAAATTTTCGAAATAAATATATATAACGGTTGTGATCACCTTATTTATAGTGAATATCCGAGTTGCGGTAACGCTTGAAATATCTGAATATTCGATAAACATATTTTAAAACGAAATGTACACAGTTACATACATATTATATATATGTATTATGTAAACTTAAATTAATCGACTTGAGTATGTGAAATCGATTTCTTTCAAAATTGTATTCAACAAATGTTAACTATTACATATACATTTTACGTTTTTAAATTAAATTAATATATTATATTTGCATAAAAATGTACAGGTTTATAAATTAAAATATTGTCAATACCTAGGGCACTGAAATCTCATAAATGTGTAGTGAAATAAATTCCAATGATCCCAATATCTAATGCGGTTTATTTATTTTAAAATTGACACAATCGATAACAAAAAAAAAAAAAATGGACACATTCAAATTTTTTTTTAGTTTTTATTTGGTAGGTATTATGTGAATGTAATCGTTTGATTTCACAGAAATGGTTGAAAATTAAACAAAAGGTTCATTATAAGTTGTAATTAGTGGTCAAAAATTAACCTCAATGTCGCAGTTATTTTCATAAGCATTTTAAGATCGTAAAAATTACGGCATTCCAAAACATGTTTCGCCAACAATAGTTTATCGTTACGTAGAGATGTAAATTAAATAACTTTATGTATCCCACCTTGTCAAATTCCTACCTACAACAATGGCGCCCGATTTATAGTCTTCTTTTTTTTTTTTTTCAGATTTAGGAATTTCACCGGACGTGGCCGGTGCAACTTTCATGGCGACGGCGACGTGCACGTCCGAACTGTTGCTGTCCGTCATCGGAACGTTCGTGACGAAATCGGATCTCGGGGTGGGCACGGTAGTGGGCAGCGGCGTATACAACACGCTGGGCGTGTCGGCGTGCGCGGGCCTAGCCGCCAACCGGGCCGTTCCGGTGGACCGGTGGCCACTTTTCCGGGACAGCGGCGTGTACGTGACGGCCCTAACAGTGTTGGCGGCGATTTCCATCGACAACGTGATCGTGTGGTACGAGGCGCTAGTCATGTTGATATTGTACATAGGGTATTTTGTGTTCTTGTTCACGCAAGGCAAAATAATAAAAGCCGAAAACAATTTGAAAAACGGCGAAAATTCGTGTTGTTCGCGTAAGTACATCATAATATTATGGTTCACCATGTCACTGTTAATGAATATAAAAAACGATTAAGTTCGAATATTTTCGTGGTCCGATGCAAAAGTGCACCAATAATGATGACAACTACATAAGTATAACTACATACATAATATTATTATTATTAGTTTCTAAGTCTTCCATTCCACTGTTACAGGCTTTGCATCGATTTTCCAACGTATGAAACAATTATTGTTTTATAGGAAATCCGCTCCGAATGAATATCAAAATATCACGTCAGTCAAAAGTGATACACAGGCATTTCACTATGGATCCGGTAAGTTAAAAGTGCATTCAAAATAAAATACTGTTATTTCAGTTATAGTTTCTAGTTTTATAGTTTCTAGTATGAGATTATTTATTACTTAAAATGTAAATATATACAGTAAACACTAAGCGTGCTCACTCCATTTTTTTGGTTAAATTTTTCATTTATTTAAATTATGATTTTTCAAATTGTTGAGTGTAGTTAAAGCCGTTTATTTTCAAATACTTAGATTTTTCACAGCATTTAAGAAGTATTCTGTGGTGATGCTAAATGAGAACCTATATTAAAAATTCCATTAAAAACGCTGTATTCATAGATTTACTTATAGGCCCACCTACTTATCTGCTTACTTATTTATAGACTTTAAATAAATTTTGGTGTTTAAATTTAACCAAAAAAAAAAAAAATCGGGTGAACATGCTTAGTGAATCATCTTGTATGTCAATATACTTATTATACGTAAGACGGAAGAATTTTTAAAATCGTACTAAACGAAGTCCTAATATAATTTAAGCACTCAGTGGTAGTTCTAATTAAACACTATATGCATGTATAATTTTATAAGAGGCATGATTCAGATTATTTCTATACTATAAATTATTTTATTGCCCAAACATTTGAAACGTAATTTTATTATATCCGTAGAGAGGATTCACAGAACCTAGATCTATTTTTTTTTTCAGTGAGCCTGAATTAGTACATACAATTTGACCATACTTTTTCATCTTATATCATTATGTGTATTACTTATTATTCCACTAATTTAAACTTGTTTCGTTTTCTCTTGTATGTTGACACTTTTTAGGGCTTGAATTTCGGAATTTAGCCAAAAAAATATTTATGAACTTATTTTGAAGATTCTTTGTATAAAATATTGGATTATCAAATGCATTTAAATATGTTTCTATACAAACCTTGATAATACTTTGACGGTTATATTTAAAAAAAAAAAAATGTGGTGGAATGGTATGCGGCGTTTGAATAAAACTCAATTATTCTTACTCTACACACAAAAAGATAAACTTGGAAGTTAAATACCTTATCAACAGTTTAAAGGAAATTAAAAACGTCAACATCAAAATATATTTAAATTAAACCTTAATATATTTATGAAATTTCTAATACATATATATATTACAAATTATATATATATAAATATAGGATTAACAATTAAAAACGATAATTTACTTATCATTTTAGAGTTGTATGTTTCTTAAATTTGCTACAAAAAAAATTCCGTAGTAAAAATAATATGCATTTATTTTTGTTTTGAATTTTTTTGAAGTTTTTGTTTAATTTTACTTTTATTTTATAAATAGGAGTAAGAGAAACAATGGCAACAATCAGGGAATCAGACCAAACGACTGTAGTCAACGATCTGAGTAAGAGTTTTAGGTTGCCAATTTTATTTGTTTCTTCAAAAATTACATTTTATCATTGGTTTTATTAAGAGGGTGTGTAAAATATTTAAAAATATTTCGTCGAACCGTATATTTTCGGAAAAATATTTTGTAGAAACCGTATTTTGTTGGAACAGTATTTTGTTGGAAAAATAATTAGTCGGAAACGTATTTTGTCGGAAAGTTTTTTTTCGGAAAATATGTTATCGGAACAGTATTTTGTCGGAAAATAATTTTTACCCAACGACATGCAGTCACGGAGTGCTTATATGATGAAATTATATTGAACAGTTCCGACAAAATACGTTTCCAAAAAACCCATAAAAACCCATTTCCGAAAAAATGCTTTCCAACAAATTATAACCCTCCGTTTTATAATATATATATATATATTTATTTATCACAAAATTCACGGACTGAGCGTTTTGGACATTAGGTAGAATAACATACAAGGTAACATAAATCAATAGTACGAATGTAACATGATAATATATAAAGTAGAAAATATAGAAAATATTAAATAATCAATTTACCAAAATTATCGAAGGTTTTTTCAAAATTTAATTTGAATTGCATTATTATATTAATTTCTGGTCAGCTATAAAATATAATATCTTCTTCTCCTGCACCTTCATCTCAACTATTTAAGTCTGGTCAATTATCTGGGGTAGGCTGAAAAATAATTTAAGTATTTGAACATACCTTTAATACATAGCTGTTATCCTTTGAACCCATAATATAGAGACACAGAATCTTCTACAAAGCATTTTAATTCGGGGATCTTAAAACTCGTGATATTATGTATACAACAATAAAGTAAAATAACTTACGCACAAAAATTATAACCGACAGGTAAAGGTTCTATTTATTATTATTATTATTATTACTATGTTATAAAATAAACATAAAAATATAACGTTTCAAGCAGTTTTCCATTCCGCGGAATCGTTAGCCAATGATAACGTTTGGTCGTTTGTCTGGTGGATGTTCCGCCTGCCCGTATCGGTCATGCTGTGGGTGACAATACCGGACTGCCGGATGAAACGTGAACTGTATCCGTTCACGTTCGTCATGTCAATCGTATGGGTGAGTGTCGTTACATACATTTTGTCGTGGATGTTAACAATATGTGGTAAGTACGTGTATCGATTGTTGACGCATTTCGATAATTTGTTACTAATGCCATTGAAGTTGTATGTACATACAAGTTGTCCAACGACCCTTAGTAAATAATGCTCTATAACGACTCGTGAACTGGCGCTCAAAAACAGCTGTTAAAATAACATACAACGTAAAGCCAAATGTTTCAGCGTAAAGTATTATTTATTTTTTAAATGCTTACTATTTTACACATTATTACTCTTATATCCACATAGTAAATAAATTATATAAACAACACTATGGCTACAAAAAAACAAAAATAAAAATAAATCTAATTTTAAATATTAACGACTTCTGAACGTTAAATTACAATCGAAATATGAACAAAATGGTATTTAAGACGATAAAATATAAACTTAATCGGACTAATATCCGGTTGAATTGCTATAAGGCAGCTCAAACTACAAATGACTATTCAATGTCCCATCACAATTTTATTTTTAATCTGGCCAGTAGTCAGTATTATTTCAAATTATGATATTATATTTCTTTTTACGCACTTGTATTTTGTTCACATTACATTGTTTATATTATTTGATTATGTTAAATAACAAAAAATGATAAAAATATAATTAATTATGCGATGTCAATAGACACACTAAAATGTCCTAAACTACAAACAGCGGTTTTAGCAAATCACAGCTCAAATATCAAATAATAGATTTTCATATTCTGATACAGTATTGTAAAATAAGGTCCGACTTCTACGCTGATATATTTTATTATATTTATTTATGCCAACACTATATTGTAACATTTTCCGCCTAGAGCTCTGATAGTTATTTTTCTTTCGAGTGTCAAGTCATGTTTTCACGGTCGTTGGGCAACTTTTATATCATAAACCGTGATTTTTTAAAAATATAATTATCTATTAACTGTTAACGACTTGTTTTGATTCATTCGCAGGTAACACATTTCGGATTAACGACATCGTCATGGGTATGGGAGTTTTGGCAGTCGGCAGTAGCATTCCCGAAGTCATCACTAGTATAATAAACGCCCAAAACGGTAAGCATAATAATAACGATAACGATAATAATAGTTTATTTTATAAATCACTGACATCTAACGTTTGTCTCCTTTTCCTTTACCCGGTTTTGATAGTCAAAGTTGAAAACTCGTTGCTTCTAACTATATTATCTAAAAACTACTATCTTGTATTGGTATTTATTTTATAACCAAGTTACTTTTTTCTTTTAATAACTTATAGCTTAATTTTACTTAAAAAATTAACTACAACTTGCACTCAATTACTAAAGTTACTAGTCTCTAGGGAAACTTGTCCAGATTTGATTCTGATTATAGACCACTATTTAGTTTTATTCACGATATCATGGTGTGTAGTATTTCTTACAAAGTTTACATACGAAATTCCTATCTGATTAAAAATATGTTTTACAAGAAAATCATATAATTGTGTGTGATAATTTTATGAACATTTTATGAAAAGTAAGATATTTATTTGTAAGTCAATGGGGGGCGTTGTCCCTTACTGGTCTATAAACTAAAATTTTCATCATCCACCTCTCAAAAAAATCTCAAATACGCCGGCTGTTACACAGCCTAGAAAGAGTATTGTTAAACGATGGTCATGTACACGGTTATATTGCTATAAGGTTTACAACGTTAAAATTCCATTGTGCAGGTGCTCACTAGTCACAATCACTAGACATTTTTTTTTTTTTTTTTTAACCATCATCGCTGCTATTAAGATTTATCAAAGAAGTACATTTTTAAACATAATTTTTAAGAGCATACTGAAGGTACCAATACTAATTTCCTTTATCGTTTCACCTTTGTTTAGGTCCTAACATGAAGAGGACGTCAAACCTACATTTGTCGTTGTCTATCTAGTGGCAATGTAGTAAAAATGATGTTTTATGATTTCAGTATAAATCACTATTTTAAACTTAATTTTGGTGACCAAATAAACGTAGAAATTTCTTTAAAGAAAATTTTTTTTAAAATTTAAAATTGACGAGTGTATATTTATTTTTAATGGAAATAAAATAACTTTTCAAATAATTAAAAAAAAAAAATCCATAGACATCATTTAGCACATCTTCGCATTATTTTTTTCAACACCGAATTAAAGTTTGTACGACCAACGAAACATAAATACTATTTTCATAAGTACGAAGATACCTGTTCGCTCTATTATCCGTTAGATAGATAGAGACGACAATATGAAGATTTGATGGCTTCTTAAGAGGATCCTGTCCGACTTTGTGTATGTTGTGAACTAAACTTATATTCACAGGCGAAGGATCAATGATCATAAGCAGCGCGTTGGGCTCGAATACAATGGACATATTACTGTGCTTAGGTTTACCATGGTTCATCAAGTCTCTTCTACCAGTTACCATGAACGGCGGACCCGTCCAAATAGAAACCGGCAGTATGTTCTTCAACACCATTTGCATGATCGCCAGCGTAGCCATTTTGAATGTTGCAGCAGCTGTCAGCCGATATCAAATGTACAGGTCATTCGGTATAATGTGCCTGATTGGTCAGGTGGTGGTTATAGCTATACTAATAGTCAACGGCCTAGACGCCGGCAAAGACGAGGGGACCGGACAATGTTGACTGCGTTTCATAAAATTATTATTCTCGGTCGATTGCAAATTAATTTCAGCTAATGTTTTACAATTACTGAAGAAATTTTGTAATCATATTATATTTTTAACAAAATGATCGTACGCATTACAGGTGGAGCAGATGCAGTGCACAATAATTTATATTTTCGCTCGAATATGTTCATATTAAATTATTAATTGTTCTTATCATAATTTAAATATTTAATACTAATAAGAAAAATTATTATTAATAAATTCTTATTTTTATACTAATAATCTTGTTTATGATTTAGTAATTTATTTTATTCATGAAAAGTATTAAGTTATCAAAAAAATAAGCACTGGAACACAGATAAAATTCTTTGATGTGCGAAATAAAATTTTGGTACCTCTACTATAAATACGGAAAAAGTTGAGTTGTCCACCGCAAAACAGTGACATTTTTATAAGAAGATAATTTTAATTCACGTGTATTTATGAAAAGGATTAAAATCGTTAAAGTTCAAACTTTAACTGTTGATTTAAAAATAAATTTAAAAAACTGGTATCCCGAAATGTAAATAATTTCAGTGCATTAAAAATATTTTTTCATTTTTTTCAAGCCAAATTGTTATTTGTTAAATTGTTATACAAAACAGTTATTTTTAATTTCCCGGGAGTTGTACTTTTTGGGCTAAATCCCTATGATAAATAAGTGATTCAAATTCTATAATGTTGCGCTATTTTCAGGACGTAACGTACCTATTCAGTTATAAAGAACATACCAGTGTAAACAATTCAGATAATAACTTTAAAATAAAACATATTATATTATATCTTCTTGGTTTTACAATGCTGACCACTTTTTAAACAGAAATCATGATCCAATTGAAATACAACTAAAGACGTATTTTATTAAATTATGTATGTTATTGGTAAGTGAAAAATCGTTCTTTTATTTTTTTTCATTTTTTATGAATTATTGAACAATTATTGAACAAAACCAAGATAAAACGTAAAAAGAACGAGAAAGTTTACGGAAATAATGATTTAATTATTTTAAACTACGTTTTTTTTGTTGTAATTCAATTTAAAATATTATTAGAGATTTAAAATTTTAACAGGAAGTTTATTTTAGCCTTTTCTAAATGTAGTAAAATTTTTTAAAATATTCAAAAATTATTTTGATTTTATTTATGGGCATTTTAAATTGACTAGTATAATTGCGTAATTTTTCTTGGGTTGGTACTACAGCGAATTCCGCTTAATTAGAACACGTTGGGATCAGCTATGTTTGCCCACAATAAGCGGCTGCCCAAAAAAACCCAAATTAATTAAAAAACACACAAATTTGTAATATCAAAAAAGTTTTATTTCGCATACGTGTATCAATTGAAAAAAAAATCTTAAATTACTGCATGAATTAAACTTAATATAACAAACTAAATAAAATAACTATTTGGATGTGGAAGGAGTACAAAACGTAAAAGTTGTAATTGCTTGTTATCTAAGCTGTTTAGTGTGGATCTGGCTAATAAAATGAGCACACGCTTCAAGCTTATTAGACGGATATTTTCGTTACCCTCTTGCATTAAGTCACATGCAAGTCTATGTATTTAGTGAAAAAAATTAAATGCTTTTTATTATAATAGTTTTCGATAAACACATTTATTTCATAGATACGAAGAAACCCGATTATATTAGTCGTTTATAAATACATATGTATATATTCTAGCGTCCTGATAAAATAAAAAATACCCACATAAACCGAATCGAGTGCACATATTATGCGGTTTTTTTTAACCTTGATAATATAAATTTGTATTGGGATCAGACTATTTTGCCCATATTACACGAATACTCGTATTAACCGGTGCCTACATTAGGCGTAATCCACTATATATGTGGATAAAATTATTGTTTGATCAAACAGAAATGCTTGAAAATTTAACGCGAGATTATAAGTAGTACATGGTAGTAAAAAAAAAAAAGAACTCAAGTGTAATATAGACGTTTATTATTTATAAATGTATAATCGTTTGAAGATCACATTTTGATTAAAAACATAAATATTCCGGCATTTCGAAATATGTATAACTGAACTTCTCTTGGAACATATTTCGTTAGTAATGGTTTACTTCTCATCTATAACAGTGGTGTACCAATCAGCAGTGTCAACTATTTTGCGAATCTCTCTTTGAAGAGAAAAATTGATTTTCAAAGTTGAATAAAACAAATTATGGGGCTAAAAGAGCAAAATAAAAAATTTAAATTTTTATTTTTTATTTCACGTGGTTCTGGGCGTAATCACTTTTTAAACAATATTCATAACTTGGCGGTAATCGACTACATTTAGAACATATACGTTAATTATATTGCCTATCTATATTTTGTCCAGTTTTTAAAAAAAAAAAATATTAAAAATGATAATAACAAACATTTCAAATTTATCTAAATGTCTTTTAATAGAAAATATAATCTTCACCGTTTACATGATTATTATTTGAACTAAAATTTTTCTCTAATGCAAAATACGTAGATATAAAAGGTAATTTCCAATGAAATATTTATTTTTTCAGAAAATAACTTATAAAGTTACGTAACAACTTTTTGGAATTATGCATTCAAAAATGGTTAATTTTTTTTATTAGAGTATCATTTTTATGGTAGCATAGTGTGCGGCGTTTGAATTGCTCCGCTACACTCCCTCTACCTAAATTTAAAGGGAAAATAACTCGTAAATGAGTTGACGAAATTAAAAAATACTAAACTAAATAATACTCCGTCTATTTATAGAATTATTAATATAGGTTGCCATTTGAAAACCATAAGTGTTGTAACCTATTCACCTCCAAAAATAATGAAATAATTAAAAACAATGTAACATTTTAGAATATAATATATGATTACAAAAAATATTCTAAATAAGTCATTTATTAAAAAAAATAAGTAATCCATGGATAATTTGACTATAACATGAAATTCAAAAGATTGTATAAATTTATAAGCATTTTTTTTTTTTTTTTGATAATGACCTATTTAAATTACCACGTTAGCAAAAAAAAATGTGTTATAGTACTATGCGATTAATTAATTTCTCAGATTTGCATTATGAATCAAATATGTTTGCGTAGGTATACTTAAAATTTAAAAAGTAAGTCATTCTATTATGCAAACAGACTATATAGAATAATTTTACTTTTATTATACTTTTTTATGTTTGGTTTTCGGTTAAGGATTGTTTTATTTTTCTAGAAAATATCATAATATAATAGGATTTCTACTCAATAAACTGCGGTTTAGAAACATAATATTGTTCAATATTTGTTTTGACCAATTTAATATTTTATCTTAAATACAAATCAAAACGACTTTCATTTACAATCACGAATGCTAATACTTTATTATTATTATTATTATTGTAATTTCGTTTTTCAATAGGAACAATCGCAACGACGCTACGGCAACATGAATGACTAGAAAAATATTCACTAGACAAAAATATAATAAGTATATACTCGTATTATACAATAACTGACAATTCATAAAACATAAATGATGAAATTAACATCACATTCATTAAAATCATTATTATACCTATAATAATTAATTTTTTATTAACTTTAAAGCGTTATATAAAGTTATATGAATGCATGCTATGGGAACTTGTTTTTTTCATTAACACAACTATGGAAATTAAAACAAGTTTTTCAATTAGTTGTAATTTCCAAGGGTGTGTGCATCGAAAAACAAAGTTCCCATGTGCCTTTACCTCCGAAGTTTTAAAGTCGATACAAAATTAATTGTTATAGGTAGAATTATTTTAGCCTTCGTGGACACAAAACAAAAGTTTAGTGATTTATATAGTCTCTGTATTAGGAATGAGAAATAGTTTACAATCTTTTATATTATTTTAACGAGATTTGTTTATCAAGAATAGGTAACTATTCGTTTTTTCAATAAAATTTGTTTTGAAAAAATATACCGACCTGAAAATGCCATTTGGTATGCTTAACTAAGTTTCGATCGAGAAATCGTTTGGATTTCTTCGTTTGTATTTATATTAATAATTAATATCACTCGCGAAGGTTATGGGCAATATTATAAACTAATTACGGTCACGATTATTATTGCTAGTGGAATAATAAATATTATAATATAGGTTATCTTATTCAGATGCTGTAACGCATAATTAGGTTTGATATTCCTGTATAAAAAACCGACAATAACCACTGATCCATCAAATTTATCTGTGAAAGAAAGAAAACCGTTAGTCACGGCTTGTATCTATACTTCGATTTCACCGATATTATTGTAGATCGGTGGTAGCATCGTCTTACATATATTTCCATTAACGAAACGACTAATATATTATTATGAAAAAAAAAAAAAACACGTTCTTTGCTCAGTCAATGGAATAATAACGAAATATTATGTAGGTACTCGGAAATTTATGCAAAACGAGTGTTAAGAATAAAACCCAATAGCGAATATTATAACCAGTAAAAATCCGAGTATAGTTTCAATATTGATGTTATAATCATATTCGCCCCGTCGTATTTCATAAAATGTTTATAGGCGAATAATAATATTTTCACTCATGGCCGAAAATGATTACACGACAGAATCATCAAACAGTTAAAAAATATATTTCACTATTTTTTGTCTTGTTTTGGTTTTTGTTTCTTTTTTAATCATAGTCGAGTTTTAAATCCCGGTGTACCAATATTAATAATACGCGTGTTTCTGTCTCTATGTGACCGCTGATCAAGCCTAACCTAACTTAATATAACGTTTGTTTGTGCGTTAACGAAATTCCCGAGAACAACTACTTTACTTACTTTGATGAAAATTTTTTTATGTTCGATTCCATATCATTACCGAAAGATTATTAGACACTTTTTTTACTCCTGAAAGAAGGGAAAAATAGTAGATCACGGGATAGGGTGAAAGTGGTAGTAGATGTGGATAATGAGTGTCTAGTGAATACAAATCATAAATAAATACAAATTTAATTTAATTTAGTATATAATATTATATTTTCAGTGAGAAACTCTGGCAACTTTGTTAGTTTCAGATAAATTATAAAAAAAATGTTTTTTTTTAAAAATAAGAGATATTGTAATGGCCAAAAGTCTACTGGGGAAAACTCGACTCAAGCAACTGCTGCATATATATAAAGCATTCGTCGAAATGAAGGCAGGTCGAAAAGAATCGAACGTGTTTTCGCAATTTTGTATTTGTATTTGTATTTTTTTTTTTCAAATTTGTTCGCTCATCATAACGAGTATGCGGAGGCGATTATGTTCGACGTGCTTTATAGTACCCGTACTTGCCGCGTGTACCGACAACTCCAAAGCGCCAGGGTCGGCGGAAATATTTCAACAAACAAACACGTAACAATATAATTACGTAGGCCGAAACTATGCGTGTACGTCAAAACAAGCGACACGAATGAAAAAAAAAAAAAAAAAACAAACAAACAAATAAACAAAGCTTACTCGCGAAGAATAACAAATAATCGAGCGCGTTGTCGTCCGTCGTTCGCCGGCGAGAAGACGAAAATGTCATAATAATATTAATACACTTGCCTAATCAGTCGCGAGCGGTCGTCGTAGCCGAACCATCGCGTAAAACGAAATCGAGGTTAGGTCAGGTTCAGTTGGGCCGAGGACGGCCGTCATGGATTATCGGCGGTGCGCCGGCCGTCGTTTTTGAAAAAAATTACATTGTCCGCGATCGCCCGACGACGACCCGCCACGTTCGCCGTCGTCCCACCGCCATGGTGCCCAACCCGTTCGCCGCCCGGCTGGCCACCCGCATCGCCATGTCGTACGGGCCCAGCGTCAGCTACATACTGCTCATCCGGGTGGCCATTCTGTTCTTCCGGCCAGACATCGAGGACACCGGCCACCGGATCGTGGACCGCCGGATCACCGAGATCAAGGACAAATACGATTTCGTGGTGGTCGGCGGCGGTTCTGCCGGTTCGGTACTGGCCAACCGGCTGTCCGAGAACCCCGACTGGACGGTAAGCGTCCCAAGTACATACGCCGCACGGGACATACATTTTTTTTTTTTTATCGGAAATATAGTTATTTAAGTGAAAAAAACAAATTAAATGTATAGAAATCAAATTGCGAATTTATTATTGTTTTCGATTGGATTTTCTCGTCAATTTATTAGCGTTAGAGTCAATGACTCATCATTTTTTTCTGTTTAAATTCAAATCGTCTTGTAATCGCGTAGGACGCAAATGGCCCGAACACTTTGGAATGGGACCTAATCGAAAATTATATGTGTACACTTAGTACCTACTTACTCTAAGAGGACTTAATTTGGCGGGAGGGGGAGGGGAGGTTAAATCTATCAAGCCTTCCTTATTGATTGCTATGCCTAATTGCTGTTTTCAGCGGAGAAAGTAAATCCGTGTATACTCTAATTATTATTACAATGATAACAAGATCAACGAGTGTCAAACAGAGAAACGCTAATCTTGAACAAAATTATTATTGTTTAACAATAACTAAAACGGTATATGTGAAATCATCGTTCTGTTTAAAACCGCATTAATTTTTTTTTTTTTTTTATCGTTATTTGTCGAGAAAAATATTCATCGGGAAAATGTTTGTCACGTTTTACCTCTTATTTTTCTTTACCCGTGTTATTATTTTTTCGTTTGAATACAAATACCCAGTAACCGTGTACGTATAACGATATTATAACCCGTTATAATCGGACCTATCAATTATTTTGTTTTTGTCATTTTGTCAAAAAAAAAAAAAAAAGTAAGAGAAAAATTGATTAAGATGAAAAGAAAAAAAAAAACATCCATTTTCCGGTAAGCATTACCGGAAGTACTTGACAACATGTATGACAACCTATAGTCAAGAGTAAAAATATGTATTATAATATAGGAAAGGTGAAAATAATGTAAAATTTAGTTTTTTTTTTTTTTTATCAGATCCTGACCGTTTTTTTTTTTGTAACTACTTAATATTAATATTCATATCACTCGGATACAGCAATATGTTTAATTTGCAATATAATTTTATACTCTTTATCGATTATCGATTCAATTTGTTTTCATTTTATATCCGTATTACGACACCACAATAATCGAATTAATCGTTACGTTCGAAAACACGTGGCTTCAAAAAAAAAAAAAATAATAAAAATAAAAAATATATTATCTGCTTACAATATTTACATCAAATGTGTAAAAAAAAAAAACCTTTTATATAAATTTAGATTCTGAGTAAAGTGAGGAATGTATTGGTTTAACAATGATGTTGTTTTTTTTTTTTTTTTGTACCAGAAATCTTGCTTCAATGTAGGAAGTGTAGCTCTTTTTATGAAAGGCGATTTTATTTACTCGGTACTATAGGGGAGTAAATTTTTGATTTTTCAAGCGATTTTCATAATAATTAGGATAAAACTTAGGAAAAACGGGAAAATTTACGAAATGCATTATTTAAATTTTTTATTTTTGTTGTTATACAATTAAAATTTTTAAAATATTCGTAAAGATTTGAAATTTTAACAAAATCTTTTATTTGAATTTTCTAGACTTGGTAAATTTTCAAACTTATATGAGCATTTAAATTTCGCAAGTTTTTTATTTTATTCGGTAGGTACTCTTTGGAAAAAATTGTGTTAGACCGAACAAAAATACTTAAAAATTGAACAGGATGTTCATTGAGTTTAAGAAGCTCAAGTTCTTCTTAATGATCAACAAGAAATAATTGAGTTTAATGTATAATTTTAGATTTTCAATGGAACCGAGAAACTTATGGTTTTAATTAAATTTTTTTTTTATCTATGGACAACTTTTCTACCAGAGATCTTGCTCTGATTTACAATGAAAGCACTTTTTTTGAAAGAAAAACTAACTAGGAAGATACTTTAAGCAGGTAATTTTTCGATTTTCCCAAGAGTTGTCCAGCAAATATGAAAACCTAGGATATATAAAACTTGAGATTGATTGTTGACACATTCTTCCTGTGGTCTGATCAACTTGAAACTCTACATGCATTGATATTTTCAATGCCAATACAATTAATATTCAATATTAATTTTAATTAATAATTAGAGTTTTCGTTTTCAAAGGTCACCTTTTATTGAAAAAAATTTTTATTATTTATTAAAAAATTCAAAAAGTATCTAAATTGCCTCTTTCAACTTGTGATTGTATATCTTTCATTATAAAATATAATCCAAGATCAGAATTTTCGATTTCATCCCTTTTGTACCTTTTCACCCCATATGGTTTTCGGGAAAACATTTCCTTAATTTTATAATAAATAATCCTTAGTCATAATGTTAATTTTCCTAAAGGGGTAGAAAAAGATATATGACTAAAAGTGCCATTTTTAAATACCTACCACGCTCATAAAACATAATAAAAAGTACCTAAATAATAATAGAATATTTTCATAAAAATGTTTTCTCGTGTATATACTTATCATGATAACAACGAAATAGAATAGATGATATAGTCGGTGACATAGCCAGAATTTTGCAATGTAATATTTACCTAAAAAAAAAAAAAATTAATAATAAATCTTAAAAACAAATGAAAATGCTATATTGCTATATGTATAAAATTTCGATTAGATTTCTTGTGACCTACTTTATTTATTACATACCTTTAACAGCTGTATCCTCTTAGAAAAATTTTGAATAAAGACAGGGATTATATCAATGTCTTATGTTATATATTTTTTTTTATTTATATTAGTCATAACTCATGGTGATCCCATTCAGCTATTATAAACTGCGCCCAAAGTACAGGTAAACACAAAATCAAGCATGTAAACAGTGTCCCAATTTTTATCAAATGTAAAAAGGTAACATGTAAACTGGGTCGGAGTAAAATCAAAATAAAAAAATTTACAAAATGACTGACAGGGGAGGGGAAAATAAACTTGCCATAGAATTCAATCTTAAATTCAATCTATAAATACAAGACATAAACGAGTTTTATACGGAAGATAATATTATTATTAAAATGTTAATGCGATAAAGATTAAATACGTTCTGGATAGTTAAATTACAGTCGATAGCAAAAATAACTATCAATAACTACTTCAAATAATTGAAAATAAAATTATGGGCAATACAAGTAAATATCAATTTTATTTTTAAAAATATTAAATGAGCAAAAAAAAAAAACATGTGAATTGAGAAATATGCACAAAAAAAATTTATAAAAAAAATTGAGAAAGCCACTTTATTCGAAAAATTAACGAAATATACATAATATGCCTTCTTAATTTAAAAGTTTTGTATTTGTATACAGAACGCAGTTTACATTATACCTTTTTAACATAGATACAAATTCGGGCGCAGTTTACGTATGCACAACACATATTATAATCTATTCTCTGATATAGTTCCCCTTAAACCTTTGAGACACTGTGGTACTATGGTGAAACTACCTATTTTTTTTTTTTTTTATGTTTTATGATCGCTTAATTTTAATATTGTCCAAAAAAACAGAACGTGTGTCCCAAAGGATTAAATACGTTTTCATACGGTTCAGTATAAAAAATAACCTTTCAAGAGTGAAAGAACAAAGTAACTGGAAACGTAATTAACACTTGAATCGTAAAATAGTATTTATATATATATATATATATATATATATGTATATAATATGTATAAAAAAACACGGAACGCAAGAGAGGTTTATAGTCCCTTTAGCCCCTCCCCCCTTGACTACGCGTCTGGTAATAGTATAGTAAATGATAACATGCATACATTTATTGAAGTATGGGGCGTTTTCGGCAAAATATGAAATACATGTTTAAAAATTGCTGTTTCTGCTGATGGGTGTGCCACAGTTTAAGGTGAGTAGTTGGACAGGTAAAAAAACATAAATTTATTAATTTATATCTGTCAGCAGCGATAAACCATTGGTAATTAAAAACGATTCTGAGCAAAGTTCGGTTAATCATGTTTTAAAATACCGTAATTTCTGCGTCGACATCTGAACTAAAACGTTTAAGTATAAAAAAAAAATTTAAAAACACATTACGAAAAAGGTCCCTTGTCATATTTTGATTAAAGCAAGATTTCTGGCAGAAAAGTCGTTTACAAACGCAACAAATATTGGAATAAATACAGATCATCGTAAAACCAACAGATTTCACGCTCCGCTCAGAACGTGAAATAATAAAAGAAAGTACTAACCACAATCACGCACGAAGCCCTTACCGCAAATGTGTGTGTATGAAAGGGACTCCTTGAATGCGTGAAAAGCGCCACACGTTTATGTGCATGCATGTTGTCATTTGTTATATTGGTATATTCAATTTCGATGTTATCACGATACATTCGCGCGAAAATATTTTTATTAACATTTTCCATTATTATTTACTTTTTGTTTGTTTTATAATCGTGGTGTTTAAACTTTTTTTTTTTTATTATTTTAACATGACATTGTCTTGAAGATATTATCGTTAAAAAGATTCATTAAAAAAATATACGTTTATATTATTATGTGCATAAATATATATATATACACACCGAGTCTGGTCATCAATTAACGTTGTTTTAAAAATAATTACTTTCTTCGTCGAAACAATAATAAATCAGTCGACAGGAAACCGATTACGTTCACGAACGCATAGGTATTTCAATGCTGCTTTAAACGCGTAATGCTTTTATACAAAAATCTTGTAAAGTATTTGAGTAAAAATATTTGAGTTATTGTATTTAAATGTTTGTGTATGGTATTCAAAACACGTGTTACAATATTTTTTTGAAATAATGATTTGGATAAGGTTTTAAATACTATCCGAAATGACTTTTCTTGCATAAATTCAAATAAATTTGAATTAATATACTTAGGTATAAATAGTTTGTTCTACTAGACACTTACCTACCATATAAGACATAGTCACAATTCGCGTATTATCATATATATTTAAATAGATTGGTTTACATTTTGTTGATGATAAGTCAGGCTCGGAACTTATGGCACTTAAAATCCCGCCAAAAAACACTTAAAAATTTCAAAAAGGCACTTAAAAAATATTTAATAAATCAAAAATGGTAGAAGGGTTTAAATATTTCCCCTCTAAAAGATTTAACTTATCTAACACAACAAAACTAAAGTTGACCTAAAGTTAATTTATTTTTAAATACGTACAATTTTATTTAAACAAAATAATTTTTTGTGAATAATTTGTATCGTGTTAGAAAATTATATATAATAATTTACAGTCGTTAGACAAGGAACATTTAAAACCTTCTACCATTTGGTCTAATAATATTTGTTTAAAGTGCATTTTTTCAAGGCTTTTCTTAACGTTTTTTGTGAATTTCAAGTGCAATTAGTCCCGAGCCTTAATGTTAAGTAATACTTATTAATTAGATAATAATTTTGGATTATATTATCATTATAGTAATAGTAACTAAAAATATAACCGTCATTAGAGGCCGTAAATGAAAAAAAATTATAGTATATAAAGTAAAATATACTTAATAATATTTCAATGGTAAATAAAATGTGTGAATGAGTGAAGGGCCCGGTAATTAATATAGTAGGTATTTAAAAATGAAATGTTTGTAAGTAATATTGATTATATTATCAATGATACATATGATACATTTAATCAGCTATAGTACATTATATATATATTACAGTTATTAAAAAAAAACATTTGTACTTAAATTCTACAGTTACATATATTTGTTTCCAACTAATTTTTTTTTTTTTATGTATTTGGAAATTATTTTAAGTACTTTTGACGAAACTATATTTGTATCTTTATTTAAATCTATATATATATATATATATTATTATAGATGAAAATGAGAATCTTGAATTCGAATTATCTCTGGAACTACTCATTCAACCGCCGTGTGATTTTTTTTTAAACTATAGATTATATCGCGGAGGAGTTTTTAAGCCTATCAAGTTAATAAACAATCGAATCGTCGATTTTTAAAATAACCGGCAAATAGCTACATTAAAGCTGTCAATAATGATAAGTCTTTAACGCTGTTTAAATGGGTACCTAATCCGAAAAAAATACTATCGCGCACGTTTATTATACTGAGCGAAACCTTTTTTATTGTCAAAACCGAACGGAACAGCTATAATACAGTATAGGTAAAAGCATCTCTTGACAAGACTGTTTTTATCTCGATATTACTACGAAATCATTATACGTTATTTTATGCGAACGATCGAGTACCATAATATAATATAAATTTAATTTTATTACGAGTTCCGTATTATAACAGTTTTTTCCAGTCTCGCCTACATTTCTATAGGCGCTGTATTTATATAGAAATTCTTTCTTCACAATACACTTAGATTGTTTATAGTTATAATTTATTTATATTGTCACAATGATAACACATAACTATTACGATTATGTAAAATTGTTGTTTTTAATCATTACTACTATTACTTACAAAAAAAAAAAAGTATTATGTTATACAATACGATTTTTATAAAGTGATAAAATACAGGGACAAACTGATAAACTGTATTTATGTTACTTTTTATCACATATATCACTGATGAGGTAATACTGATGAAATCTATAGTATTATACATCTCATTAATTAATTTTTAGGCGTTTTTTATACGGTTATACGTTTTTTTTTTTTTAAATTATAAACCCATGACGTTGTAGAAAATCTATTTGTGTGGTCTCGAATGAAAATAAACTACTATATGTGCCTACATATTAAAAGACCGATAAAAATTGATACAGGTTTCTGTGAATTGCTGTATAGCTACGTGATCAATAAAACCAATTTCAGTCGAAATGTCCGTTAAAATAATATTTCGTTACGCCTGTGAACAAAAATAATGCGTGAAAAACATTATTTTTGGAATTGTATATCTACTAAGGAAATGGGAAATATCTTAATCGTTTACTTAATTCGAACGGTGCAAATTAAATGTTAAATGTTCATAAACAATAAACAATACTCTAAATTATTAATGTTATTCGTAATAAACTAACAAATCATTATTATACTATCATTAAGACGATTAATATTGTACACAAATATATTTAATCATTTTATAGAGAAGACTAATAAAAATACTTTCGCTGACAACTAATTTTGACATATTCAATATGCACAGAATAGGTATATTTTTTTTGTAATCGACAAAAATATAATTTAAAATCTAACAAAATATTATCTATTTAGATAGATGAATTAATTTTTTAAAAGCCGGACGTAATTCGCACCATGGGTAGGATATAAGGTAAAATAATTGTTTATTTACTGAAAACAACGATGAATCATTGCGATCAAAAACCGATTGTAAGCGGATTATTATATTAGGTAGTCGAGTTTTTTCACTTGTTAGGCTACTAGGTAACCCACGAATCGAAAGAACTAAAACTAATGTATCGACGTTTGTGGTTAATTTATTTAAATTGTATGGAAAAATTATTAGGAGTCTATAAATATTAAAAATACGGACATTCTTCGCACGTGGGTGGGCTAATGTTGTAGGTAAGATGTTGGGAAGGTAGAGGGGAAATTTAATGTATAACTGTACGCAAAAATTAACCATTGCTAACGAAAAACGATTCTAAACGAAATTCAGTTAATAGTATGGCTTTGTCAACGATATGTATGCCATATTATATGGTAAAATAATTACATATGTATTATATATTTTCTTAAATAATATTTGTTTAAAACTGTACCTGTTTTATCGTTTTCTCAGTTTTTCCCATTTATTATGGAAACAGCTGGAAAAATCAAAAAAAATTACCTTTTTGAAATACTACCTCACTGCCCCCAGTCAGATTTCCTATCAGAAAAAATATTACATTTGAAAATCGGAGCAAAATTGTCCACAGAAAAATAAATAATGATGTTTATTTCTTTGAAAAACCAATAAATTTCTCGCTCCACTCAGAATCTAAAATAAAAATGTAAAAATGATCAAATAGTTTTTGTTTGTTACAGGTGTTATTAATAGAGGCAGGAATCGATGAACCGTCATTGTCTGACATACCGCTGCTATATCCATCCCTGCAACGTACTTCCGTCGATTGGCAATACAAAACGGAACCTAGCCAATCATCGTGTTTAGGTTTCAATGGCAACCAATCCAATTGGCCCCGAGGCAAAGTCATCGGGGGCAGCAGCGTTCTGAACGCCATGTTCTACGTCCGGGGCAACAGAAAGGACTACGACGCGTGGTACGAAGCGGGTAACGAGGGTTGGAGTTATCGGGACGTGTTACCGTATTTTATCAAATCTCAAGACATCCGGATACCGGAACTTATGGAATCCAAGTATCACGGTCGGGGCGGCTATTTGACCGTAGAACATTTCCGGTCACGCTCGCCCATCGTGAAGAACTTCCTGGAAGCGGCTAAGGAAATCGGTTACGACGAGGTCGACATAAACGGTGAAAGACAAACGGGCTTTACCCTATCACAAGGTAACTGCGCGTATAATTTCGTATAGTGTCTATACTGTTATGTTGGTAAACTCGAATTTATAGGAACTTTGCGGGACGGGCTGAGGTGCAGTACGGCCAAAGCGTTCTTGAGACCGATCAAAGACCGACCGAATCTTCACATCAGTTTGCAGACGCACGCTTTGAAAATCGTTTTCGAAAACGGTCGGGCTACGGGCGTGCTGATATCAAAACTGGGAAGGATACCCACTTTGGTCAGGGCGGAGAAAGAGGTGGTGCTATCGGCCGGAGCTATTAATTCGCCGCATTTGTTAATGTTGTCCGGAATCGGGCCCGCCGACAAAATGTGGAAAGCCGGCATCAAAATTGTCAAACACGTGCCGGGCGTAGGAAAAAACTTACAAGATCACATCGCGATGGGCGGAGTCACATACTTGTTCGATTCGCCCGACGAATCCAGTCCTCTCGGGCTGGGAATCGTTATACCGCGAGTGTTGACGTTGAATTCGTTTATTCAGTTTTTCCGCGATAAAAACGGACCGTTCTACAGGATACCCCTCGGTGAAGCCATGGGTTTCGTGAACACGTAGTGAGTTGTTTATTTGAAAAAAAAAAAAAATTGTATGATGGCGACTACTTTTTTTTCCCCAGCTATAACAAGGATCCCGACTGGCCCGATATTCAACTGTTTATGGCCACGGCCGGTGATAACGACGACGGTGGTCTGTTGAACAAGAGGGACGTCGGGATAACCGATGAATACTACGATCAGGTGTTCGAGCCCATTCTCTATCAGGATGCCTTCACGGTGGCGCCCCTGCTCCTGAGACCATACAGCCGGGGTTACATAGAAATCACCAGCGCCAACCCTTACACCGCCCCGAAGATCGTGCCGAACTACTTGAGCGACCCGCGGGACGTCAAGGTTATCGTGGAAGGCGCAAAAATAGGTTACTCCATCAGTCAGACGGCGGCCATGGGCAGGATCAACACCACCATCCACAACATCCCCACGCCGGGCTGCGAACGGCACCGGTTCCTGTCCGACGACTACTGGGAATGTCAGGCCCGGCACTACACGATGACCATCTACCATCCTGTGGGCACGTGCAAAATGGGTCCCAAAAGCGACGAGTTCGCGGTGGTGGACGAGAGGCTCAGGGTGAGGGCCGTAAGGGGCTTGCGGGTGGTCGACGCGTCCGTAATGCCCACGATTGTCAACGGAAACACAAACGCCCCGACGATTATGATCGCGGAAAAGGCTTCCGACATGATCAAACAGGACTGGGCGGGCCATACGAAAACTCCCGGAAAGACATGCAACGTTAAGAAGACGGTCAGCAGGTGGTGGTAATATTAACTACAACGATGATAATATGATATGGGCAGCCAGGGTGTGGATAATTTTGAAAAATATAATTTTACCCGACCAGGAAATATTGTACGTAATGTTTTGTTTTTTTTTTTTATTTTACTGTAAACTTTGACTGTGTACTGTTCAAAATAAACGTATGGTTTTCGATTCGTTTCGGTCTGCACGAAAACATGTATAATTTACTAATGCCCGTATCTGTACCTGAGTATTTTTGTTAAGTCAACGAGGGTAAACGAGAATAATTATCAGACGTTTATAAACTGCATCAACAAACGATCGTGATAGTTATTAATGCGAGTGTATGCAACCATAATACAAAGCGTGTAATTAATAATTACCCTGATTTATTAGCCTTCCGTCTCATTCCGCGCGTTACTTCCCAGCCCGCGAGAAACCAACTCTTCGTTTTTCTATTCCGAACCGCCTCAACTCTTGCGGGCACAATCGAAGGATGCTGCGTCCCCTTAACTCAACTCGGTCCCGGTTCTCATCGTCTGTATGTGTTCTATAGGTTTTAAGTATATACTTATTGTACGGTATAATTACCGTTGTGGTTGTGTTGGCCAGCGTCCTCGAGGCGTTCAATTGTCATATAAACCGAAACAACTTGCGCGCCTCGGAATCCAGAACATCATTACATTCGAACGGTCGCTATATAATTAACATCCCGACTCCTCCGATCTCGGGGGCTTTAAATCCGTCGCGTACCGCGCGGTATGATAATAATTATTATTATACTCGGGGTCGGACGAACAAACCGCTCACGGTGGTTTACTCGAATTTCAAATCCGTTTTTCGTTCTACGCGCCCGTACCGACAACCGGTTTCTCAAGAACTGCACACAAGTTCGTCCGCTAGGAACATGTATATTATCCGAAAGTAAAAGAAATACGAATCCATTAATGTTCTTCCGATTTTACTTTCTTCTCGCGTTATTATTATTGTACGCGTATGCCCACTCTGCGATTATTATGATCGTAACATATTATACACTACCGGGCTTGAAACAATAGAGAAAGTTGATTGGCCACGGGATATCCGCTGCAGAGCGCCAAGTCTCGTACATTTTCAATTGATATCGGCGGATTATTTTCAAGACCGGACCGGCCGGAGATCGCCGGCATTCAGTGTAGAATGAATCTCCGCAGCCTTCGGTTAACCGGTGAAATCACTTTGCTGGATATCGTCGTCGTTGTCTATAGCGATTGGTTTTGCGTCGTTATTGTGCGCTCATGATTTAATCGCCGCGAATATTTTAACGTACTAAATTGAAGTACCGACGGTTTTCGAAATCAAATTGTCGTTACGGCTTTGGCCGCGGCAAGCGTGAAAACGGACCAGTAACAGTGGCGATGTCGTCGTCTTCGTCGGATAATTGCGGCCAGTGCGCGTGGTCCGACTCGTCGTTCCTGTCGGGTTCGTGCGGCAGCACCGGCGGCCTGGCGTTTTTCATGTCACTAGTCGACTTGGTCATCCGGTCCCAGTGCTCGGTGTCCGACCCGTGTCGCCGGGCCCGGGCCGACGAAAAGTTCCCGTCCGGACCGGTGTACCCGGAGGAGCTCGACTTCGTGGTGGTCGGCGGCGGCGTGGCCGGTTCCGTGGTCGCGTCCCGGCTGAGCGAGGTGCCCGGTTGGACGGTGGGCTTGCTGGAGGCCGGTCCCGAAGAACCTACCACCACTTCGGTGCCGGCGTTTGCTACGGCCGCCACAGGCACCGAGCTCGATTGGCAATACCTGACCGAGCCGCAGAACAACGCGTGCCGGAGCACGGGCGGCGTGTGCGCGTGGCCCCGGGGCAAGATGTTGGGCGGCACCGGCGCCATGACCGGCATGATGTATTCCAGGGGCCACAAGCTCGTGTACGACAGCTGGAGAGACGCCGGCATCGTCGGCTGGGGCTACGACGACGTGCTGCCGTACTTCAAGAAGTCTGAGTCCAATCGGAACGCCGACCTGGTCGAGCCCGAGTACCACGGTTTCGACGGTCCGATTAGCGTCCAACGGTTTCCAAGCCGACCCGAAATGGCCGAAACCATAGTGCAGGCTGGCATAGAGCTGGGCTACAGGTCCGGCGATCTGAACGGGCACAATCAAACGGGTAGGTAATTATTTTATGATATTAAAATGTTATTATGGGATTTAATAACGTCAACTATCCGTAAAAAAAATATGACCTAAAATCACTTAAGATTCGTTCAAAGTATATTTCTTACGGTTAACAAAAATATCAAACCGGTAAACAAATTCTAATACACGTTTGACACTAACATTTGAATTGTAGAAAAATATAAATCCAAAATTGTTAGTATGGTGATTAACAAAACAAACGAGCTGATACTGGAGACGGATGAGACCAATGTTGGGAAGATGGAATGCGTAATGTTATTTAATTTAAGCCAGTAACCAACGATAAACCATTGCTAACGAAAAACGGTCCAGAATGGAGTTCGGTTATACATGTTTTGAAGGCCGTAATACTTATAATATTTGTCAAAATTTGATTTTAAAACTTATGAGAAAAAAAAAATGGATTACACTCAATTTTTTTATTTTTACTACTGAATATGACTTATAATGAACCTCCTGTCAAATTTTCAAGCTTTTCTGTTGATTTTAACAATTTTTTTCCACGGGTACCTACCAGAAAATAAAATAACTCATAAAATTTAAATGTCTATAAATAACTCAGAAATGGATCAAATGTTTCGAAAATTTGACCACGTCTAGAAAAAATAAATATGAGTTTTTCGTCCAGATTTCGTGTCTTTACGGATATGTTTAACAGAATTATAAAAATAAAAACAAAATTAAAAATAATAAAAGCATTATTTTCGTAAATTTGCTCGTTCTTTTTACGCAGTTTTTTGTTTTACTCAATTATTAAAAAAAACTACAAAGAAATTGAATAAACGACTATCTTTGTCATCAACGAAAATTCAACGAAAAAGATATATTGTTATTTTTCGATTGGAGCTATATTTTTGGTAGAAGTTGCAAAAATTATTAACAATGAAATCGGTAACGTCGCGGCGCAGCATTTGCAGTTTTACCCATAATTATCTTTCGGGGTTTTCACGATAACTGCGAAAACCCTTTAAAAAAAAAAAAAAAAAAAAAAAAACAAATAAATGACCTCTCTAACGCGCCAACTAGACACAATTTCCGTTCAGAAAAGGTATTATACTCTACACATCGGAGCCGGAGTGGGATTTCTTTTCGGAAAGTTGTTTACAGACAGAAAAACAAAACAGCACACAACTTAGTAAAACCAACGGATCCCTCACTACGCTCAGAATCTAAAATAATGTAGGAATCTATAAATACGTAAAATCTTAACTCGTTTTAAAAACAAAAACCGTTAGCTGTTATCCAAACTCGTTTTAGGTAAGGGCGTTATTGTTTTCGTGTGCGGAACATTGCGGACAACAGCATACAGATGGTAAATACCATAAAATACGCGTACAGCCATTCGATAGCGGTTAAAGCGGCTGTGCACAGCGGAAGGGAATATCCGTTCTTGTTTAAGATAAAACTGCGCGTTCCCTCCAGTGGCGTAACCAGGATTATCAACGCGGAGGTAGAGTCTAAGGTTAATTACACCCGACCTTACCGCCCTGACTACGGCCACTGCGCCGCTGGTTCGGCGGTACGCGTTAACAGCCGTCAATGTGGTATTTCGAACGGAATCAAAAACGATCCGCATTAGTTTTGTGAAACATGATATATACGCTTTTGATAACTGGGTATCGGATTATACGTAAATATATCGTTCTGTTTTACTGTATTTTTACCGGACGGTCGTCGAGGTACGGTTGTTTTTTTTCAACTCTTCCGTTTGCGTAACGTTTATTTGAACATATAAAATTACACTTCATTATAGTCGTAGGGGACGTTTTTCGTATAGATTAGCGGTGGGAAAACGAGCGAATAAATAATGCGTATGATTATTTAAAAAACGGGGGAAAAAAAAAACTACGCGGCAACCGTAATACGCGCACTCGAACGGATCGCGTAAATCCACGACAGGATGTTTGAGCAATACAATCGAATCCCCTGCACGTTCGCACACCTCGACACCAAATATTATTGTATTATTGTATTATTATTGTTTTTTTTTTTTTTTCGTAAACGCCGTTGTCGTAGATTTCGCAATACGTCGTGCTGCAGTCGCGTATCGTGATAATTCTTTTCGGTATCTATTCAAACGGCGGCGGGCACCGTAAGGAATCTGTTGAAAGGAACACGTCGCCGTCACCGTCGTCGTCGTCGTCGTCGTCGTCTACACGTATGCCTAACGTATACCACGCGTGACCTTTGTAAACGAACCGATTTTTTTCGTTTAATGAAAAATCATTTAATCTCGAGAAAAATCCGGCACAGCGCGTGCCCGGGCGCATTGTTGCGTACGTACGCCTACACGGCGAACGTGTGCGAACTACGCGCGTAACGCGGTTTTACAACGTTCGGTTTTTTTTTTTTTTTTGTTTTTTTTTTTTAACGTCAAAATTGGTCGGTTTCTGCAACCTACCGTAATAATACTATTATTGTTACTATTATTATTACGTACGCGTACGGGCGCGATAATATTATTATTATTTTATTGTGTCCCGCGATCATATTCAGACGTTATTTTCCGCGGGCGGGCGAGTGCAATCGCGCGCATTGTATCGCCGCGAGCGCGGCGATTATTGTTTTTCTCCACTTCGATGGAATGAAACGGCGCGCGGGGTATTGGTAAATTTTTCGCGCGACGAAATAATAAAAAAAGAAAAAAAAACACATACATCTGTACACGTGCATCGCCGGGGTTTTCGGTATTCGCGTCCGCGGTAATCGATAACAGGGGGCAAAAAAATCGAATCTAATCGCGCGATAACATTTAAATGTTATACTGCAGAAACGCGTTAACGTCACGGAACAACACGTTGACCACGTTTGAGATTGTCGTGGCAAACTTTCTAGAACATGTGTGCCACTTAATGATAATATAATGCTACCGTTTAATATTGTGTCGTGCATTTATAGGCGACGACGTGATTGGCCGGTGCGCATTTAGTTGATTTAGACTATACGAAAATAACTCGAAAATGGCGTGTTGTGTTTAATGTGTTTCGCAGATCGATTTGAGAGCAACCGTTGTTCCGGCATACATTCAGAACCGTTCGGATAAGATAAAATCCCATCCGGGGTAAAACGGTTTGTTCTAGAAATATTATATACTGTTCAGTTAAATAACGTATGCAATTACGCGGGATGAAAGTGCATACACTCGAAATTTCCAGGCGGACCGTAACCCTCATTGCCCCCCCTCCCCCGATTCGGGCGGACGGGCTGCATAACATGGCGCATGCCTGAACGTGGCCCGCATGAATTGAAAACTATCGACATGAACTAACGTGGAAATTATTCGGCCGCGTATTATACGGCTTCACTCGACTGCGATGACAATAAAAACCACGAGATTATCGTTCGTTTTTTATTAAACCGTATCGTTTTCCGCCTTGACAATAGACGATGTTAACATGCACTCAAATGACTGTAGCCAATAATATCACTATTGTGCCCGCGCAAAACCGACAGAGCCAACATGGCCAACTAACCGTTTTCAACAACACCTAAACACCGTCATTGGAGATAAAATTGTTTTTTTTTTTTTTTTTTTTTTAATGGTTAATTCTAATGAACTAATTCGATATTGTGTGTATGAACTATGCGAGTACAATCCAAATGTCGATAAACAAAACGAACAATTTTATTTTAAACGCGACTAATTCAATTTATGTGACCGAATTTACCACGGCGAATCGGCCATTATTCCTCTTTTGTATTAAAACTAATTGTAAACGATTTCTATTAAAACTAAACGTTTAAATCGATTTAATATATTATCCCACTGTGCAATGAACGTTACAAAACATTGTCGTAACGTTGAACTCGGGCTCCGAAAAAACATCGCCAATTAACATTCCTGCGATATTCTTCAACTGTTACATAAAAATAATGGTTTACATATCAACGGGTAATATTATTTAAATGTTTATTATTTAACATTGGCGCAACGTCCACAAAATATTCCATTAAAACTGTTACTTAAAAAAAGCATGCGTTATCGTGTTTTTCGGGTTTTTATATTTTATATTTGAGTGTACCAGCAGTGACTTTTTATCTTTTCGTTATTATTATTATTATTTATTTTTTTTTTTTTTAATTTCACTGATAGTGCAGTTCTGCATCACCAGAAAACAACACGCTATCATATACTTATATTTAAACATGGACGTCCATTGTGTTTTGGCGATTAACCTGGTTATATTCATTATCAGTTATGGTTATATAATTATGATTTATGCTCGATAGTAAAAGATTCTCGAAAACGACACGTTTATGATTGTTACAAAATAATATTAATTGATAATCAAAAAAGAACTGGCTAAACATCGAATAGTGACTTTATCAATGTCCAAACATCATAACCGTTTATTTCGTTTGGTTATTATTTTTCAATAACCTATAACCAAAAGTCATAGCCAAAGTAATGACCAAAATCGCCAAAACGACTTGTTTATAAAATACAGTAACCAGGTTACATTTGGTTATTCGCCAAAACACGCCTAATTATAAATAGCAAAACACATTGTTATTAGCTTAAAAACACTCAAACATATTTTATCGGCATCGAACATAGAATTGCCGATTCTTTGAGCTACAATGACACAATTGATCTGTTAACATAAAAAAACATGTTTAAATTATATTATATAATATCAGTTGTATTACAATAATCTATGTTTATTTTTTTATTTAAAGTAAAAATATACTTATTATGTCATATTTATGTCATCGTGTTCAATAAAATACAAATATTAATTAATAAAATACTGTTTGTACCTGAGTAAGTACTTGTGTCCAATATAAAAATACAAATTTGATTTGATAAGCTTATATATATTTATGGGTACAAATTTAGATTTCTAACAAAACCATCGAGTTTATATGAAAAATTAAGTAAATCCGTTAGAAAACAAAATGAATAAATAAACATATGTATGAAGCCCCACAAAATTCTGCACCGGGCCCTAAAATCTATCTGGCCGACACTGTATTCCCTGAATGCCACATGAAACGGTCATCAATAGTTGTAGGAATGTTTTTGCAACGCGTATCCCACTCACATTGCGATGTTACATGTTCCAGTGCAATCGTTGCTACAACTAATTGCTCAGCGGGTACGGACGAAAATATGAAAAACTAGGGGGAAAAGTGATCGCGAACATGATTAGATTGTTTGATACAGATACAGATACAGATACAGATAATGTTTGGATAAAGTTGTCTAAACAAAAAAAAAATTGAATCTATTCGTGATTTTTGTCAACAAACTACCAATGGTCACTATGGCCGTTTTACACGGAAAATCAATAAATGACCGAATTTATGTATACACGTTGACGATTTCAGGATTTTCGGTGGCACAGGTGATGGTGGACAACGGTCTCAGGATGAGCACGTCCCGGGCGTATTTGCGGCCCGCTTACGGCCGACGCAATCTGTTCGTGAAGATCAACTGCCGGGTGACTGGGCTGGTGTTGAACAAGCTGAACAGCCGCGTGCAGGGCGTCAAGTACGTGGATCGGTACGGTCGCGAGCACATGGTGCGGGCCAGGAAGGAGGTGATCCTGTCGGCGGGCGTGGTCGGCTCAGCGCACCTACTCCTGGTGTCCGGCATCGGGCCCGCCGAAGACCTGTTCCGGGCTGGCGTCACCGTGTTCCAGGACCTACCGGTTGGCCGCAACCTGCAGCACCACGTGTCTGTCAGCATTGCGGCCACCGTGAACGCGTCCGAGGAGGCCCACTACCTGACCATGGACGCGTTGTCTGAATTCCTGGCCACGCGCACTGGACCGTTGGCCAGCACGGGCCTAACGCAAACCACCGGGTTCCTGACCACTTCCTATGCCGTCAACGGGGTTAGTATGAATGCGGTTTACTAATCAGTTTTGTCTTTAAATCTGTAACGCTGTAAAACGTCAGACGGAGGAGTCCAGGGTCGGAATGAAACATTTTTGATAAGATCGGTGTTTCTCATTATTGAGAACAACGCGGAATCTTCTCAACGCACAAACTAGACGAAATTTTCTACCGAAAACCACCGCCGGAGTGATAAATAATCGGAGGAATATTTCTGATAAAAAAGTTCACAACAGGCATAAACTATTAGATGGTTTTTGTAGACGTTGAGACGCCTCGAGCGGAAATCTAAAATGAAAAAAAGACGTAGACGCGAAAACTTCATCGCCCTAAACATAATAATCGTGTTAGCGGCTAACAGTTAGCCGATAAAAATATAATTTTTTTTTTTTTTTTTTTTTTCGGCACCAATAATCAATTTGGTTTACTCCAATTTTTACGTCCACACACCTCGTTGTTCACTATTCGAATTTAATAATATGTTACAGGTATACCTATAACTGTCGTTTTGCGGAAAAAATCGAACGGTACCTATACATATATCTATCGTGACCGGTAACCGTTAACATACACAAAGTGTACCGCCACCGTCGCCGCAGCCGCGGCGCGCCGGTAGATTTGTGGTTTCGTTTTTTTTTTTTTTTTTTTTTTTTTTTTTTTTCTGTTTTGGTCAACCAAGCAAACTCGATACAGTTTTATTTTCGAACACCATTTTCCTCCGAGCAAGTTAAAAAGAAAATGGTGCAGAGACCACCTTAAAAAATATCATTTATAAAAAATAAAATTAAAAAAAACAAACGTAATCAAATAAAATTACAAATAATCAAAGTAGGTAGCTCCACTGATGCCTTCCTACATCATGTCTTTTTCATGTGTTTAAATTTTCTTCGTTCTCACTTTTACTTGTGCATATTAGTATAGTTGTAAATATTTTTTTTTAAATAAAAAAAATATAGATAACACGATTTTCGATCTAAGTCCCCTAAGAAAATTTACGATGAAATGTTATCAAAAAAAATTATATATATATATATTTATATGATAATGGAAATCTACCATTTTTAAATAAAACAAATTAGGAAACGCCTAAATGACGAACTATTGTGTTCTTTCGCACCTATATTATATTATTATGTGGAATAAATGTTGTTTGTCAATTATTATTAATAGATGTCTGTTGACATTATTTGGAAACAAATAAATTACATTTTTTTCCGGTTTAAGCTTAGCTCAGGTAAATATTTCGTTCGTGAAACAAAATTCTCTACAATTGAATTGTCCACATCGATATTTCTATCTCTGTATCAATTAATTATAATTATTATGCATATTTTCATTTTTTTCCGTTGCGCAGATACCCGACGCGCAGGTGTACTTCGACGGGTTGGCGCCGAATTGTGACAAGGTGCCTGTAGACCCGGAGGGTCCGTCGTACCGAACCGATTACGATCGTTCGAGGACATACGTGTGGGCCAGACCTACGTACTTGTTGACCAATAGCCGGGGATACATCGCCCTGCGGACGGGCAATCCGCTTGACCACCCGATCATCCAGCCCAACTACTTCGAGGATCCACGGGATGTACTGGCCATGGTGGAGAGTATACGAATTGTGCTGAGTCTGATGGGTACGCGGGCCATGAGCAAATGGGACGTGAGGCCGGATCGGACGCCACACCCGGATTGTGCTCACCACCGATACGGAACCGACGCATACTGGTCGTGCGTGGTGGTCACCGACACCAAGCCCGAAAACCATCATTCGGGCACGTGCAAAATGGGTCCGGCCTGGGACCGGGATACAGTGGTTGATCCCGAACTCCGGGTGCTTGGAGTGCCTAACCTGCGGGTGATGGACGCATCCGTGTTCCCCACCGGACCCAACTGTAACCCCATAGCGCCCGTCATCATGGTGGCCGAGAAGGGGTCCGACATGGTGAAACGTACGTGGGCGGCGTACGCACACGAAGACAACAACGTGCCACCCCTGTACAAAGACAACCTCAAGCAATAGGAATTGCCGTCACTACAACAATAACAATATCAAAATGTATTTTTATTCACACGATGTCATGATATGCATTATTGTATTTATTTATTTATTTATTTTCTCGGATGAACCGAGTTCCCCGGCAACTTTTGAAGGTTATGTGTTTCTCAACACGTGGGTGCCAGATGAAACAAAAAAAACAAAACAAAAATCACAATGTTAACCAAACCATAACAAATGAGTTCTACATTTTGTTTTTTTTTTTGTTCTGTTTTGTTTTTTTTTGTTTTTTTTTTTTTTTGGCAATATATTTCGTCATTGCAGTAAGTAATAATTACGGGTGATTAATGGTGTAACGTTCATGTTTACGCGCACCTGCCATCATATATTATGTACTTACCTATTTTGCATTTTAAGATGATTTTTTTTTTTTGCTGAATTTTAAGTCATCCAATTATTGTGATATGTTTTATTAAATTATTATTTATTTAATTTTAACCAAAAATTAGCGTTTTTAGTTCACGTTTATATTTCATCGCAACATAGGTGAAACTAATGAGACGGGGGAAGGAGCTGAAAGGACAGATCCCTTCCATAAACTTCCCCGAATCGATAGGGCTAATTTTTTTTTTTTTGTAATATTTTAAACAGTCAAATCGACATAGTTTTAGAAAAAATTCGAATGGCAGACAATCGTTACACGAAAAAACAATAATTACTTAACGAGCGGGAAAAATGTGTAGTCTTATCAAGTCAGTCGAACAAAAATAGACTGAGACACCCATCTCAAAAAAAAAAAAAAATTGACTTCTCTGTAATTCTGGACCCGCAATATTCTTATTATATTATTATTGTACTATAATTACGATGTATAATAGGTATTCACGGGCAGAATTCAATGGGACAGTATATTATATTATACTTTATTAAAAATATTAACGCAACATTGTTTACAGCATCGCCGAAATAAAATTCGGTGAAAGTATACCCGAAGAATGTCCTCAAATATTTCGGGATTTTTCTATGAAAATATAACCTGAAGCCACGACGTGAGGAGACCGTTTTACAAGTATAATATTACAGTATTTTTGTAATGGTCATAATGATACGACAGTTTAATAATAATAATATACACACCTATGTGATTTTAGAACGGCATAAATAGTTTTGATTCGATAATAATAAGCTCGGTGTGGCGTTTTGGGAATAAATAGAACAATAACAATGATGGCAACACTATTGTTTTAACGTCTATATTGTAATAACAAACGGGACTGAGAAAGTCATGTCGTGTACTGTTTACTATAACAAAACAAACCAAAATTAATTTTTATAGTATTATTATTCCGATAAACGATTCAAAATTCTATATTCGCCGAGTAATAATAATTTCAATTATAATACAATTTACAGAGATATAAAAAAAACATTTATTATTATTATTATTTTTTTTTTCTTTTTTGTCACCTTACTCCTAATCATTAAATATAATAAATTAAAAAAATCGACCCTAATAAGTAATAAACATAAATCTAAGTAAAATAATTTTAATTTTAAAATTTCAAAAATTTTGTTTGAATATTGTTTATTTTGTTAAATCAAACCGAACTATCGTTGTAGCAGCGGGTGAGGTTTTTTTTTTTTAATAAATCAATATTTTATAAAATCACATCATAAAAAGGCACTATTTTATATGCAATGTGCATTCGGGTTCTATTCTTTAGGGGATGGACATTTCGATGGTGTTAAAGGCCGTCGTTTGATCCGTCCTTTTTAACAAAATAATACGGTGTAAATAACTGCAGTCCCGAGTGTGGCTCACCACCGGTAACAAAATTATCGTTCAACTATATCGACGCACTTACGCCGATGATTATCGAAGCGAAACTCCTAGGTCAAGTCTGAATTGATTATATTCAATACACAAACTACGATTATGCACAGTGCACACAGACGAGTGTAGTCCGTAACGAATAAACTGTGTAAACGCCAGTAAAAAAAAATAAAACATTTTTTTTTTTTTCATGAAATTTAAAATGCTATATAATAATAATTTTTTTCATTTTAAATATAGTATAAGATGTTTTAAATTTAGACGGAAAAATGTGTCGTTTAATTTAAAGTACTTTCGTTATTTCCGTATATACGTTATTCGTACTTATTTTTTTTTTCCACAGGCGATAGCAATTCAAATAATTTGATCCAAGCGCGCACCTGGAGTTTTTATTTGGGGGAGGAGGGGTTAATTATTTTTTCATAACTAACGAAGCACCTAACCAGTATAATGTTACACAGTCAACGATCAAAATTATTATTGATATCGTAGTTATCGATTTAAGACGACGGGTGACAATCCGACGTAATCGCTAGTATAAATCTAAAAAGACGTTCTAGGATAATGAGGACGGAGGCAGTCACTATTATAGATAATTTAATATAAACTTGTAACCAACGATATAAACTATTGCTTACTAAAAAACGATTTTGAGCGGAGTTCAGTAAAGAGCGATGTTTTGTCAACAATATATATGCTTTATTATAGTAAAATAATTTTTATTCAGTTTACTCAGTTTTTCTCATTTGCTGGTGAAAACTCCTGAGAAAACTGAAAAATGATCTTCTTAAAGTACTTCCCCAGTCAGATTTACTTTCAGAAAAGTTGCTATACGTAAAAATCGGAGCAAGTTCTCTGGTAGAAAAGTTGTCCAAAGAAAAAAAAAAATAAACATTTTTGTAAACCCATAAGCTTCTTCGCCCCACTCAGAATCTAAAATAATTTTCAACGAAATAATCGATTGATAATTGCCACAAATCTCATCTCGTACTATTGAACTATTAATATGTATCAAACATGATAAATGATAATCAAATAAAAAAAAAAAAAAACATGTTTTATTATTGTAACAATAATAATAATATTATACAATATTCACAAATTTTGGGACATGGGATTTAGCCCCCCCCCTGGGTGCGCCACTTGTTTAATCAGCGTTTTTTTCGTCTAAATGTATTTGAAGTTTTCTTCCTATTAGAGCAATTAATATCAGTTGTCTTTGTACCAGCCACTCTCGCACGATCGTAATTTCTTCATCCTTTTAGATTCCGAGCGTAGCGAGAGTGCTATTGGTTTTACAATGCTGTTTATTTCTTTCTTTTTTCTTCTTCTAATCTGCAGGCACGTTTTGTTTTAGTAAACATGCTCTGATTTTTAGCAACTTTTCTAAAAGATCAAGTTATCTAGATGGTACTTTGTACTTTAATGAAGTAATTTATTGATTTTTGGTGCCTTTTTTTAAGTAAAAGCACTTAAATGAAAAAAGAAGTAGGAAAACGTACAATTTCACGATTCATTATTTTATAATACTTATATTGGACTTACTTACATGGTAAAATTTCCAAATTCATCAAATTACTTTCTTTTTTTTTTAATAAACGTTTTGAAATCAAATTTAAACAAAAATCTTAAAAAAATTACAGCACTTCAAATTATGTATTATTGAACTGCGCTCGGAATCGTCTTTCGTTAAGCAATGGTTTATCGTTGCTTACAGAGGTATAAATAAAATAACCTTAAATATTCTACCTTCCCAACTTCTCACCTACAACAGTGGCCGCTCTCATCCCCAGTATCAGCTTTTTTTTATATATATATTTTATTCAAAATAAATTTAAATAATAAACACGAATCATAAGTTTAATAGGTACGGATTACTAAATACTAAATAATGGTAAGCAGAATAGGTATATAATACTAATATGCAATAGTGATAATTACGTAACTTTCTATTATTATATTTTTTTTTATTTTTTTGAAAATGTTTAATACACATATAGGAATATAACTATGTATTATACTTGCCAAATATTTTATACCGATTGTAATAGTTTGGTTTATTTTTTTTTTATTCGTTAGACGATAATACAGTTTTTTTTTAAACCCGAAAAGACCACAATACTTAGTGAATACATATATATATTGTTATTATGCAGTATATACACTTGTTGGTGCTTATGTTTTGAATATTAATAGTTTGTAATTCTTCAAGTGTATAAGACAATAAAAATATTAGGAAATCCATACTGAAAATAAAAAAATATATATATATTTATGTATACATATATTTATAACCGTATATTACAAATGCAGTACGTACCGATTGATCGTTAGATTCAACATTATATTCATTATATTATAATATGATACATTTAAACGCCAAAAAATCGACTTTTCAAGGTACTCGTATCACAGTATTTTTATTTATACTGATTTTATATCACTACGAGTATTTAGACGCTTTATAGACACTACGAGAATATTACGAAATAATCGGATAAGTAGTAGTGAAAAATCATCATTTGATTTTTTGTACCTTATATATATGCCACGAAATATATGTATATAAAAAATATAAGTTTACTCTCTACGTATAAAGATGGTAATTTTTTCACTGATGTATTTCTCCGTGTTTTTATATTCAGTGGCATTTTTTGACTTGATATTTATCTATTGTGTATGTCACATTTTTTTTTTTTCAAGTTATTATACTAGTAAGTAAGTATCTATACAAACGTATAAATTAAAATGCACTTACCTTCAATTTCAGTTTATTTTTAACATTTTTATATTTTCAGCAATTCTTAATAAAAGTTTTTTTTTTTAGTAAACAATTAACAAATCATAAATAAATAAATATAAATTTAAAAAATGAAAAATGAAATAAAATCATATAAAAGCAAGTTAGTCTATTGGTCGTAAAATCATAATAATTTTAACGAAAACACAAACTAGTCACAAATTCAATTTGAACCCCCAGATTGTTTACACTGCAGTACATTATATCTCAACAAAGCATATAGTATTTTTTTTCTTCATATAAATCTGGTTTAAAAGTTTATTTCTTGTTTGCTTTATTGTAAGACGGAATCTGTTCTTAAACACATCTCTTTTTAGAGTATTTGCGAAAAGGCATTGGACAATGGACATATCCTACGGAAAATGAATCCGTTCAATGTTTATTTTAAAGCTATTACAAGTCCCGACTTTTCGCCCTAGGACGAACTTTTCATACATCGTATAAACAAACTCAGAATATTCTACAATTTGTGTTTACGGATCAATTGGAGGTACGTAATAAAAAACATTGAACACACTTTGGACGGTGAATGGGTCAATGTTGTAGGTCAGAAGTTCGGATGGTAGAGGGGAAATTTAATGTATATCATCTGTACGCAACGATTAATCATTACTAACGAAAAACGATTGTGAACGGAGTTTAACGGTTTCACGTAATTTGAAAGGCCATAGTATTTACGATTTGAAAATATTACATTTCGTAAATTGTCCCGGTTTCTCTACGGTTTTATTTGGTTTTTTCCATTTATTATAAAAACCCCCGAAAAAATCAAAAAATGATTTCCCTAAAGTACCCCCCAGTCAGATTCCCTTTCAGAATAAATGCTGTACTTGAAAATCGGAGCAAAATTTCTGGTAGACTAATTGTTTAAAAAAAATAAAAAATAACATCATTATAAAACCAATACATTCCTCGTTCCACTCTGAATCTAAAACAACAAATAAGTGTAAATTAATATTTAGATTAGGCACTTTTAAAAAAAGCGTTTTGTTGATAAATATAACAATTGACTGGCAACTATTCTCGGAATTTAAAAAGTATATTATCAATTTTTCTGGTTTATGCAAACAAAATATTTTTGTTCTCATCGTGAAACTCTTAATTTAGGTACATTTGTTAGATTCTTTTGAATTAACGCACTTCTATTTACGCCTTAACGGCCACTGAAAAATTGTAACTGTTTATTAATTTTGATCGTCGATGAAAATATTATTTAGGATTAATAGTTATAGGAACTATATTAATAAGTAAGAGTAACCGACTACACTAGTAATAGGTAGTATTGGTAGTGAATTACACAACGCGATTTTTCGATGTCCATTTCACCGAATACGTTGGCCGTATATGATACAGACATAAACTAAGCATGTTTCGCAGTTTTTCAACAGTGTAAAATTAAATTTTCCTAAAATTTAGTCTATTTATAGGTCCGTTACACGGATTCGAAAAAAATTAATAGGTACGATTATAAGTATGATGCGAAATGGGCGAAAAAATAAATACCTATACAAATATAGAAAAAAAAACCTAGCTCGGGTTATTGACTATTGTTATTAATATGAGATCATAGACACTTATACATAATATATTACATTAAATCAAATACGAAGACATTGACATACAATTTTATATTGTATTTCGTAACTACCAATCTCGGAATTATTCCATCATCGGGTTACCATACCTATTTATGTTACAAAGAAAAATAAATTACAGTGAAATATTATAAGTAAAGACAAAATGTATTGAAACATTATTGTATAAAGAAAGTGTATTAAAATATTATATTGAATAAATTATTTTCAAAAATTAGACCTAAATATATCACCGGCGTATATTATTATAGTTGCACTTCGGCGATCGGTTTCGATTTTGAAAATTATCTTTAGGCAACTAATAATATTATTCAGGCTAGTTAACACTATTGTCGAATTTTCCGAGAAAATTGAGACAATTGCACTGTACACGTCATACATAATATATTTTACCCGTTTCTTTTGGATATTTCTAACGGCTTTCTCTAGACCAAATGAGCTAAAACTCAGGAATTAGAGTTGTTCGTAGGAGTATTGAGATGATAAAAGATAAGTTAAATAAAAATTATATAACCGTGTTGTTGTGGGTGTAGGGTGGTTTTTAGCTTTGTACACCCCTGCAGACTCATCGAATGAAGCACATACAGAAATATGCATGCCATTAGTATCAGGAATGCGCCTTTTGCGGATTTTAATTTACAACTTTCACTTCTACCATTTATATGGTCAAGTTTAACCATTTCTTTAAAAGTAATACAATAATTTGTACAGATAATGTATTGAGTATAGAACAGTAGGTACTGTATTGTTATATTATTCCGGTTGTTTATTGTTTAGCATATTGTATATTTGTATTATAAAAAAACCTGTCCTATGATAATGGGGACGAGTGCAGCCACTGCTATAGGTAATTTAATGTATACTTGTAAGAAACGATAAACCATTAGCGAAAAAACAATTCTGATCGGAGTTTAGTTGATAGTGATGTTTTCTCAACAATATATATTGTCATATTATGGTAAAATAATTAAATAGACATAATATATTTTCTTTAAACATTTTTGTTTAATGCACCGATTTTCCCGTGATTTTTTTCCGGTTTTTCACATTTTCTAGGAAAACTTCTGAGAAAATCGAAAAATGACCTACCTTCCCAGTCAGATTTTCTTTCAGAAAAAGGGCTACACATAAAAATCGGAGCATGATCTCTGGTAGAAAATTTGTCCACAGAAAAAAAATATTTAAAAAATAAGGATCTTTGTAAAACCATAAGCTTCTTCGCTCCACTCAGAATTTAAATTAGAGTAGGGAAGAAATCCTACTCTAATGATCTCTGCTGCTCACGAGTGCTTTCATTATTTTATAGTACCTAATTGGTTTATTTTCCTACATTATTAATTGTTTTATGTGTATTTAAAATACAATTTAGGTACTACTAATTGTAGTGTTATTAAATACCAACCTATATATGAATATATATGAATTTATTTATTAAAGTAACCAGACCCAAAATGTTTATACGGGTACATTTTGAAGTCTATATAATTTAATATTTTTACGGCTAATTTTAACTTATATATATTATTATATAATATTTTATTTCGTTTAGGTATGTGTCTATCAAATACGTATATCTATGTGGCTATGACATGATAGTCGATTATATCGTCTATTGGTTTTATCACGCACGTTGACAGTTTAACACGTGGAGGGAAATACTACTGCAGTAGTACGCTTGGCTCAACAATACGAAAATGATCAATCTATATCGAGCAGATCACGAGGAATGTTTTATTTTTATTATTTATTATTATTATTACTATTATTATTATTATTATTATTGTTGTTGTTGTTATCTATCAGTCGGTGTTAAAGTACTTATATTTATTTCAATTTGTATACATACTTGTATTAAATAAAATAATATTTAAATTAATAATTATCATAGCGAACCTCAGCTATAAGTTACTACCTACCTGTTTTGATATCTACATTGTGCAAAAGAAAAGGAAAACGTTCGATTCATAAGGCAAGTACAAAATATGATAATATTTAAAACCGAAATGGTTTAAAATTCAAGCCGATAGTTAAAATTTAATATTTTTGAATTACCGGAGTACATAATTTCATCGGTATCTTGCCAAAATTCATTAACAGCAATCTGACCATTTTTATTATATGATTTTTTTATTACTATTTTATTTTTTTATAGAACAATCTAAGGTAGTAAATAATTTTCTTTCGATTTACGAGAGGCGTTCAAAGTGAATTTCTCATTCAAACCAAAACGAAAACTGTAGTATTTATAATACCTATAGATGATGTAAATAAAATTTAGTCAGATTATAGACTTAAGACAAGTGGCAGATTAATATTGAATATACTCGTTGCTTAAATCACATCCCTCCCGGTATCTTGTTCTGGATCCATCATTGCTTACGACGAAATTTTATTTGCAAATTTACCGAAACAAATATATAGAAATAATAACTAAAAAGGAAATAATAACTGAGTAGTCTTGTAAAATATACTTTTTAAAAGTCAAGTACAAATACTTATTTTAAAAAATATTTTAAATACGTCTTTGAATAATTAGTAAAAAAAATTATTTCAGTATAAATACAAACACTATTAAAAGTATTTCTGGTTACTTTTAAATAAAATTATTTTCTTATCATTTAAATCAACTTTATTTTTTTTAGTATTTGCATATTTTACATTAATTTTATTGATCATTTTACACCATACCATTTAGAGTAAATAACAACAATTTTCTTTAAGTTACTATTCTGTTTCCTTTAATAAATTATTGGAATTTTCAGTTCAGTTGAGTCACGCCAAAAATATATTTTGATCGTGATAAAGGGTAATAAAAATGTTTATCACCATAAGGAATAACAGTAAAAATAAAACATAGCTCTTACTATAGTTTCTTGGTGTACATTACGACTTCTAAAACAATTAGACTTCCTCATAAACTTCATGCAACTTATCGAAATCTGTCGAGAGAATAAAAAATCATAATCATCATCAAAATAATTTCTGGCCAATATGACACAACTATTGCCCAAATATTTTTTATTTAACGTAGTTTAATAGAAAATAACTTATACGAACTAAACAGAAAAAGTATTTAACAAATAATATTTGATTTTAATCATTATTTTCGAAATTTCCCGTTTTTCTTACGTTTCATTCTGGTTTTTCCCAGATATTATGAAAACCGCTTGAAAAATCAAAAATTAACCCCCCAATAGTACTATCTGAACAATATTCCCTTTCAGAAATGGTGTCGCGTGTATATATCTGAGCAAGATTTCTGGTAGAGTTTTTGTACACAGGATAAAAAAATTAACATCTTTATAAAACCAATTTATTCTTCGCTACACTCAGAATCTAAAAAATAAACTTCTAAAATTATAATATTTTAATTAATTGTAAATAAGATTAAATTATTTAAATTTATTGGTAATTTCCAAATTAAAAATGTCTAACATTCATGTGGCATACAGTAATAATGTGTATTGATATATTATACATAATATGTTAAATATATTTATGCAATATAGGACTAGGGTCTGGGACATATAGGTAATACGGTCTCTCTTGATTTATATATACTTATTTAGAAACTATTTCTATATACGGTACTTTAACTCAGTGTAGTTTATTACCGGGTTAGTATTAAGAGTAAGTGTATTGATTATGTGAAAAAATGAAGAAAGAAAAAATAATAAAAAAATAGTGACAAAAAAGTAAAAGGAAAATGACACATATAAATCAAAAGAAAAACAAATCTGACAAAATAATTATCTATTAGATAAGATTAAATAACCGTGTAAATTAGAATGTTATTGGCTCACACGGAACATTATAAACGATGCAACACAAAAATATGAAACATACAAAGAAAACTGAGCTAACACATGTAGAGAACTAAATGAAATATATAGGAAAACGTTGTGACGGAATTAACAAAAATGTAATAACAATAATTGAAAATAAAAGAATAAAAAACAGCATGAAGAAAATATAACAACTCGATAGTTTAGGTATCTTAGGTGCCTACATATTACTTAAGATTTTTGCTTTAGGAACGCTTTTAGCTAAATGCATGGTTAAGATATTATAAATAATAAAGATTGATAAAGATAATATTAGAAAAATCTAAATTTTAAAATTCATTAGTAAAAAAAAAAAAAAGGTAAGGTCAAACGATTTCAGGTAAATTCATTCAGGTATAAAAATCATTAAATCATTGCAATAAACAATGTATTTTAAATATATGTATATTATTTTAGAATATATCTAAAATAAAATAATTCTCAAATACCGTATAGTAATTACAATGATTGTCTGCAATAGATTTAAACCAGGCGTAAAAATTATCAGTTATATACACTCACGGTAGCTAATAATTTTTTAATCATTTATCAATATCAATATCAATCATTTTTAGTGTGTTAGTTTTACGTCGTATTCGTATCATTACTACACACTGTTTATAATATATATTATGGTATTAAAGTGACAGGAGAAATCAATTAATAATTGAAATTTGGTAATACACTTATTAATACGTTTATTCTGAAGTGTAACTTCCAGCTTTGTAAAATTTAATATTATGGGCTAACATAATAGATCGGATAAAATGGGTGGGTTTTGTGAATGCACATTAAGGGAGCGATTTTGAAGGACCTTGGAATGTGGACTGTGGTTTTCCTATAAATTAGAGTTTTGAAAATTGATTTCTAGTATTTTACTGGAATTTGCATTAGGGTAAACTTCTAATTAGACGATTATAACGGATCTGCTGTCTAAATAATCATGAGTAAACATTTATTCATTACTTGTTTTGTATCGTTTCTTTAACATATAGGAGTCAATAATTTTTTAAAACAGTACAAACTGAATATGACAAAATACTATCCCACGGAATTCACGCCCAAAGACACGTCACAGATGTGCATGCAGACGAAAAACCCGATATTGTCTTGTCACTCAGAGAATTTCGTGTTTCTCCGGTTCTTGATGCACCTGTTCGGGTATACGGTGGACGGGCCAACAGCTCCGCCCAAGAAATTCATCACTGAAAAACATCATGTACTAATAGATGGACCCGTCATAGCGGGATCACCGACCAAACACTTCTTGGACGGTTATAATCATTTGTTCGATGAAACATTTATGTCCGTTTTCCAGAAAAAAAGGCGCAAGAGGGCCATAGCCGAGCGTGAGCAATATGATTTCGTGGTGGTCGGCGCCGGATCCGCGGGTTGTGTGGTCGCCAACAGGCTGTCAGAAATTAAAAACTGGAGGGTAAGCTTCTTCTCCGTTATCATTCAAAATTGGTAATGATGTGTTATACGATAAATAGACAATTTCGAGTTTTATCAAAATTATTCACCATACAGGTATTGCTCCTGGAAGCCGGCATAGAAGAACCCGCGTTTTCTTCGGTGCCTGGTCTCGCTCCTTTACAGTTAGGAAGTAAAATCGATTGGAATTATACAACACAACCCGACAAACATATGTGCAGATCTAGACCGGGGGGTATATGCGATTGGGCCAGAGGCAAAGTTATGGGGGGATCCAGTACAATCAACTACATGATTTACACTCGAGGGAATATGGACGATTACAACGAATGGGAGCGAATGGGTAACGATGGTGCGTATAATTATGGTATTTAATCTATTTATGTAGATTTGAGTATTGAGTACGGAACTAAGGTTTAAAAGTGATTTAATCAATTTGCTAAAAAGTGGGCAAGTTAATGAAAATAATTAACTTGTTTAAGTTGAGTTAAATACACGTAAATGCCTACATTTAAATTTTAATCTTTAAGAAAAGATATATTTAACTAGGTAGTTAAGTTGAAAGTTAAAATGAAAAAAATATTAACTTAACTTAGTCAAAAAAAGTTAATTAATTCAAAAGAAATCAACATTGAAAATATTCAATATTAAAGACCTAATAGTTTTACTATTAATCTTTTTATATATTTGTATACAAAATACACTCATTACTTAAACAACCCCTATTAATATAACATAATGTATAGGTAATAATTATGCAAACAGAATCAACAAACAGCATATCATTATTATCATTAATATTATATTGCAATTAATAATTATACAAAATATATTTTTTGATAATTTTATTTAACGTAATATGCTAGTAATCTAACGCAAAATGTAAATGAATAAAATCTCTTGAATATGACAAATATGATAAATGAATATTATGTTTTGTATTAGATATAAGACCGAGTGCCCACCAATGCAGCGAAAAAAACTGCCATGTTTCACTGCATGCCCATGTTTGGTGTATTTGGCCTAAATCTTCTTATTGAGAATAATTACAATTAAATCCAAAATATTGAAAAAAATAATTTACCTTTAACTTAACTGGATATTTATATAAATTAACTGTAAAAAAAAAAAATGAAAACTTAAACTATTTAAATAAATAAACTAACGATAAAAATATTTAATTAATCAAGTTAAAAAGTTTAAAAAATATCCATCTTGGCTAATTCAGTATTTTTAATATAAAACAGCTTAGACGAATTTAACAAAACTATAATATTGATACGTTTAAACTTTATTAATCAATTATTTTTTTTTTTTAAATTTAGGTTGGAGTTATGACGACGTTCTTTATTATTTTAAAAAATCCGAGGATAACGAAGATCCGGAAATTTATAAAAAAAATCCAAAATATCACGGGAAAGGAGGTTATCTTACAGTAGAATGGTTTTCGTATTTAGATCCTACAGCCAAAGCATTAATTAAGGTACACGCATTAAAAAAAAACTATAGGCTGATAAATAATTCAATTAACTAAATTATAGCAAAAGTTGGACTTCTCAAAATATAATTTTAACTATATTTGACAAAAGTTTGTTTAAAGTATACAATAAATAATGTTATTATTATATATTTTATAGGCGTGGAAAGAAGTCGGCCTGGACTATGTAGATGTCAATGCCGAAAATCAAATAGGCGTTACTCATTTACAGTCTACGGCCAGACATGGTGAAAGAATGAGTACGAACCGAGCATTCATAAGTCCGATAAGAAAAAAACGTAAAAACTTGACGGTTCTGACAAACGCTCACGTGCATAGGGTGTTAATCGAAAAGAAACGTGCCATCGGTGTAGAATATTTGTACAAAAACAAAATCCGGAGGGCGTTCGCCGATAAGGAAGTGATTCTCAGTGCCGGGGCGTTAAATTCACCGAAAATATTGATGCTGTCCGGCATCGGGCCTAAAAAGCATCTGGAGAAAATGAACATCAAAGTTATAAAGAATTTGCCGGTCGGTAGAAATCTACAGGATCACGTCACATCTGACGGTGTTGTGATACGGCTGAAGAAAACGGCTACCGACAAACCTCTTGAAAAAAAAAAGAAAGACGCCATTTTATACAAGAAGAAAAAGTCTGGTCCTTTGGCGGCCACCGGTCCGTTGCAATGTGGCGTATTTCTTCAAACCAAGTATGTGTTCTTCTTCTTCGGGCATTTAATATTCGAATTTAAATTTTTACCGCCATCACAATCTATCCTTACACTTCACTCGATTCTGAACTACTCTTCTCCGATTTTGTACTTTTATAAGTTTTTAATTCAGTACTGCTCTACTTACATCCTTCTTGTCAATCCATTCAGTTTTTATCTTTCTTTTTATTCTTCTCATGGCTAATTGCTTAAAGTATGCTTAGTGGCCATGTTAATATTTTATTGTATTTCGCGGCGCTCTTATATGCAACATATTAAACTTATATGAAATTCGTTTTCTAGACATTAAAATTTAAAATTATTTTTTGTACACGTTAAGTTAACAATATTTGTTTCGATTAATTCGGATTTAAATCGTTTTTGTAGATATGAAAATTCACTGGATCTCCCGGACATAAATTACGCGTTCGATAATAGCAATGCAAAGGACTGGATCACTGACCCCGCGAACGCCACGAAATTCGGTTTGTCACCAGTTTCTTATTACGAAGCAATTAACGTTAGACCGATTTTGTTGAAGCCCGAGAGTAGAGGATATATACTACTCAACAACACTCATCCGGTTTGGGGTCAACCGCTGATATATCCGCGATTTTTTACGCGAGGGAACGATCTTCAAGTACTTGTCGAAGGTAAATTGCACAATATTTATTTACCTATTTTTACAGTGGTTTTAAAGAAAAGCCTAGTCGTAAAATTATAAAATTTATGAATTTATAAAATATCATAATTTAACTACTAACTGCAGGTTTCAGCACTTATAAAATACACATAATATTGTTTAGATATTAGTTAACTTACTATTTAAAACTGCAGTAAATATATACATAAGAAAATTTAATTTCTGATTTGAATTCTAATTCGAATGAAGCTGAAATTGTACAGTAGGTAGGAATTTTATAAATAGGAAACGTCAGCTAAGAACGAATTTTGCAACTGGGACGAACTAAAGGGATCTAAAAGCTATCGTAAGTTTATATGATGATCTTATGTTTTCGCTGATACATAAAGATGAGTTATTTTTGTTTTACTTCTGGTATGAAAATGTAATGTATAAATATAGCTATTAGACTCCTTTAATTAGAAGATAAATTTGATAATATTTCACTAACTCCTAAATATTATCTGTATGCTATATGATAATGCTACAAGCTATCTGGAATAGCAATATCACGGGCAAGCAAATTTATTTTTAAAGCGATTGGAAGCGACGAGTTTCTGTCTTTGTTTTATTCACGTAAGATATAGAGATTTAGACGTTTTTTATTTCCAACGACCGATTGATCTAGTAAAGCAATAATAATTCTGAAAACAGATTTGAATTTTTCGTTAAGTCTATTTGAAAAACTTTCTCACTTTTTTAATTTTTGATTTTAATTTTTCAAAAATTTGAAATATTCCATTTTGCAACTTTTATTAATATGACTTTTTTAGAATTTAAGGAGGTAAATTTAAAAAGTGGAAAAGACAGAAACTAGTCGCTTCTAATTCCCTTAAACATTTACAAAAAACAAGCGTTCACTACAATAATAAGAATTATAATGAAAACGGGGAACCACGGAGAAACAAGTTTGTTTCCGTTTCATACAGACATAGGAAAAGCCGTATTATAGTTATTAATAATTTTATGATTGAGAACTGTATACATAAATTACTGAAAACTAAAATTTTGCTGAAAATCACTTTTGTGAATATAGCGTACATAATATATTTATATGTATTTCATCACGAAATTCGAACACTGACTTCCGACCATTGGTTTTAATCTATGGGGCCCCTCGAAAAAAATGGCTCTTGATGGATCAGATTAACACGAGTAACGAGTGTGACTAGATGTGTTAATGGTCAGGAACTTATTCTTTACAGTTTTTTTTTTTTTATTATTATTATTCGATTTTTAACTGAGTAATACTGAGTTTTAACTGATAATATTAACATCAAAAAATAATACAGATATTCACCTTTTCTATAAAAAAAATTACATAAAATATTTAAAAGGACGTGGTATGGATATTGAACATAATATGTAATATCACAAATTTAAAAATGCTTATATGCACATCACTTAAAAATTAAAATACTTAAAAGTCCAAGACTGTAGCATAGATAGTGGTTTTACTTTTGCGTTTAATAATAAGCCAATTCACTTTAATATTAAAAGTAACGGCATAAAATTATTATCTCTACTGAACGCAAATTCGCTATGTACTACGTTTTTAAGACGGAGACAGGTCATACGGAAACTACATCTTCTTAAAGAATTTATTAAGCTCAGATGAACAGTTGAATAGTTAAATTTAAAATGTATAATTTTGTATTAATATACATTTAGAAAGTATAATTTTATTTATCGGGATAGTAAAAATAATAACTCACTAAACGTGTATTTGATTGATTCTTAGATAATAGTAATTATTGTAAGTATATGTATCTCATAACACTCAAAATTATAACTGAGAAACGGTGTAAACTCATAGTGAAAACACATAATAATTGATTTTTAATAACCGTTACTGTGGTATAATGGATGCCAATGCTTTACATTTCGATCGGTGGATTGTTAGTACTTTTGTAATATTGGTTTCGACCAAATACTTTCATATCGTTACAATATTTGTTTTCACTCGTTAGCGTTTCAAACATGACCAGTAATTCACACATAATAATAATAAAGACATGCCGTCGATACTTAGGCGTTCGTAAAAATATTATGTAAAACCGCACATTATTGGGAATTTTTTTTGTTAAGTATTGTAATATGGGATGCTTACAGTATAGTGAGTAGGTTGTTATATTATAATATGGTCATATTTTATACTATGATTTTGTCACTGCAGTAAAAAACGAAACTATACGATCGCGATAAAATTAATCAAGCGCGCAAAACAATAAACCGGTAACTATAATATGCAGGTAACCGCAATCGTATGTAATCAAGGCATAAAATGTGTCGATTATTACGATTGAAACAAACATCGACTACGTTAAGCACCTGTACAGTGTACGTAGTCGTATCTTTTCGTTTAAATTTAAAAAAAAAATTGTATCTAACGTAATATAAGAAATTACATACCATAAATAACCAGCCAACCCTAATATAGAAGTATAGGTAGGTAGGTAGGTAGGTAGGTAGTGTGTATGCGCACACGTCAAAATTACAAAATTTCTTCGCCGATGCCGATGTATACGTACAGTGTGTTTAAAATGAAAATATGTATTAGCAAAATAACAAAACGTTTCGGCTTTGACACAGTTGCACGCGTTACATAACATTTGTTTAGGTCATCGCTGTATTGTTTTGTTCCTATAATAATATGTGTTGTACGAGCGCTTATAACGACGGTATTCTGGCTCAATCCTCTGCTTTTTAGAGACCGGCAAATTCTTGCCGGCCATGTCATTTGTACGACTAACGAAAAAGCTTTTAAAATCGATTTGCACAGGTAAAACGCGTATTATTACAAAAACGTTTATACAGCAATATTTGGAAGAAAATCTCGTCGGCGTTTTACAATAAATTCATTAAAGTCCGTTCTCGTCAAATTAAACGTTAAATTTTTGACGGAAATTATAACAGATTACCGACCAATCGTGGTTGGTCATTAACCGTAAACTTTGTTTAAAAATCAGATAAACGCCTTTATTACGTTGACGAAAAATCGTATTTTAATTTTTTTTTTTTTTTTTATTAATTCTTCTTCGCCTTTATTCCAATGGACATGGACATGGCGCCATCTAGACATTATTCGTTCGTTTTGCGTAACTAAATACATTTTTCGTCACCTACATTAACCGTTAAAAAAAAGAAACAGACGGTAAATTCAACTGTGATGGCCTTTTAACGTCAGTAGGTATTTCGGCTAAATCCTCTGCTTTATCGGCGATTTAAACCGGTTTTCGCACGTTAAAACTGAGTTAACGGTTATGTACCTATTGTTTTTACGATATTATAATATATAGCAAACAAAACCGACCGATTTCGAAATAGCATCGTCATCAGAACGATTTGACTAATAGTATAATTATCGCCGAGACGCATAATATAGTGTGAGTTAACACGTCGAATTTAATAATATAATACGTAATACGCGTGCGATAAACAGAGCAGAGAGAAGGCATACGATTTTAGTGTGTTGTTTTTTTTGCTCACCCACGCTATTTCAATTAAATGTCAGACTACATTCGATAATTGCATACAATTAAAGAGCAATATCGTGCAATAATTACTCACAAAAGGTTGGTGTCGTAATCGCGTATGTATCATCACTTTATCATGATGATTATAGACGATAATACAATAATAGTATAGTAAAATGTATTGTTTTATCATAAAGTCTCAAAAAAATAATTTCTCTGATTTTCTTGCTATATTTGTAAATGTACGTTTTACTACCAGGGGCAAATCGAGCAAATCTACCTAACTTTGAGCCGTATAATAAAATAACCAATAACTACAAAAATTATTAATAGATAGTGTCTTACGGAGAAACACCGAATTCGGTATTGGATACATTTTAACTACTCCCGTCTCACCTATCTTGAATATATTCCACGCCCGGGGAACGTACTATTACTCCCGTAAACGGTTTTAATATAGTAGTTTTCTTGGGTATGCCCTTATTATCATGCTACTGGATTTAACGCTGCACGGTTTTTGAGCAGGGATGAAAATCGGAGCGAATTTGGCTAAAATGTCGTCGATGCGTAAGGCGGGCGCTGAGCTGGTGGACGTGCCGGCCAAGGCGTGCCGGGCCCACAAGTTCGGAACAGACGGTTACTGGTCGTGCGTGGTCATGGAGTACACGGCAACCATATACCATCCAGTGGGCACGTGCAAGATGGGACCGGAAGACGACGAAGAAGCGGTGGTGAGCCCACGGCTTAAAGTGTACGGCGTAGCCGGGCTCAGAGTAGTGGACGCGTCCATAATGCCAACCATCGTCCGGGGTAACACCAACGCGCCAACGATCATGATCGCTGAAAAAGCGTCAGACATGATCAAGAAAAAATGGCATTTGTCGAAAGCCGTGGGTATTAATGGTGGTAATAAAATGTAAACTCGACAATAGTATGTCATAGTTACACGTTTGGGCATAAATGAACCACGAGGCGATGTTCCCGGGCACATCGTGTCCCCAGAGAAATGACAAGTTTGGATAGTATATAATATATTATGTTATGCAAAAAATAGTTGGCTTAAATTTACTCAGAAAAATAATATTACAGGTAACCCGTTAGATAAATAGAAAATTACGAAGACAAAAAAAACGACTGGAAATTAAAATTTTTGGTTTGTTCATAGTATCCAGGGAAGGAATATTAATTTTACTATTTTAAAATTGTTTACATTATTAAAAACCTCGTCGTTGTCCGTCTATGTCCGAAATGTGTTCTATATTAATGTTTGCCCAAGCGTGTTTTGTCTTTTGTACAATTATCAATTAAGTAAAAATATCGACATTAGCCTAAAGAATTGAACCTCGTGCAATTGTCAGGATAAAATTTTCCTCCTCTCGTTGTATACATTAAATCACTAACCTAGTATCATCCGTTAAATTGCCCGAAGCCTAAACGAACTATTGAGAAAATGTCATATGAAATCAAATAAGGAAGAAATAACATTTTTGGAAAATATTTACTCATTATTCACTGATATTTACCATTATGAAAGCTACTGTTCTACAACGACCACCAAAACTTTTTTTAAAACACAGATTTATTTTAACCGATTTCTTTACATCAAAGGTCAAGAATTTAATTTAAAAGTTATTCTATACAGTTTATTTTAGTAAAAGGAAACAATTTAGATTAGTTTTTTTTTTTTTTTTTAGGAATCAACAATATTAGCCATATCTTTTTAAAATTCTATAAGTAAATATATAATGTATAAAATCATAAAATTACTTTTAAAATATTGTTTACCAGCTACTAGATTACGATTTTTTTAACTCCATATACCTATTTATAATGATATAATGATTTTACCATGGATATAAAAAAACAACTGTACAGCCTATTAGGGTCCAAAAAGAGTATGTTTATGTTTGATACACCAAGTGCACAAACGGTATTGATTAGCCTATGAAATATTTGTTATGGAACAAACTCGATGATAGACTTGATAGAAATACCTTTAAATATTTTTCTTATTATCACATAGTTCATGGCGTGAACAAACATTTTAAAAGTTAATCTTTAAAATGTGTCTTCCTGTTATATCAGCTGCCAGTCAGCTATCTATAGTTGCTTTATATATCTGCGGATTTCACGTGGTTTTTTCCACATCACTTTAAGCGAGTACAAAATATATGACTTAAGTTATTTAATATATTAAATTAAATAACGAACACATCAAAAATACATATTGTTACAATAACTTTTAAGTTTTATCGATAAGTTTTCAGTGCAGTAATTTTTTTTTTTTTTATAACAATATCATAATCTTAATATCATAAATTGTCTTAAAAGTTTCCCACAAAATAGTTTACACACTTTGTATTTACAAATACCTATTTACTTACCAAATCTTCCATACTCTTGAAATAAATAAAATGTATAGATCTTCGAAAGGTTATGATGTTGAAAAAACCATTGTTTTACACGAGCTAATGTATTCTTTAATATAATATTATTGTAGATATTTTTAGATATCTGCTTTTAAAAAGTAATTAATTATAATTAACAATCAATGCTACCTCATGGAAAAAGTAGGATCATAATAATTAAAAATTTTTTTTTCTTATTAATCCAAAAATAAAAATGTTTGTATAATACTTGTATGCTTGTTTTAAAATCAAAAATAATATAACTATTCATGTAAGTATCATTGAAAAGTAATTATATCTGAAATTTATTACTATTTTAAAATAAACAAATACCTACCTAAATCCTTTTATATAACTTTATATAAAAAAAATACACAAGTTTACACATTTCGTGGAATGGCATTGCTATGTTTTAATTACATTTAAAAAAAAAAAACTAATTTTCTTTAACCATTAACTCTATTTTAGTTTTAAATGTAGTCTCATATTGTTACAAAATACAAAATTATAGTAAAAAATAAATGAAATATCTAAACTAACGTATGTAATTACTGTCGTTATGTATTAATTTTTTTTTATTATATTAATAGTTAAAATTTTAAGTGTTATATTGTCTTCAATTTTAGTTGTAGTTTTATTAAAAAGGATCAAGTATTATATATAGTTTTAAGTTTAAGTTTAAAGTTATACTAATGATCTAATCAATACTGATACATTTTGCTCAATATACAAATTATAAGAATTTTATTTGTCAATATAAAGTTTACGGGTTTTTTTTTTTTTACCATTTTATATTACAAAAAGTACCATAATATATATTACATATACTATATAGGTATACATATTGTATGGTGAACTGTATATTGTATTTTTGCGAAAGTACAAAATTGTATAATATATAGAATAGATTTTAAATTGTAAAGATGGACATGATTTTATTTTTGTTCAAGTTATGAATAACTAATTATATAATAATATCTAATTAGTTAAAAATATTATTGCCAATGTTATTATAATGAATGTTCGGATGAAACAAAATATGCGTTTTAATTATTTTATTTTGGTATAATTTTGGCCTTAATATCCTAAAGTATATTTCGAACAAAACCATGTAATTAATACAGTCACGGTCGATAATTTCGAAACTGAATTACCCGAAATCTTTTGTTCGAATGTTATTTTTCTGAATACGGAGAAAAAATGGGGGTGAGAGAGAAATGGCATTATAGGATTTAATGGGTGGAGAACATTTTCTCCGTGGCTTTCATCAGACCAGACACTTCAAATCAATACCAAGAAACTCTGTCTCTCATAAAAAAAATTATACGAGCGAGGGTTGACATAACTTAGATCTATACTCTGCTGTCAAAGAATTCAATAAGAAAAAAACTCAAGGAAATTATGTTTACAGAACTTGAGCTTGGGGTAGGAGGAAAAGTCAGAAATCGGTCAGAAAGAAAATGGTAAGACTTTAAAAGGCGCATATTTTAGTTTGCTGTCATCAAGAGTTACGGTATAATCTTAAATAACTTTGTATTCTTGGGAAAATTGACAGTTCATAATATTGCCTTGTAAATAATTGTATATTTAACTTGTGTATTGTGTAATTTTAATTTATTTTGAAATTTAAAAATGTATGTGTTAAATAATAATAATTTATAGGTACTTAAAAACAAAAAAACGGACATACTTCCACTATGGATAGGCTACTGTTGTAGGTAAAAAGTTGAAAAGGTAAGATGTAGGGGAAATTTAATGTATGCAACACATACATCACGTGTTGTATACATCTGTATACAACGATAAACCATTGCCAATGAAAAACGATTCGGAGCGAAGTTTCTGTTATACATGTACGTACATTTTCCCGTTTTTCCCCCGTGTTTCCCGGTTTTTCTCAATTATTATGAAAACCTACTTGGAAAATCAGAAAAAAATGACATAGATAAATCCAGATAAAATTACCTTTCAGAAAAGGTATAACACTTGAAAATCTGGTAGAAAAGTTGTTCACAGACATAAAAAAAAAAGTAAAAAATAAACATCATCATAAAACCAATAAATTCCTCGCTACGCTCCAAATCTGAAAAAATTCGGGATTAACACAATCTGTTCAGAAAATATATCATACGAGATATTTGATTCAGGAAAAAGGTTGGGAATAATCCAACGAATACAGATATGTAACGTCAATAAAAAGAGTTAAATATTGGTGAAAAAAGTTGATACTTTGTGTTTATTTTCGATAAATAATTGAACTTTACATAACAGTTTATAGTTTTGAAAACGATTAATATTATGTAAAATAGATTACTGGTTTATATCTATTTCATAGTATTATATTCAAATAAGTATTCTTATCCGTGTACAAGTTGTACGGGATATTTTGTTATTGGAAATTGTTTTTTAACCAAAAATACATACTACATAATACGATAATTAATTTTTTAAGAAAATAGTATATGTAATTAAAATTTTAAATATTTATTTTAAGATCAAACGCTATTTTAATTTCCGGTTATGGTATGTTTCACGAACTATTTCGGCAAATATCCACAACATTCATGTAACCAGCATGTGTAGAACTATATTTTAATTAAACGTACCTGCATATACACGGAAAAGTAATAAAAATATTAACTCTAACACTAACGGTTTGAAAAGTGAAAATTAGATAGGTCGCACAATTATTTTACAAGTAAAATATTATTGAAAACCAAGATACGCGAACGAGATAATCTAGAAAAAATAAGAAAGTTATGACTTTTAATACTTATATACTTAACAAGAAATATTATTAAGTGAGATGCTATATAGTTTTATCACAATAGATTCATAGTTACAGCATTACTATTTTATGTGGCGTAACCACTAACTTACGGCAGTGATAAGCAGCATTTCAATAGTTGCACATTTTGAATTTTGGATTTTTTCTATAGTTACAACTTGTATTTTTATTACGTTTTGAAAAGTATTATGTTTTACGTAATTGTGAATTATGCATTATGTATTATGTCGAATACTTAAAATAGAAAGTACCCTGTAAGTAATATACGATCAATTTTTAATTCCCGTTGAATACGTTTCTTTCATGTTCTCAGTTCTATAATTCAATTATGAAAATAAAAAAAGGTCATAATTACCTATTTGAAAATTAAATAATCTTTAAGAATTTATTATGAGTAATACTTATTGATCAACGCCTGTTGAAAAAATGTTTCCATTAGCATGGATGATTCAATCTCCAATGTGATCTAAAAAAAGTGATTCCTACTGGTATCTCTTAAGAGAAATAATTGTTTTTTTCAAATACATATTGTAATGTATTTTTTCTACCCTTGCATATAGATAAGATGTGTATGTATAAAAGCAAGTAAAATAAATAACTTTATATCTTTATACATATATACAGAGTAATCTATTTAAAATCTATTTAAATGTCTACACTCAATATTAGTTATTTAGTTTTTCAGCATTTTTTTTTTTTTTTTTTTTTTTAACAACTTATGATATGTTCTGAAACTCTAAAATGTCACATAATCGTTATTTTTTGTGACTTTTATTTTCAGTGGTGATATATACAATAGTTAAACATTTTTAATTTTCTAATAACGAACTGTATTAAAAATTCCATAAATAGATATTCCTCTTTTAGATAGGGGAGAGTAGAGGAGTACTATTTAAACGCCGCGGGCCGTGCCACCACACAAATGATGCTCCACTACTCCTCATATACCCAAACATAATAGTGGAATATCTCGTTAACGAGTCGACGGAAATTAAAAATGTCAACACCAAAATTTATTTTATCTTAATCATTAAAACATCACTATAACATTTATTTATGAAATTTTTAAGATATTTCACTATTTGAAAAGTGTCTATAGTAGATTCAGTTCCAAAAATTAAGGTGACAAAAAATAACAGTAGTGTAACAATTTAGAGGTATTTGTTTTAAAAGATGTTCTAAAAAAAAATTTAAAAAAGTAAATACTTTGAGAAATATCGAGTGTAAATATTTAAATGGATTACGCTGTATATTCGAATTTGTTTAAATACGGTAAAAATATGTATTTTTTTTTTTTATATTCTTCTCGGATCTATCAAGTAGCAATAATGCAGTAAGTATAATAGTTGAGTAATAATATCAATTGTGATATACTAAAACAAAACGTATGTGTATAACCTTCACTGTCGCTAATTAGAAAAGAAAGCAGATTTATACGAGTCATTTGTTTAGACTGCAGGAGTTCGAAATGTATAGAAGATAATTGACTCGTACACTTTATACTATGTATACCTTCGGTCATGCAATTCCAGTGTACGGATTCTACTTGATATCCTTTGTTTTTTTTTTTTTTAATAATAATAACTTATGTTATTACCTATGTCTTATTTTAAATTACTAAACACGTTACACAATACATATTTTTACATATTTTGTTGTATACGTCATATCGATTAACTAACAAAGCTGCTAAAGTATTATTTGATCTAATGATGTTCAATAATATTATGAAAAATATAAACGATGATAATTTTAAACTATGTGTACACAATTTTTTCGTGGTTTAATATTTCTTACACAATTGTAATTTTTTCAACAGTAAAACGCAAAAAAAAAAATTTAGTCTGTATAAAATTAAAACCCGTTTTGTTACGAATCAAACAAAGATTAAAGTTTTTCAGTAAACGAAAGAAATAGAGAAGTACAACTATTATCCTGAAGTAATTAAAATTGAAAATTGTAAAGACAATAGTGAACCATGAACCAGTTATATATATATACGACAGAATTTCAAAACATGATTAACTCGGAATCGTAATATAATAATAATAATACATAATAACATTTATAAGTCTTCATAATATTCTTTTTGTATTAAACACACAAGACAAACTCCGTTACGGATCACATAAACAACGATAATTCAGACGAATAACGAAAACATTTCTATAAAAACATATTTAACACACTGGCGTCGGGAATAGACTAGGTTAAAATTTGGCAATTGTCTGTGGTCAATTCGGGCCAATAATTTCAAACACAGTTGAATATGGAACGGATAACGTACCTTATTCACTATTAAAATTGATAATATCCTACCTCCCTAACTATTGATCAACTACAGTAGCCTATTGACGAGTAGTATCAACTTTTTAAATTTAAATTGTTGTTTTTATTATAGTAGATATCTTACAGTAACCTACTAATTTCAAATAGTTTAAATATTAAATCTCGTATCCACTTTCCTCGGTGAAATGTTTTGTTATGCGTTATACTGATAAGTGATAGTATGCCTAATACAAACATATGTATGGACATCTAATAAGATGTAAAACCGCAAAATAACGATTCTATACGTCCAATCCTCGTAATTCTCAGGTTAAACCGGCCACTCATCAGTTATAACGGTAAATAACGAATCATTTTATTTATAGGTAGGTACGTAGAATGTTTGAAAAAAACCAATTAAATATACAAAACGAAATTGACTATACGGATAAATTTTGGTATAAATTCGATAATCATTTCGAAATATCACAATGTATAATTAATACAAAATTTCACATAGAAATTCGCGATTTTCGTTACTAAATAAATCAATTTAATGTTATTTTTTCGCGTGCGAGTATTATTATTGTTTATATCAATACACACAATATTGACGTATTTTATTTCTAGCCAAGACCAAACGAAGCATATTTCGTTATTATTATTATTTATTTTTTTTAATGATTATTATAATATACTTATCAACACGAATCTCCGCCAATCAAATAGCGGCACCGGGAGCGCAATAGAGGTTCGAACACACATAATCACATTCATAACACGTATAGATATACCTATAATACGCGCCTATGTATATATTCATATTTCATATTTTGTACGAAATCGAATAGGTTGCGGGTCGACCGTTGAATACTAAATTACAAGCATTATACAAGTAGTGTAAAGTACTAATTATTATTATACCCGTTCTGTTATAAACTGCCGAAATAGTTTTGTTTAGTATCGAAATATTCGGAGTGCGCCCGGGGCAGTTTTTATACCCCGCCCGAAATAGTCACGTACATATATATATAGTCGCGTTGTATTAGAATCAAATTATAATAACACCCGGTATGCCGTAATAACGGGTAAATTGATTTACAAAACACTAGACCGTCTATACCTATAAATTAATATACCTGCGATTAGATTATTTTATTTCGATTGTTATTTGACGAATCGCCGCTATTTGGACACAGATTTCGTGATGACCATATTCTTGAAATTCAATTAGTACTTTGATCCATTTATGGTCGAAATTTTAATTGTACAACAAAAACTATAATAGTGAATAGTGTACATACAATTTTATAAAACAGTTAACTTTTATGAAATAAAACAATATTTTCTGGTTGCCCAAAAGTTGTAAAATTTCGTTTTGACTTTATGAAATAATGTAACTTTCAGATTCCGAGCGTAGCGAGAGAGCTATTGGTATTACTAAGATGTTTTTTCTTCTTCTAGTCTAGGGACACATTTTTTCCTAGTAAACTTGTTCCGATTTTCAACGCCGTTTTTTTAAATAAAAGCACTAAAGTGGGGAAAACGTACAATTTTTACGATTTCATTATTTTATAAATACATGGACGTAGTTTTCTACTAGAAAAAATAATTTGATCGAAAAATCATAAGATACCTATTTTGTTGCCTTTTTAATTTACTTTATCACAGTATCATTTCCAAAACTTTTGAGCTTTTAAGCTCAAAAGTGATCCGATCATCTCATTGACAGACACAAACAGTAAACTCCAAACTTACTACGGTCATTTCTATTCTGAAACCTAACATTAACCCTTAAACTTATTTACTATATAAAACTCTTTCACAACTATTTTGGGCGTATATCACTGTTGTGTGGGGTTCTTCTACAATTCAAGCATTCCAAAATATCGCTTAATCACTGAAGTACCCTGATATGTATCAAACAATTCTCTAAACTCTGACCTCAAAATTTGTTTAATCGAAGAAATTGCTGCTAATTACTATAAATACTTTCACCCAAAACATCGATTCAACAATTCCAACCAATTCGTCAAGAATTTAGTCTCAAATACTCTACCCGGGAACCCAATCGTCTCAAACGTCAGTCTAATGCCAGGACTTGAACATTTATTAAATTTAATTCATCAAGCTTCTCTATTGTGAGATTTTCTTTCATGTGTTTAACCGCTCATTTGTCACGTTACGAATCGTTGTTTGGTTTTGACACCAATGTGGTCGCAAGCAACGCACGTGTCTGCAGCCTTCGGACAGACGGCTTCTATGTGGCTGGGGAACGGACTCCCTATTTAACGTAATTATTCACGTGTACACATATATTATATACGTATTTGGCGTTATTTTTTAGGTATTTTCACTGCATATTCATGTGAATAGCACTAAAACACGTGGAAATGGATAGTAATCTCACGTGTATTAAGTTAACGCGAGTACAAATTTTTCATTCAACGGACGTATGTGAAATCAAAACGAAATATAAACACGCGTCATTTTAGATAGCGGTGAGTGTATAAACGACTGTATACGCATACACATAGGTACGGGTGATAATCGACTTGCGCTACCGCCGAAAAGTGTGGGTACATGTCACGCGGTCATCTTGCAAACATTGTTTGTGTTCCTCAGACTAACGCAATAGGTAATGAATAATGATTCATATTTTTATATTCTGCGATTTTTTTGACGGCCGTCGAAAGACCATCACCATCGTCGCGGCATTGTCTTTGCAGAACTTTGTTGTCATGCAATATTATTATTATTTTCGTGAACTTAATAATAAATAATTATTGCGACACAAGAACGGGCAATAATACTCTTAAACGACCGTAACACCCAATTACAGATTTTTTTTTTTTTCGCAAAATTTCGGCAATTTATCCCGCTCGAATACAATAACTTACAATACTAATACGCGGTAGGTACTAACAACTTAGCTGTCCATGTATAACTAGACAGCATATTTAGGATTTTATCAAAAAGGGAGATATTAAACATAGAAATTGTTTCATATTTGTTTTATTAACGCCAAACGATAATATTATAAATAAACAAGATAGTAATAATACATATAGAGTTTTGTATTTAATAGTTGTAGTAACTTAAAATTAAGTGAGTCCAATGCAAAGTATAAAGACTATATAAGGTGTCTTATAAAATTAAACTTTTAGTACTAAGGTGAAAAAAATATGCAGCATACGAGAGGACTTTGTTTTGAACTAATAAGGTCTTTGGATAGATATGGATGCCAAATAATTACGTCGTATTCTAGGATAGGTATTAAATCTATATTGTGAAACGAGAATCAAAGCTAAATAAAAAAAAAAATATCAATTTTAATTTTATAAATTTTTGTAAATAATTTACAATTCAATGTGTCCTAAAATTGCCATTGAAATAAAATGATTTCTTAGGTAATTATTAATTAATTTACTATTTAGATACTAATAAGGTAGTTTAAATTTGAAAATAGATAATGGTATGAATAATAATGATTACTAAAAAAAATATTAATGAGGGAAATATAATAATTTAATCTGTCTAATTTCTTCCCGTAAATACGCCACTGCTGTGCGCACACAAATGCCCCGACGACGACGATGTTTAAAATAGGTAGGTATGTTGAACGTACTTCGCACGTGGGTACAGTCACTGTTGTAGATGGGAAGTTGAAAGGGAAGAATACAGAAGGGAATTTAATGTATATCGGTGTAAGCAACGATAAACCATTGCTAATGAAAAATACGATTCTGAGCGGAATTCAATTGATAGTGATGCTTAAGTATAGAATAAAGAAACAATGTATTGAAATCTATAGGTCCAATCTAATTGGTCTTTAGCTTAATATTTGATATAAACCTTCGAATATCATCATTTACTTAATGTTTATATATAATTATACTGTTATTATTACTATTATTATAATTATACGTTATTGTTTTTTTGTAGCCCGATATTGATATTTACTAATTTCTTTACATTCCTTGTTATCGACTGTACCTCAAACATTTGTTTTTGAAACTCCACCTGCTGGTAAGCTTAAATTATTTAATTTATGTAATAATATTATTGTATAATATCACTTTTACAGGTGTCCGCAAGATCATGTTCATGAAAACTTCAGTTACCATTGATGATGTATTTTATGCCATTGATAATGGTCGTATGAAGTTTAAGGATTTGATGCTGAAAACAATAACGGTACTCTCAAAAAAGAGTGAGCGAACTTGGCTAATTCAAGACAACGTCATGGTAGAGCAGGTCGTGTTAGGTCTGGGATTTGTTATCATTTGTATACCAGAGGTCGTGAAAAGTAATTTGATGATTATGTATTATCCGATATAATGCATACAATTTTATAAGATGTGATACTTCAAGCTAAAATATTGCAATTTTATATGGTAACTTCATTCTTAGAAAAAGTCATGAATCCACCGGAAATCAGGGATCTCGAAGTGGCTTTAAAAATAAATGTCTAATATACTTTAAATCGTTAAATTTACTAGGTATAACCAATTTATTGCTTAGCTATTAAACTACTCTTGATGAAAAAGAGAAATAAAACACCTAAAAAAATACAAAAAAAAAAAAAAACACCATTGTAAAACCAATACATTCCTCGTTCCACTCAGAATCTAAAATACAATCTGTTTTTGTATGTTAATGTTTTCTCAGTATTTTAATTTTTATGCGAGTACAAACATTGGAAAGATTATTGTTTCAAAATCTTCGCATCGCGCTTAAAAATTAAAATAGCGAGAAAAACCCACGTTTGACACAAACGCAGACAGTGGCAAATAGAGCAGTTTTATTTTTTGCCTCCCCCCTTCACTAGTTACGCCCACGAAACACCAATACAAACAAATTCAAACTCAACAAGGTGTCTCGGGACCAAGGAGCGAGGGCCCCGGGATCGATTACGGACGGTGGGCCCACCGGGAAAATCACGATTTCCCGATAGGTCTATGACGCCGAACGCAGACGATATGTTTACCTTCGGTCAATCCGTATTAAAATCAACGGCGCAACATTCGATTCACTGGACGAAAATTTGACATTATCCGATGTTCAACATTATCCGCGACATAATACGCCTATAATGTATTATGATAATAACGATGATGATAACGTATTATTATTATTATTAATATTATGACATATTATAAACACGAGTGCGGCGATGATGCGGTCGGGATCGGTGCGGCGGCGGGTAAAGGAGGTACTTTCACTGAAAACCCGACGGCCCGGTGGGGAGCGGCGGCGGTCACGGGGAAGAGGAAGTGATCGTCGCGCCGGCACCGAGTCGTCCGAATATACACGCGTTCAATTGTCGGCGCGCGTCCATTCAAAAACGGTGAACCGGTCCGCGCGGATAGGCACGGCGACGTGGTGTACTTTTGTGTACTTGGTTTTTTTTTTTTCTACCTTATTTTATCTTTCGCTAAGTTTTCATTATTCTACAATCGATTCGCCGGGTTTTTCACCGGATAATCGCGATTGAGTTTTTTTTTTTTTACTCCGCTCTACATAATACAATTCTCTCGGTGTTTTTCACGTGCGGAATACCCGCCAAAACGCACGCAGTAGCCCATCGCCACCGCCACGGGACGTCCGCACAGCAGGTAAAAAGACGCCGATTTATTCACCGTCGTATAACGTTTAAAAATAATATAGGGGCGTCTTGAACGTCGCGACCGATTCCATCTATCGCACACTTTTGGGTTTCCGTCGCTGTTCCTTCTACGGACGCGCCATCCGTCGGTTACGCGCAGTGCTAAAGGATCCCGGCGGCGCGCAAGTGAACCCTCATCGTTTCTCGGCAGTAAATATTATTCACATAGTTCACCGTGCGTACGCACACGTGCGCGCGACTCCGGCCCCGCAATCGCCGACTCGGCGACGCTTTTGTTTCGAAATTTATTGATCGCGGCGGTAGTGGTGCCGAAGACGGTACGAACCACGCTGTGTCTGTACAATGCGATCGCGGTTCTCTCGTTCGCGCTTGGCCGGCACACTGCCCCGTGTCGCCCGGTCACGGTTCCGCCGTCGGCTCCGTAAATGCCCCCCGGTGGCACGCCGCCGGACGGTTCTCGAGCCCGCGGTTTTCTACATTCGTCTGCGGAATCGGGTGCGACGATTCGAATCGCGCGGGACGACCGTCGAGAAACCGAGAACGCCTAATGATATGCAATGTAGTCGGCGCGGACTTGTCGCGGTCTTCCGGCCGTGTAGAACGTATAGTGTTACACTCCGACTAGTTTATAATATAGGTATAACGATAGTGCGCGTATTACATTATATTCAAATGCGCATAAGAAGGAAAGTGGAATTAACGACAACAACCGGTTTACGCGTACCACTCGCGTGCGTAATATATGCCGCAATACCGTGGTAATTCCGGAAAAAAACGTCGAATTTCTTTTAGCGTTAAAAACCCGCGCCGCCAATAGTGACGGTCATTATCGGCGATTTCGTGTCTTATTGTTTCCATATGTATAGTTTTTAGCTAAGATGCGTTTTGAACGTCTTCGGGTACGGGCACCGTGCACTGGATCCGTTCGGTGCGGTTTGCGTTCAGCCGCGTTCCGGACGTGACGGATCGGTCGAGATTTCGATTTTAGCCGCGGTCTAATGATTAAGAAGGTCCTATCCGTTCAGTCGCGGCCGTTTTGCCGAAGTCCGTTCGGACATTTCGTCTATTCGAGGCGCGATGCAAATTGAACCGGTTTGGACAGGGGGGGGGGGGTTATAGTGGACCGAACTGACCGGATACAATGGGATTTCGATTACAATGTATTCTCGGACTGGACAATTTAACTCAACTGTACCGACCTGAACGGATCCAGTGCGCTCGATCCATTACGGTGTAATCCCCGAGGCTGAAATTTCGTGTGCAGAATACTATTCGTAAACCCAAATCCTGGAAGTCACGTCTATTATTTTAAGCCGACTAAACAAAACGGTATTATTCAAAATTATAATTATAGCCGATTCCCGGAGTATGGCTATTGGCTATAAAACGATCATTGTTCGAAAATATCTTACGTGATATCGTCGGTAACCACTTAATGTATAATAAGACATAGAGCCCGAAACGTCGGCGTGTAGAAATAATCGATAAATTATGTCGTTAATTTTGTATGTATGTATTATCCGAACGGTATACAGGGCGTCCCAGAAACCATACAAACCATACAATATTGTGTATATAAAATGGGTATACATATATTTGTGGGTCACTCTGTATTATACTAAAGACAAAATACCGAGTTGTGTAAGGCTTTCACTCATAATAATCGGGTTATCGTTGAATATTTGCCGTCCGAACGTAACTATTCCGATCGTATAGTACGTATGCAATTATTGTCACGTACGCCAATCGTCTTTATGATAAAGCCGACGGTTTGAACTTGCAGTACCTAAAACGAGCTGACACGATATGTTTGTGCATTTTTATCCGTAAGTCTCTAAAATTTGCTGTGAAGGCGTCAGTAACTGTCATCAGTGATTTAAAGATTAAAGGAACCTTGCCAGTGTTTGTAACGATGCAATTACCAACGAATATATGATCAAATATAAAGTTCAAATAGAATGTATATCATAAACCACCTTTTTACGCGGCGAGTTATCGGTGATTTCGTCGAGAAATTCTTGTTTGAAAAGGGACAAAATTGACGCTGTCGGACCTATTGTCGTCACGGATAAATGATTTACGTAACATACGGTCCAAGGACGGATTGGTCTGTCGGGAAACCGCTCGATTTCCCGATAGGCTGGTCTTCGTTTGCGCCTCTATATTGTCATGTAATTTATAAAATAAAATATAAATAAGTATTGTTTTGGATGTTGTTGATAATTACGGTTTTAGTGTTTTACAATGTATTATTATGCGTTACACAGACGAACGATTGAAAAATAAAATTAAGCTTTGTACAGCGAATTTGTGTTGTCGACAATATAGATTCAGGTAATTAATCATTTATTGCATAAGTTGTCATTAATATTATTTCATTTTAAATGTGTCTATTGTTGTGTTAAATGTTTAAATTAATTCGTTATTTAGTACCTGTACGTGTACGAATTAAATACACAAATTGTTTTTATGGTCATATCTTCAAAAATTTGCATTGGCTTTTATCCGTGTAAAATATTTAAATGTTTAATTTCACACGGATATAAAAGTGAGAGGGAGCGCTTAAAACTCCTAGTTTTAAAATTGGTACTCTTAGAATTTTCTATTATTATTATAATATTTGTACGTGTTAAAATTAAATTTATTATTTTGTTGATTTGTTTAATTTGGCGGAGGGGTGAAATCCTCCAACTTTTTGCCATTATATATGTAATAGAGTTTTGTGGTCCCCCCCCAAATTGTATTTTATTTACGGTTTTGATTTGTGTGGCAAGTTCGTGAGCCGGTTTCATTCATATTTCCCGGGCCGCATAATAAAAAAAAATCGTTAATCCGCCGCTGCTATTTCGGGATTTTTATAATGTTTAAAAATCGTTAGGACAATTTCAAACAATTTTAATTTTACACCAAAACATTAAAAGTTTGCTTATTATAAAAAAAGAAAACCATCATCATTCAACACCCGACATCGTTCGATTGGAGTTAAAATGATCGTTATCTAATTATAACGTATCGTAATGATAGTAAATCGTTAACGGTAGAACTATTACGCGCGTTATGTCACTATGTTACTTTATAGTCAATTAAAAATCGTTATGAACGCGTTGTGCTTTAGGGAAATAAGAGAGTGGCCTTGGCCTTACTTGGAGAGAGGGGCACACACATACACACGCACATTTATGTCACGATGATGGAATGACACCGTTTTGTCCGCTGGTTGCAAAATAATAGATATGTGAATAATAAAACAGTCACGTTTACACGTGGTTATAATTATCTTATTATTATTATTATTATTTTTTTTTTTTTTTTTTTTTATATATAAATAGGACTAAACATGAAAAAAATCACGTTACACTAATATATGAATTGTATTGCACAGTTCTAGATCATATTTTTGTAAAATTAAAATACTATATTATATTACCTATTATACGTTCTCATCGATGTGCAATAAATTTCGAAATTAAACACACACACACACACAGTAGGTAAAATATTTTATTGTACCTAAATGCTTCTTAGTGAAATGTTAAGACATTTTAATTTACTTAAAATAATAATTATTAACTATGTATGTTCGTAAATTTCCTTAAAAGTATATTGCATAATATTATTCCCGTAGTTGTATAAAGTATATTACGATAAACGACAGACGATTATAACATAATTGTGTTAGATTCATTTAGAGTTACACTTACAAGTGCATGATTACCTACTCGAATAATAATTAATATTTAATGATGTGCACAGTTTATTTTCAATTAAAAAAAAAAAAAATCTATTAAACCGAGTTTACTTTGGTCGAATATTTGGAAGAATACGATATTTGGGTTCGTATATTATCCCGCTTACTGTAAGGTAAAGCTTACATTAAGGTTAAGGTCACATTAAGGTTAGGTTAGGTTAGCTTTTTATAGCCTAATGTCTTTATGTAAACATTGTTTAGGTACAGTATCGTCATATGACTAAAAAACTACCCTACACAACAGTGCTCTACTTTATTCTATTTGCCCCCACAGTCATTTTCACTCTACTCTACTGCTAATCTACCGCTACTCTCCTAGCGTGTTCGAGTAAATGGAACGAAATATATTCTCCCAAAATAAGATAAACACACTACCTACCTAATAACTCTCCTGGACGCTCTACCAATGTACTTACCGGCTGACAGTTGATGAGGAAATATAAAAATAAAGAAACAGTATAAAGAAATATCACGACTTGACGATATATATTAAAACACCGCGATCGCTGTACACCGATAGTTGTAATTTATTTGAAATTATGTTGTATACTACTTCAAGTTGGTTTTTACAAAAAAGTAAATATTGGGGACGGAAAATATCGAAAGCAGCCTATACGTGTGGCCATGAACTCAAAAACAAAACATGCATAGGTACAGGCACCACTTAAAAACTATTGTTTCACGAATCTTGTCGTTCGGTCCATTTCTAACCCATTAACGTGATTATAGAACACACGACTATTGTGTTATGGCTGATATCTAAACAGAATTTAGAATGTCATAACATTATTATTGTACGCCGTAAGCTGGCATCTCAACAATATAATAATACAACGCGATTAAGTTTCGGTAACGGATAATTTCTCCGTGGGCGCATCTGTAAAATCATTCGATACCTATGCGTGTACTGTAGATTATTATTATTATTATGACAATGGGTATCATCTTGGACGATAATCGTTATAATCGAATGTACGAGGCTGAAAAAGTGAGTGCCGTCTCCGATAATTCGGTTTGGGTATACGTAATAATCGAAAAATCCGAAACACCCATAACCTGCATATTATAATAGCGGCACGCAGTTGTTCGTCCTGGCCGAACCGCGTAAAAATATTGTAGACCAGACTCGAATCGTTTCGGTGCGCCGTCGCGATGCGCCCGCCGTCCGCCGAAATAATAATTTTTTTTTTTTTTTTGTTTCTCCTTGTATACCCACACATTCCAACACTTTTCTTTAATAATCGAGATTCCTGTAGACAGTGCGGACTATAATATACAGGTTGTGGCGGCGGTAGATGCATACTATTTTCTCACGCATAATGTAAATATTTTATTTGGACACCGACTGTCGAGTGGTTTTTTTTTTTTTTTTTTTCGGGATTTTAGATTATTCTTTAGGTCCGTCATCGCCGTAACGAATTTTACGATCGTATCAATATGACGTGCGACGTGCCCTCCTACGATTTTACGCGTTCGTTTCCATTTCATATCTACTGTATAATATTTTAGATAACTCACTTAACGTTTGATAAATCCGAAATAAGAAAATCAATTGGACTCGCGTCCACACCACGGATAAAGTGTGAAACACGAGATTGTGTGTAATGTAATTTTAAAATTATAAAATATTATAGCGTAGACCGAAAAAAAAAAAATGCCGTTTTCAGCAAATAATATAAATCCCGATCGGTTTGTCTTTTAATTTTAATGAAATACAATTTGTTTTCGTATGTTTATGTACATAATATATCGAATTGGGAAAATGGGAGAAAATTGAATGCGTTATTTTATGTTGTAGTTCTTTGTATTTTTCTGACAATTGCGTAACAAGCACCTATCGAAAAAAAAAAAAAAATGAAAATATGAATATTGCCTATACAATATTTGATAGCAACAGTGAAAACGGAGCCGTATTGCGATGACTAATATCGGTTATAGGAATAATGACCCGTGCCTATATCTTATCTCGCTTTTATCTTTTGCATAACTTTGAGCGAAAGCGAACACAATTTACGCGGAAAGCCGGTGCAGGTATTTTTAAACGTGAAGTGTACATTGGTAACCACCGATAAATTGCGGGACAATTTCGATAAACGATAACATTGTAATAGTAAAAAAAAAATGATTTGAAAAAAAAAAAAAATAAAAAAAAAATCGCAAATACTAACATACATATAAACACAAATGTTTGCAGGTTTTGGTTTCCACATGGAATGTGCAAGTAGTATGTGACGGTCGTTGCATCCAACATGGTGCACATTGGCACGGTACTCATAAGCGCCGTAAAGTTGGCGACCAAGTTGGCCGGCGGCGGAAAACTGCTGTTGTTCCCCACGTTCCTCGCGGCGTTGGCCTACTACAATTACGACCTGTACGACCCGGAGAGCCGTCTGGTGAACGAGAAGAACCTCCGGGCCGAGTATGATTTCATAGTGGTCGGCGGCGGTTCGGCGGGCGCGGTGGTCGCCAACCGGCTGTCCGAACACCCGGAATGGAACGTACTGCTGCTGGAGGCGGGCGGACACGAGTCGGAGCTCACGGACGTGCCCGTCATATCGCTGTACCTGCACGGCTCCAAGTACGACTGGAAGTACAAGACGCAACCGGACAGCGCGGCGTGTAACGCGATGAAGGGCAAACGGTGCTGCTGGACCCGGGGCAAAGTGATCGGCGGCTCCAGCGTGCTTAACACCATGTTGTACGTGCGGGGCAACCGGCGGGACTACGACAACTGGGAGCGCATGGGCAACCCGGGATGGGGATTCGAGGACGTGCTGCCGTATTTCAAAAAGTCCCAGGACCAGCGGAACCCGTACTTGGCCAAAAACACCAAGTACCACGCCACCGGGGGATATCTCACCGTGCAGGACGCCCCGTGGAACACGCCCCTGGGTGAGTGCATGCGGCTGGCGCGCGCAAACAGTTGGTTCGGTTCTCGGTGAAACGGCCGGCCCGAGGGAGTCGGTATACGCGCGCGTTACAACGACGGTACTCTTTTCGTAATCGGTTACGCGAGAACCGGTAGGAGGTTTTTGTTGTTGTTTTTTTTCTGTTTTTCCGTTTTTGTATTCCCCCCGAATCGCTGCGCATACCACGGTACGCTTATCCCGGTGTGTAATTTCGTTAAACACACCTTCCCATAGCAATTATTATAATTGAATACGCCGCCGCCGTCGTAAATAATCCGCATTACTCGGGTTAATCGGCCACGCGCGGCTAAAGACAAACGTAATCGAAATCCGCCGGGCCGCCCGTTGGACCGCGGGTACTGTGTAACCGCCCGCGACGCGTCTAAAACACATTAGATTCTCGACGATTTTCTTGTTCAAACAGAACAGCGTACCCCGTCTGTTTTCGTTATAACGACATAATAACAACGCGCGTGTTAGGCCGAAAATATCGTAACGTTATTGGTTTTTTTTTTTCTTGAGTAAGGCGACGAACGTGTTGGTTTTTTACAGTGATGTCTTTTATTTTTTTTCCCCCGTGCAGCAACTATCAGCGATTTTTCTCCGATTTACAATGATAGCATTTTGCTCAAAAGCAAATCTGACCGGGAAGGTACTTTAGGAAGGTCATTTTTTTTTTTTTTTTTTTTTTTTCCCAGACGTTTTTCAAATAAATTGGAAAAAACATAGGAAAACCGAAAAAATCGATACAATATTATTATTAATTATTTTACCATACAACGTGGCATACATATCGTTGACATAGCAACACTATCAACCGAACTTCGCTCAGAATCGTTTTTTCGTTAACAATGGTTTATCGTTGCTTACGGATGTACATTAATTTCGCCTCTACTACATTCCCAACTTCTCACCAATAACAGTAGCTGAGCCATTCCCCATTACCCTAGCTGTCGCTTTTTACTATTCGTTCGTATGATTTTCAACAGCCGATAGGTAATGGATGAAAACTTCAACTAATATAGTATTATTCGTAAACCGAACCATTATGTACATAGTATTATTATCTATCGTACATTTTACGTTTCGATACAATTCGCTGCTATAATGGATAATATAATAATCCATTACAATTTCGTTTTAAATTCCTAACAAATCGAATAATGGTTTGTTTTATTCGTATTAAAATAATCATAGAAAATCATTTTTTTTTTTTTTTGTATCTGTAAACGACTTTTCTACTAGAAATTCCTCTGAAACTTAACACGAAGTCGAAAACTTTATATGAACTTTCTCGTAACATTTTGAATCTAGTCGATGCATTTAGGAAGTAATTTATTATTTTTCTTTTAATTTCCTTGTTAAATGGAACATAAAAATGCGACTAATCATACCTTGCTCAGAATAGTTTTTCATAAGCAATGTTTTATCGTAGCGTACAGATTCAATAATAAATAAATAAATAATAAGAGCCCTTCAAATATTATCTTACGCAATTGCCTGATCAGGAAAAAATAAAGTAAAACAGAGTCAGATTACATATAATGTATAATGAGTATTATAAAACTAATTCGAGTTTTTAATATTGCATTAAAAATGTCTCGGTCACAATAATAAACTAGCAGTAACTTTAGCAACAACTTAACGGTCCACTACCCCCCGTCCTCTGGGACTTTTCAGGTTTAAACTAAAGGGGATTGATAATATTACCTTAAGAACAGAACTCCGCTCTCTTTAATTCCCCAATCCCACTTTAACCACTCGCCACAGCCTCATTTATTTTATTACAAGCAGCTTGACTATGTCAATATGATTGATCTCGAAATATTTGTTCGAAACAAAAAAATGTGTTATTTCTAAAACGTATAGCCGCTACATTAAGTGTGTATCGTAAAAAATTGTATTTTTTTTTTTTTTTTTTATTCGAAAATTCGGTGTCACTTGATAAACATTACAACATAACTATACGCATTGTATTAATATAATATAAATATCGATAGTAAAAATATCGTCTTACGTCGACGATTAGCATCAGAATTTTATCTGCAATGAGCAAATAATAATAATTACGATTTCGGCAAACGGGCAATGGTAACCGGATAGTACAGCCCGCGGTAAAATTTAGATAAAAAAAAAAAAAAAAAATTATAAAAATATTGTTTACACGCGTTATAGAAACTAGAAAGTAATCGTAATTCGTTACATTTTTCACGCCAGACGACTTATTTACCATTATAAAATAAACACGCGAGATAACAAAGATTAATAATATACGTGCAGTCACAGTAATAAGTAGGTATACAATATTATAACAGTTGTGTAATAAAACGACTGGTTCAAACCTGTTTGGTTCGACGTAATTTTGATGTATCGGGCCCATTAAGTAAAATGCCGAACTCGTCACGAGCGTCGAAAAATGATGATTTGCAAATCGCGACTATTGTAAAACTCAAATGAAAAAAAAAAAAAAAAATCGATCGAATGTCACGTTACACGTGAAAACGGCTGTACGATTACTGGTGACGATGATATATTATAACGAAATATCATTATTCCTCTCCGTCATTATCCCACGCGATTACACTCTTATTTTTACCGTCCACATTTCTCCTCATCCAGTCCATCGACGTTTCGACATCAACTCCAAATTTCCCCAACAATAACGTCGCTATACACACACACACACACACACACACACACATGGGTATAACGATATTAACAAACGCCAGCGACTTTTTCTTTCGCCTACCGCCTATTACCGTCGGCTTATTCTGACGAAATGTTAATTTTTATATTTTTTTTTTTTTTAATTTCCCCCGGCCAGGCATCGCGTTCCTGCAGGCTGGCGAAGAAATGGGCTACGAGATCAGGGACACCAATAGCGAGATCCAAACGGGATACGGGCTCTATCAGTTCACGATGCGCCGCGGATACCGGTGCAGCTCGTCCAAGGCGTTTTTGCAACCGGTCCGGCTCCGGAGGAACCTGCACGTGGCCCTTTGGTCGCACGTTACCAAGGTGCTCGTGGACCCGGCCACCAAACGGGCGTTCGGCGTGGAGTTCGTGCGAGACGGCCAAAAGAGGACCGCGCTGGCCAAGAGGGAGGTGGTGCTGTCCGCGGGCGCCATTAACAGTCCGCAGCTGCTCATGCTGTCCGGTGAGTGAAAATATCGCTGTGCCGAATGCGCACGGTGTTACGTTGGGTTAATTATACGGGCCGCGCGCGAGAGAAACACATTATACGAAAACCGATCATTCCTACGAGAAATCCATAGTTCTGCAATAAATATAAATTACGTAACTCCCTGCAATAAAAATGTGTTGATCAATGCTGACGAAAATATCCGACGGACTTCATTCTTCGGGGTCACGACATTACCCAGCAGGCTCATCGTGCCGCTTCGGATGTCACCGCTGACCCGTTTGAACCGGCCTGGTCTGGCCGGCTCCCGGCGAGCCGAAAAACCCAAGACTTTTTCCGATCGGTTTTTAAATGCGAAAAATAACCTAGGAGCAGTGAAGCTCCGTTGAATTTCTTCCCAGCCAATCCGTTGCAATACCTGATCCAAACTAGTTACAATTAGTAATTTAAACACATTTTAGTTCGTAAGGCTATTCAAAACTCCGGCATTTCCTGCGAAAACAAGAAATTTGGTTAGAGAATTGTTTAAACGTTTAAACCCCCAAAAGGCACATCCTTGATATTTACGCCACACACATTCAAAATCGTATTCCCCGGCTTCGTTTTCAGAGTTTTTACGGGCGTATAATGCCTAAAAACAACCCTCCTCCCGCAACAACACGGTAAAATATATCGTAAAATTCAACAAAAATTTTACCTATTCAATCCGTCTAAAAAAAAAAAAAAAAAAAAACCTCTAATTCCGGAGTTCGAACGCATTTGGTCCAGAGGTAGTCGCTAAAAGTGTCCAAAAGTAACGGGGAAAATGTACTGAATGAATCACTCGCTCACACCGTTTTTTGATTAAATTTTGCATTACAACTGAGATTCCACTGCACTCCGCCAACCTAAACTTAAATATCTCGTCAATGGGTTAAGGTTAATGATACTTCTTAAATGCTTCTTCGTAAAATTTAATCAAAAAAAAAAACAATTTAACCGGAAAACGTCGAGATCATTTTCGAAACGATTGAAAAAAAATTGGAATACCGTTTTTTCGGGCGGCCGGGCCGGTTTTCCGTCGGAACGCGCTTTCGTGTAGCGCAATTTGATGAACCGTCCCCGGGGACGGATTCCGCGACGCGCTACCGTTCGGTTTACCGGCCCGTCCTCGGCCGTCTACGTGCCAATCTACGGGCCCGGCGGCACGTCCGCCGTCTGCGCGAGCCGACAGTAATAACACGGTAATAGTGTTTTGTTATGTTATTGCGCAACTTGTACGTCGCGAAACGCGCGCACGTTCGTAGTTGGGCTTATTTTATTTATTTTTTTTTTCTCTATCTTTCTCCGTTACGAAGTTACACGACCGATGCACAACACAGTCCCGCACGTTAACTTTGCCCGGTGAAAGCGGACCGGCCGTGAGGCGTTCGCCGTAATCCGGTCGACGTGCATACGCCTCGGTCCGGAACGCCGGAACGCCGCAACGATATTACATTGTACGCGATTATGCCACCGGGGGTTTTTTTTTTGTTTATTTTCATTTTTCCACCAGGTATCGGGCCGGAAGAACACCTGAAGACCGTCAACATACCGGTGATCCGTCATTCGCCGGGCGTCGGCGAAAACCTTATGGACCACATTGCCGTCGGCGGTCTGATGTTCCTGATCGACTATCCGGTCAGTCTGGTGATGAACCGCGTGGTCAATATACCGACGGCCTTAAGGTATGAACCGAGAAGACCGCACGCGCGGTATATGGTCGTCAATAGGGAAAAAAATGCCGGAAAAAACACTGGAAGATGTTGGGGTAAAAACCGGTCTTTTTTGTCCAAAAACAGGGGTAAAATTGGAGAATTCAAAAATGCCGTTTTTTCTAGTCCCCCCTCCTGAAAAACAATTTTATTTACGTCGAAATTACCCGGTTTTTTTTCTCGGGAATTTCGATCCTTAACCACGAGTGGTGATTGATTTTAAAATTCGGATACATTTTTATTTTAATTTTATTACAAACTATTCAAACGAATACTACGGGTACTTGTGGGGAAAAATATGTTTATCATTATTTTAATTAAAATAAGCCTTACGTGTCTTGTAATAAAACAGGAGGTTTTATCTCGAAAAACAGCAGGTTTGGTGTATTTTTTGTGTTTGTTTATTTTACTATAATATTATGCAAAGTACCTGGCCTTAGTCATCTTGATTGATGATTCATCATCAATCGCCAATACAAATATCACTGATAGGTATGATTAAAAAAAAACAGCACTGCAGTATCTCCAATTACCAAAAGTAAAAAAAAAAAGTACTTGATTTTTGATAAGGTATTTATAGTAACCGGTAATCAAGAATCCTATTTCCAACACAAGTCACGAAGACAAAAAATACGATCACCATAATATACAATTTTTTATTGTTATTTTTTTTTAAATTTCTTTTAAATAAATCTGAAACAATATTATGCAACCAGTTTTACGACGCCCGCCGCAAACGTTAGAATCGAACCGGACCTCAACTCTTACGGGCTCCCGTACGGACCCTATACAATACTTTCATACTTTAACCATATAATCGGTCAGTTCGATTAAATCTCAGCACATTATTTAACGTTAATAAAGTAATAACGATATATTAAGTAACCTAGTATGTATACGCTTTACTGAACAGACACGGTTATGTGAATGCGATGTACCCGAGTATAATTATAACATTACATGAACATTAAGAAGTAAAAATGCTTGTTCCATCATCGCCTAGCCCTGCGAGATATAATCTCCAATTAGTATAATTAAAACAATTCATCGGTACAAAGTAATTACAGCGAGTTGTTCTGTTTTTCTTTTAACGGAGAAAGAGAGAGAGAGGTGTGTGTTAATTATATAGATAGTAAAAATAATTTCATCAAACCAAAAACTTCGTTAACTATTGCATCGTAGACGAGTGTTAAATAGTTTTGTGTTTTGTTCATCGTTCCGTAGGGGAGAGACGTATCCACAGTTTCACCCCTCGGTGCAAATGCGTCACTTGCTGTACCGTAATATTCAAACAATCAAAAACCTAACCGAAAAACCAGTTTGAAAGCGATTACGTGTTGATTTATCATCAAAGAAATAAAAAATAATAACTATTAGACAACGTAATACTTGGGCATATATTTCAAAAATAGACAGCTCGATACGTGTTCAGTACGTTACTGTATCATAATATAGTTAATAAATCATCGGTTTTTTTTTTTTTTTTTTCCACTAATCACAGGTATGCCGTACTGGGCGAAGGTCCGCTGACATCGTCCATCGGCCTGGAAACGGTCGCGTTCATCACGACCAAGTACGGTAATCAGTCGGACGACTGGCCGGACATCGAGTTCATGTTGACGTCCACGTCGACCAGCTCGGACGGCGGTACGGCCGCCAGAAAGGCGCACTGTCTGCGCGACGATTTCTACGAAGAGCTGATGGGCGACATGAACAGCAAGGACGTATTCGGCGTGTTCCCGATGATGTTGCGGCCGAAGAGCAGAGGGCGCATACTGCTCCGCAGCAACAACCCGCATCAGTACCCGCTACTGTACCACAACTATCTGTCCCATCCCGACGACGTCCGGGTGCTGCGGGAGGGCGTCAAAGCGGCCGTGGCCGTGGGCGAGACGACAGCCATGAAACGGTTCGGGGCCCGTTTCCACGACAGGCCGGTTCCCGGGTGCAAGCACCTGCCGCTGTTCACCGACGAGTACTGGGAGTGCGTGATTCGACAGTACACCATGACCATATACCACATGTCGGGTGAGTTTTGAAACCCGTAATTTCTGCGCCATAACCGTTCGCGTGATTTCCGCGACCCGGTCGATTTGTCGCTCGTCCGCCCCTCTGTTATACCGGCCCGTTTCTCGTTTCAGGCACGTCGAAAATGGGACCGGCTACCGATCCCATGGCCGTGGTCGACCCTCAGCTAAGAGTGTACGGGATCCAGGGCTTAAGAGTGATCGACGCCAGCATCATGCCGCAGATCACGAACGGCAACATCAACGCGCCGACGATAATGATCGGCGAGAAGGGTGCCGACATGATAGTGAAATATTGGAAAAGCGTCGACAGAGCCTACAGGAAAAGGCGGAATAGCGCATCGAACGTTACCATTAGCTAAGGCGAAGCCGCGCGATTTTTCCGGGAAGGAGCGTTTTTTTTTTTTAAAAAAATATCCAAAACGTACATTACGAAATCCATATTGATCGCCTCAACACGCGCAATAACATTATCACTGTTATTGTTGCGCCGCTCAATTCGTGTAGGGTATTATAACGACACTAAGATCAAAACAACTCACTATTATTATTATTATTATTATTATTATTATTATTATTTTTATTGTTAATTTATGGATAGCGTCTTGTTTTTTTTTTTTTTTACTTTTCGAATGTATTATTATTACTGTACGCATAAGTATTACTATCGTAGAGTTAACGGATTTTTACCATTTCGTAATAATTGAAAACTTTAATCATAACGATCACACGCCAAAACTAATATTATAATAGAGTACCCGCGATAACGGACGGCGCGCTGCGTTCGTTTCTGCCGAACGTCATTTTAATTTCGCGTCCGCCGAATCTGTTTCTTTCTAACGGAATTGTACAGTTGTCGAGAACAGTGGCACACACACACACACACACGTTCACAAAGGGGTTAGAGGGTCAACCTCCCTACCCTCCGAAATTTCTTCCTCCGCTGCATTTTTTTAAATCGAGTTTTACATTCAACGACATACTATCTTATACCACAGAATAAAATTAAAATTTAATTTCGTCAAAAATCATTTATTCGGTAATAATAGTGACAGTACCGTACTGATAATATGAGCATTGTTTTTTTTTTTTTTTTTTAGAAATTGCATTCGAGAAATTTCTCCTTATGTACCCTTACATAGTGTATTTCTCTACAAGTGTATTTCGACTTACCACTATAACGAACCTTTTTCGAATATCGCTTCTTATTTATATGGACATCAGCTGATCCACAAATGTTTATTTGTATAAGCTATTATATACGATCAAAAATATATTAGTTTACGGACGTGGTTTATAGAACAGTTCGTTGAAACATTTTTTCAATACCAAATGATTCATCCCGTATCCCGATATCTAGTGCCGCCGAACCTATAACCCAAGAGGGGCAATCGCCCCCCCCCCCTCATTTTCTTTCGGTTGGTCATAAATAAGGGTCGACTATTAAAATTCACAGAGCGTACATTTATGATAAAAACTTAATTTTCATCTTGATGATTGACACACACACAATTAAATACATTTAGGTCACTGTGATGTAGTAATTTTTAGAGTAGGTTTGTACTGTTAACACATATATCGATTTATAGTGATACAAAGTATTTTTATACTACAATTAGTAATTTCGTTCAAAACAAGTGTCATGAAATTTAAACGGTTTTTAAGAGCGAAGGGTGCGTTTGCCTCCTCTCCTTGAATATTCCGCGGGCGGTGAGTGCAAAAAATAATTTTGCCCCCCTCCCAAAATTAATTTACGTTCGGCGCAACTGCCAAGATCCATCGGATATCGGTGGTTACGTATTCACCATTGCTATGACTAGACGTCCTTAAACAATAGTATATCCGTATAAATAGGTTCGGCGGAAAGGAAAATCGAACCTTTTTTTTTATTGTTTTTGGGAAAAGAAACACGAATCGCGTTGTTTGGCGGAACGGTGCGCGTCTTCTTCAAATAATTTTTAATTTCATATCTAGTCCGGTTATAAATTATTGTAATTATTTTTAGAATCGTTAATAGTGTTTATTATTAATTTAATAGTTCATAACACTGTAATATTATGAATTATAACGTTTCTCTGTTATAATAGATAATTACAATGTACGAAATTTAATTGAATCAAATCTATTTTATACTGTTTTACAATTTAATTATGTATTACTTATTAGAAAATAAGTACATACAAATGGGTTTTTAATGGATCTTTAAATACCGACTATAAATCAAAACTATTTATTCGATTAAATTTAGTTATTACGTGTACAAATATAATTTCGATTAATGTTTTTTATGTTTTATAGTTGTACGAATCTATTTGTCTTCACCGGCTCAGTTTTTAACGTAAACAAATAAACGATGTTACCAATATTTTAAAAACGTGACTGCCTGTATTGTTTCAAATATTACCAAGTTTAACAACATGACGTGTGCCATTGTGAAACGTGATAGTTTAATATTGCCATTTACCCCGTAAATCGCATAAGAAAGAGAGAGACTGTTTGTATCTTTCTATATATAACCTACGAGATTTTTATTTCGATTTTTCATTCCGTCCCATATCCAGTTCTCCAATTAACCCTATCAATTGTTCTCAGTTTTCGGATAAGCGTCGAATTCGCTATCATTTTTATTATCCGTATGTTCTTAAATTCACTTTTAATGACATCGATGGCGTAAGCGTTGTTTCTTTTTCAGTCAGAAAGTTTCGATGACGTTTCTAATGACCTTATCACTTACCATGTTAAAAAAAAAAAAAAAAAAAACATGTTTTGGTTGCTATGATAGATTCTTCTTTTTACAATTCTTAAATATTAATATTACATTATATTTGATAACATCAGTTGTGACAATTCCATCATACAAAAAATAATGTTCTTTTGTTATTATACGATATCAACGCTGGTGGCGCCACCACCGATGCCATTCGAAAACGAAAAAGAACGTTCGGTACCTTCATAAATAATACGGAGGCCGTTATACCAGCGGTTTTCGGTGATAAAAACAAAAAATAACTTAATTTTGATTTTAGAGTCGGAGCACTCATTATTAAAATTAAAAAAGACAATATTCCAAAGAGCAAGAAAATGCGGGGTTATTTTTAAATAATTTTTTTACCGTACCTCAAAAATGTCGAGACAATCGTTATTTCCAAATATTAAATTGACTGACATAATATTTGAATTAATGAAAAATAACCTCATTATCTTGTCATCCGGAATAACGTCCCCTTTCAATTTTATATTTGATGTTTTCACTTTAAAACCAAAATTAAGCGAGTGCTGTATCATCTGCGTCATGTTTTGACGTCACAAAATGTTAATTCTGTCTCGTTAGGTGATAAAGTTTAAGTCTGAATATTGATCAATCACACGAAGCTTACCCTATATACCCCGTGTACGCTTTTACGATGGTACTTTTTAAATTGAATTTAGTACCTAATTTATTTTTAATGTTTAGATGTTTTTAAACGTCAACGTGTTTTTGATTGATTTACAAGGCGTTACGGGTAGACAATTTAAATACAAAAACTGTGCCGCCGTTGTTTCGCTAAGAGTATTATCGCAGTAATAGGTACATAACTCGTGTTGCGCCTTTCGGCAACAAACATAATATTTCATTGCCACTAAATTCTAAAAATGTCAACAAATTAATAATTATTAACGTACGGGTTTTAATAACGCATCGTATCCGTCTAAAACCCATGACAAATACACGTGAAAAACGATGGTTTACACATTTCGGGCGTAGCGCCGTAACGATGGATGTATTGGTTATACTATATAATATATATTATTATTATTATTATTATTATTTTTTTTTTTGTTTCGTCTATTAACTCTGTGTTGCTGTTTTCGACCAGACGAACTGGTCCATTTATCAATGATAAATGTGTTCTAGTTGGTTCGTCGCGAAGGTCAATTTTCGATAATACCTATTCTTTCCGGGAAAACTGAAAAAAAAAAAAAGGAATATTTAAGCAACAACGTTTTTAATTAACTGTTTTTTTATATTTCTGGTGTGATTCATGAACAACAAATATTTACAATCACCTGACATTTTCACCGATAACTTATTATATTTTTTTCGTTCTGATTTTTCAAATTTTAAACCGATACAGACCTATCGAGTTCATAAGACTCGATGTCCCGATGTAGCGAATTGAAAATAATAACATTTTCACTGTCTATTAAACAGGTGTTCCGGAATATTATTTTCTTCAAAATATGATTAGATAATTTCAAAAATATTTTCAACGCTATTGTATTTAAACTATCATCAAAATGTCATATACTTGCCAAATATTTATTTCAAACATACGAAAAAAATATAAACCAAAAATTAAAAAAAGGACGGACATACTTGCACGTGGGTGCAGCCATTGTCGTAGATGGGAAGTTGGAAAGGTAGGATACAGACGGGAATTTAATGTATATCTGTAAGCAACGATAAACCCTTGTTAACGGAATAACGATTTTGAACGGAGTTCAGTTGATAGTGTTGCTTTGTCAACAATACATATGTCATATTATGGTAAAATGATTACAACAATGTGCGTTTCCATGACAAAAATGATTGTTTAAAAAAAAATTGAAATGATAAAAACTTAATAATAACAATAAAAACGGTTGTTAATGACAACCTTATTTTTAACCTTTCAATGTTCTTTTATCCTAAAGGCCGAGGTTTCCCTCATTACCTCGAATATTAATGAGAATTTCAAAAAATGATCAATCTTAATAATCACTTAGAAGTGGTGAATAGAATATATGTTTTCGATGCTCCTGTTGACAGGTAGGTGGTAAAAAAGATAAAAGTTTAAATAAGTTTGTATAATGAGGTGGTCATGAAGTAACTGAGTTTATTTGTTTATCTGTTTTGATGTCGTGACACTGAAAATGCTGAGATTTAGCAATGTATAGTGTAATTTTCTAACGTTAACACCGTCGCTATACGCACCACTCCAGCATAGTATTAATATTATGACCGAATAAAATGTGACGCCCGATTATCTGACCAACGATTTATGTGACAGATTACTATTTTGGCCCCATATAAAAATACTCAAAACATTTAAAACGAAAAACCACTGACAAAGATCATAATCATTAACCGTTTAATTACAAATAGTTAATACAATTTCAAATTTAACTTTATCAAAACATGTTTAACTAAACGCTCAGAATCATTTTTCGTTAACTTTAATTTATCAGTGCGTACAGAATGGTAGAGCTATAAATTAAATCTCCATTTGCATGCTACTTTCCCAACTTCCCACCTACAACGGTGGTACATCCATTATGCGAAGTATGTCGGCTTTCTTTATTATACACACTATAGCGGCTAAATAAGACAAAACGTATTTTATTGAATAAGGCTGTTACTGTTGACGGGTGTACCGCTGTTTTAGGAATGAAGTTGGAAAAGAGGATAAACGGAGTAATTTAATTGTATAGCTGTGCGCAATGATTAACCGCGGACAACGAAAAACGATTCTTACCGGCGTATTATTTGTTATATTTTTTCCCTTGTTACTGCGATAGCCAACAAAAATTAAAAATCCGAAATCAGCAAAAATTTTAAAAAATTTTCGGTAATTCCTATTTATTATGAAAGCTGTATGAGGAAATCAAAAAACAATTCGTTGTTAAAATACGCACCGACTAAAACGACAGACAATGCTACAAGAAAATCTGTACAGCATTATTGATTGAAGACATCTGGTAGAAAAGTCGTTTTCACAAAACGTAAAAAACAAAACATATCGTAGTAAAACCGATACGTTCCTCGCTTCGTGCATAATCTAAAACCGGAGAAAATTAAGGGACGACAGTTTTAACCGTGCCAGAAATAAACGCACGCGCACGAAACCCGAACCGGGCGGGTCGTGACCACTTTCACGTACGCGCATTTTTTATTATTATTATTGTACATACATTATTAGTGTCCTGGGCCGGTTTTGTTTTGATAACGTGATTTTTTTTTAAATATCTGTACATAAATGAATTTTCGTCGGAATGTTTCCAGTCGGAACATTGCATACAGGTAATGGTGTTCCAACAAGCGGCTTAATACCGTCGTAGGTACCGTGATGATTTGTTACGGTTAAAAATGGAATTTACGAATCGCGCAGTACAGTAATATACGAGGCATGGGTGCGCCCTATAACCGGTGTAGATATTATTCTAAAAATAACTCTACTTCCGATTATGGGCGTAACGAATGTACGTAAATATAACGTACCCATTGCATTCGGAATTTCATGATAGTATTCGATTTCGTTCGCCGGGCTTACGTATCGGCCGGTTCAGAACGGACGAAAAATAAAAAAAAAAAAAAAAAAAAACGAAAAGCCTATAAAAAGTGTGTAATAAAATATCGCTCATTCGGTCGTTGTAATTTTACGACACCGCGCCGCCGCCCCGCGGGCGATCAATTACTATCCGGACAGATAACCAGCGCGGCGTTTCCTACACCGCCTAACGAACGAGTCTTTCACAAAAAGTAAAAACGACGTTCGTTCGAGCGCTTCGTCTTTTCCAAAAACTTATCGTAATTTATCTAATCGAATCATTCAACTTTTAACTTTTAGAACGCGCAATAATTGTCTGCACGCCAGCGTGCAACGTTGCGCACTATATAGCATACTATAAAAAGTATAACTTTTACAAACTCCGTTTTTTAATATAGTAAAGCTCTTTGAAGCTCTATTACAGCTCTTTGATGATATGGGATATAATGATCTTGGGTAGAAAACGGCTAGTTTTCAGGAAAAGAAATTAAAACTTGGCTGATCATTAATTTAATTGAACGAAGTTACTTTTATGTTAACTGTTATGTGGAAAATTTGATATCAATTCTTCGTGGTTTATAGTTAGTAACTCGAGATAATTGAACTTGTATTTTATATGACTTACGCTATTCGTATCATCAAGTTTCAACAAGGCACGCGTTTAAAACGATAATTATATTTTATTTCTTAACTTGACTTAAGATAGTCAGACCAATTTAAAATTATCTATCTGTTTGATCCTCGACTCTCAACTATAGATATACGTGTTTTGCATCTCATATATAATGTAACTTAAAATGTTTAAACCGAAACAAATTCCACTGATAACGAAAGCTATAGTTTTTACTTGCGTGGTTATAATACCAACAAAATATAAGAGTAAAAAAAAATGTAGATTCTGATACTAATCATTAGCCAAAAATGTCAATTTTTTAGTGAAGACTTTTTTTACCGTGCACGAAAAAATTATGCTAACACTGCGCCCGCGGTACGACCCGGCGGATTGAGGCAGGGATTATAACCGCCACTCTCAAACTGTAAGTATAGTTTATATGTCTATATCGTGTATATTTTCCTAATTTGTTTTGTTACAATTGCGCATATTTTCTTGTCATATCCCAAATACTTGCCCGGAAATTTATAATTTCCCCCCCCCCCGGAAAATAAATCCTGGTACGCTATAACGATTGCATAACAGGAAATTTACTTATTTTTGTTTATTTCAATGACTTCGAAAAAAAAAAAAAAAAAATGCTTTTTGATATTTTCTGTTTTTTGTTCATTTATCGTATATTTTATTGTTTATATGAAGACGCATTTATTGACTGAAGATTGGACAGCGTATGCGTTGTCAACTTTTGCCTAGCTACCGACGACAACCCGAAGTTTTTTTTTTAATGATATTTAAGACTCTCGAGTGGAGCGAAAAAGCCTACGGTTTTACAATGATGTTTATTTATTTTTTTCTGTGGACAACTTTTCATCCAGCAATTTCGTTGATTTTTTTAATGATAGCACTTTTACTGAAACGAAAACGAACAGATGATGTACTTTATAGGGAGTTCATTTTTTTGATTTTCCGAGAAGTTTTCTCAATTGACTGGAAAACCGGGAAAATATACAAAATATATTAGTAAACTTTTACTTACGGTCTTTTTTTTGCCTGTCGATAAATTTTCTACCAGCATGTATTATAAACATAATAAGTATAATAATAATAATAAGCACTTAAATAATAATAATCACTAATAACGATAATGATCATTTTAATAATAACAATCAAATCAGCATCCCAATAATGATCAATACTTTTAATAATTTAAATCAAACGTAATAATAATCAGGTTTTAATAAAATAACGAACAAAAATCATAATAATAAATTTAATAAGTGTAATAAAAATAAGCATAAGAATAATAACAAAAATAATGATGATAATAATAATAATAATAATGAGCACTTTTATAATCACAATCATAATCAGCATTTTAATAAGAAACATAATAGTAAATATAATGATCACTTAAATAATAATAATCATATCGGCATGATAATGATCATTAACACGTTTAATAATATTAATCAACAATAATAATAATCATCAACAAATATCGTAATCAGCATTTTAATAAAATAACGAACAATAATCATAATCATATGTTTAATAAGGGTATTTTTGATGATGATGATTGTTATTATTACTAGTTGTTAAAAGTATGCCGATTATTATTGTTGTCGATTAATATTATTAAAAACAGTGATGATTATTATGATGCTGATTGATTATTATTATTATTGAAATCATAATTATTATCTTTGGTGATTTTTGTTTTTTAAGTGATCATTATATCATTACCTACTATGCTGCTTATTAAAATAATGATTATGATTACGTTTTTTAAAGTGCTCGTTATTGCTATTATTACTATCGAGCTTATTTTTATTGCTTTTATTCAAATTATTATTATGATTATTGTTTGTTATTTTATTAAAATGCTGATTATAATGTATGTTAAAAATAATTTTCATTATGATTGATGATTATTATGATGCTGATTTTATTATTATTATTATTGCTAATTATGGTTATGATTTTTAAAACGCTCATTATTATTATAATTATTATTCTAGATCATGAGTGTAGCGAAGAATGTATTGGTTTTACAAAGATGATTGTTTTTTTTTTGTAAACACTTTTTCTACCAGAAAGCTTTCTCCGATGTATACAATGTAGACCATTTTCCGAAATGAAATTTTCTTGGAGTGATACTTCAAGGAGATTATTTTTCGATTTTCTCGACAAATTTGAATTCCCGAAAAAACGGAATATTAATATACAATAATTCAAAAAAATCAAAATCACAAATATATTTTATCACCGATAATATTGTTTTGTGTAAAAAGGTACTAAGTATTATAAATAAACTCTATATAAAGTAATAAAATAGATATTAAATAAAATGTCATTGCGTTGTCGGTGATGAACTAAAATGCTATTATAATAATACAAATAATATTATTTCGATTTCATTCAGTTATATTCCATTTTAATTATTTTTTAATCATTCGGACGATGGTACAAATAACCGTCTAAAACGTTAATTTTGAATGTAACATTGAACAGTAAATAACGTAATATTTTATTGAATTTTTGAATAATTTTTGACACAGATTTATTTACAATAAAACTTGATATTGTCGGGCAAACATATCAGACCCATTGTAAGTACAGATGCCAGGGCGAATAATCCATACTTGATGGACCAGTTCGATTAATTTCACGTACAGATACAAATTGATTTCTCTTCTATATCCTACCTTCCCGTTTGTTTCCTCTGTTTGTGTGCTATAAAATTGAAATTTTAAAAAAAATATCACCTTTGAACACAGTTCACCTATAGGTTTGCACTAAAGTTAAATTAGAATTACGAAACCTTAGTCACTTATTATGCACATCTCGCGGGTACATAATACAGTGGAACCTCGATAACTCGAATCGGTTGGGGGCGAAAAAAAAATTCGAGTTATCGAAAATTCGACTTATAGAGGTTCGAGTTATCGAGGTTCCACTGTAATTTTAAATTTTAATTTTGCGTAGAATTATCCGCAGTTGCGGATGTCCGTCCCGCAGATACCTATTCGGCTATTAAACTGACGAAAATCTTTGCTGTTTGTACGTGGCGGTCATTTTCGATGGCTAACGACGCTCAGAAACGTGCAGGACATGCATTACCGCGTGAACGTCGCACAAGTTATTTGAAAATAACCGATGAAACCGAGGCGCGTTTGGAGCGATTTTATTTGATTCGCAACCGTGACTCGAACGCGGGGGGCGACGTTACCGGTTTGACATAACGTTCCGAATTATCCGGTGTACCAACACGATTGGATGGCTGGGTTGAAAATTGTTTCGCATAATGTTTCACACAAGTCCGTATTAAATTACAATTGTTGTTCACACACCATATTAGTAGGTACATTAGTGCACAAAAATATACTACTTACTTAAAAATATTGAATGAGCGATCGACAAACAGTCGAATCAATACAGTCAATATATTGCGTATTAAAAACTAGCCCACACAAACTAGTTATATTTTCTAATAAAATTTATGTTCCCGTGTTGCAATACTATACTTGCTATGGATTATTGGACAAAATTAGAAAAAAATTAAACATCCTTTAAATCATCCGTTACGTACGATTTTAAGCGGAGCCGTCAACCGCGTGATCAATGCGCTAGATAAAAAAAAAATATAATACCTATATTTTCGGCCGCATCTGTGTTCCGCCCCGATAACCTTTTTTTTTTTTTTTATACCAATTTCGTCGTGGGCGAAAAAAAAAGGCGTGTACCATTTCCGTCCCGGATGGAAATAAGTGTACACCCGTACCTGCGATTCCTTCTGGATTTTATGTAGGTTGAATAAATTTTAAAGCTTCTATAAATCGTTTAATATTCGGGTGAGCGTGATGAAACATTCCGTTGAATTTAGAACGAAACGATTCGCAGTTATTTGCGTCGCGGAACGTACTGTTTATTAACTAAACAATACGGCATTATTAAATTGGATTATTCAGCGTGATAACCGAAGGCGGTTTTATCATCTTTGCTTCTAAATAATATAAAATTGTTGTCGTAGATGAAAAACGGAACGGAACTCGCGCGACTAAATAAATTGCACGGGACGGAACCGGTACGTCCACAAATTCGGATTTCACATTCGGGACGGCACTCGGGTACGGTCAACCGGCACGCGCAGTATCCGCGGGAACCCGGGACCCAATTGGCGCGGTGCCCGCACCGGCCCGGGCGGCCGGGGGACCCGGCCAGAGTGGATTTTCGAACGCGGGACCTGACGCTCGGATGCGCCGGAATTTTCGCCGCCGGTCATTGCGGCCGCCGTCCGGGACGTTACGCGCGCGCGCGCCGGCTGTGTGTGCGTGTGTGTGTGTGTGTGTGTGTGTGTGTGTGTGTGTGTGTGTGTGTGTGTGTAAAGCGGTTCGACCTTTACCGGGAGACGTTTCCGGAGGACGGTTTCACGCGTCCGGTTGTTTTCGCGGGAGCCGGCACGAATGCCGGATTACGTGAGCGTAATGCGCTTTTCAAGGACCGCGGATATCCAATGCGCGTACACGTACGCGAGTAAGTATACGATATCGTACACGTGTTTACGTATAACGGGTGTGTGTGCGCGCGCGTAAAGTGAAATGAAAAGTGAGTATCGAAAACTTGTAGCGAACGCGAAACCCGAACCCGGCGGGTCGTGACCACTTTCACGTACGCGCATTTTTTTTTTTTTTTTTTTTTTTTTTGTCTTCCGTACGGTCGGGGGAAAATAAAAATCCGAACGCTCGTCGACGCGTTATTATTATTATTATTGTTATTCGTACGCGATCGCGCGACGGGCAATAGCGCGCGCGCGCGCGCGATATTACCGCCGGGCCGGCGTCGCGGTAAAATATAGGGGGGCGCGTACACGTACGTTCGGCCGTGTCTCGTGGTGGGACCCGCCGCCGACGTGGTGGGTATAGCGGATCGGTATATTATTATATTATCATTTTTTTTTTTTTTTCCTTCATTTTTTTCATTATCACGGTTCTTCGCGGACGAACGCCGAGAACGCTCTCACTCGTCCTCGAGCACGTCGCGTCAGTCCAATAACAACAACAACAACAATAACAACGATATTATTTCGATCGGTGCGCGCGCGTGTGTGTGTATGTGTGTGTGTGTGTGTGTATGTGTGTGTGTCGTGCGTGCGTGTTTGTGCGAGCGCGCGCGCGCCCGTGTTTATACACTCGTTAATGGTTTCTTTGATTTTTTAATTTTCAATTTTTTTTTTTTCTTACTTTTCTAGAAAGCAATTATAACCATCGTACAGTGCTCGATATTTGTATTATTATGCCCGTCGTCGGGCGCCACGGCCCACCGCTCCGGTATCGCAACGGCCGTCGCGAAGTCATTGTCCGCTCCACCGCCGCCGACTTTGTACGGGAAAACGCCATCTCCGCCGCGGCCGTCGTCGTGAGATGACGACGTCGCCGCGCCGTCGAAACGTCCGTCGTCTGCCGCTCGTGTCGTCCGGGTCGGAGGATCTCCGACGGCAATAACGATAATTTATTGTTGCCGTACCGAAATATCCTATCTGCAACAGTACTACACTTGCCGCTAAACACGGTGGACGTCATGGCGCAGTCGCAGTTTTCGTTCCGTCCAGGCGCGGAGGACAGGACGCGGTGACCGGCAATGGCCTCGCTCATATCCGGCGTGGTCAACAGCGCCGCTTGGACCGGCGCCGGACTCATACCCGTCTTCGTGGTCGGGCTCGCGTATCTCCGGTACTCGATGTACGACCCCGAGTCCCGGGTCATAGACGTACAAGAGGTGAGCCATCGAGTCTATTAAAAACAATACGTACGCGCGTTTAATAATATAATGCGAACAGCCAAACGTGACCCGGTCAATGTATTTCGTAAACAAATCGTTTTCGCCAAAACTTTCGTTATTACTTCGAGTGTAACTTTTGGTTACTGAAACATCATAACCAAACGAAATGAACGGTCGTGACGCTATCCCCCGCGAAATCCTTAATTTTTTTATCACATTTTTATCCGATATACGGAGATTTTTATTCGGAGACTATTTCGTACGTTTTGTAAACAAATACAATGTCCCGAGCCGATCGAAAAAATGTTCACCGTGGACAATTTGATAGCCCGGAGACAAAACGGATCGATACGGGTGTATGTCCCGACAAAAAGTAAACGGATCGCCTTACCCCCGTGGATAATACAATGCGAGTCTGCGACCGATAACGGGGATACATTTCGACAAAACATCACCGATACCGATAGTAAATAGATATTATATTCTATATACATTCCCTACTATTCTCCGCTATATTATATTCTCCTCGGTTACTGTACGACATCAATTTCGACGTACCTGCACAAAATACCGTCAAATACCACTGACCCTTGTAAACCGATAATTGTAACAGCATTGTGTTATTTTCTGGATATATTATCTAGCTATACGTATGCATTCATCTTTAATCTTATCACGATAAATGAGAAATAAGTTATTTAAACAGTCATCTGACACGAACATAATGTTCGTTCATCTATAGATAGGTATTTTGCAACCGTAATTTAAATATTTATTAGAAATAATAGATGAAATAAATTGATTTATATCCATATGGTTTAATTCATTGTTTATTTATACCAATCACGCGACCTTTATGCTAAATCTAAATAATATGTACCGAATCTGGTAAACTTTTACTACGTCCATCACTTTGTTTTAAACGATAAATAATGAACAAAAGTACTATTTTTTTTCATGTATGCGTATCTGGATAATGATTTTCCGACCATGGTCTTCATAAGTTCTCTTCGTTCATCTCTTATCGTTGTCTATAGACATTTTGAAATGTATCTTTATACAACCGCTGCTTGTAAATTGAAAGAGCTAACGGTAGCGCGAATGGAATCCGATTCAAACGACGGCGTGCACGCACAACATATACATAATATTTGTTATAAATGGTGTACGCGTTTGTTATATTAACCGTTTATAAAAAAAAAATGGATAATAATATAATGTCAACCTCATTCTCATACACCGAGGGGGGAGGGAGGGGGAACCTTATTTCTGATACCGCGGATCAATAAGAATGAAACGAATAAAAAATAATAATAATAATACAAAAAATTTTAATCCGCAAAAACTAGGCGCATCGAGAATACAACAACGGTACGGACAATATAATCTATTGTATTATAGTCTGTAACGCGTTTTTCGCGGTACGCTATGGGAATTGAGGTGCCCTCGAATGTCGACTATGGCGACTGTATTATAATATACTAAATAATATAATAATATACATTTAGCCGATAATATTATAATTCGATTTCTGGAAATTTTTTCGCCGCTTTTTTTTTTGTAGCTCTCGCGGTTATTATTTCTTCTCTGCCGCGGTTTATACGCGAATCTGCAACAATTTTCAGAGCACAAACTAGGACAGCATAATAGCCGACGGTAACAATGACTGCAGCGGCAGCAGCAATAGATGTGTAATTACGGATGATGGCGATAAATTGCATTACGCGGTTTTCTAAAAAAAAAAAATAATAATAATAATAATAATAAATAAATAAAAAGTCCACGGTGAAACTGTCGGGCGAAAATCGTGTTTTTCGAGCGCCGGGGTCGCTGTAAAATCGTCCGGTACACACGATACGTATTGTAACGATCACGCGGTAACGGAATCGAAAACATCCCGCCGTCGTGGTTTCCCAACTGTCCAAACCATTTTTCAATTTTTTTTTTTTTACGAAAATTCCGAAAGCACTGTTTATCAGTAAAATACCGACATAATTTCAAAAACCGGGATGATAATGTAATATACAGGTAGAAATTAATTAAACTGACAACTAAATTAACAACATTACAGTACAACGAGTACGCCGCATAGTCTCTAGGAAACGCAGACTAATTAATGATATAATATATCAGTCTGTTTCAGTTAAAGGGGTTGAAAACGGTTGAATAAATTCTCCAACTTTGTAAAATTTGAAAATTATTTTTAATCCCTGTGGTAAGACTTTTTTTTGCTAATACCAACGACTGCCCTACGTCAATTTAAGGGGAAGGGGAAAGGGTACGGCCGTTTTAAAGGACGAACATGACGTTTTAGATCAACAAGCTGGACTAACCCATTACCGCTCGCCCGATTACAATTTTAAAAACATAATTAAATTTCTTGTCTATAATTTGTAGGAATCATTTGTTCGGTTTTTTTTTTTTTTTGTTTAATTAAACTCGAACTTAAAAGTATCACGCGAAAAAAATACTAGTTTTACTAAAAAAATATAGAAAAGAAATATGTACGAATTCGAATGTTAAACATAAATGTTTTTTATTTTAAGCACGTGGCTCTAGCGATTATTACAAGAAAAAAAAAATTCTAACATGTTAAACAAAACAAGTTATATTGTATTTGTCAGATCTCCATGGAACTCTTTTATATTGCAGTTTTCATAATCTTCTATTCGGATAAGATAGTAATAAAGAACTTTTCAAAAGTCACGTGCCACCACTCTCCACTGCCCACAAACTTAAAAGTGAGATAATTCGTTAATAGTTAGACCGAAATTTAAAATGTCAATTTAGAAAAATGTATTTTAATCTAAATCGACGACTGTTTGCGGAATTGTTCGTAGAAGTCGCTATTTTTGAAAAACAAAATCGGGTAGCGATTTCACCCCCGAACGACAAAAACTGACCGTAATGTCACATTTTAACAATTTCCGAGAAAAAAAAAAACAAACCAATACCGAGTGTCGTACGGAGGACAGATCGCTTCGTATGTAAATATATTTCGTCGGTATTTCTCGAGACGTTATTCCTTCGTGTCTACTCGTACCGTTACTGTTACTAAATTATGATCGTACCGATCGTCTAGAAATCAGTTTCCTACAGGCGTCAGTTCCGCAATACGACGCATACGAAAGTTGTTATTATTATTATATTATTATACACCAACGGTTCTCTAATGATTTCCATTTGACGAAAGACCGGTTGCCAGTGACTTTGTACACTCGAATACGAATTCCGGTGTAGATATCTACAATAGTTATATAAGATGATATAATTTCAAGAAGTGTAAGGCGGCTCTGCTTATTGTCATAATAATGCTCGTATGCAACGCCAACACAAAAAAAAAAAAAAAAAAAAAAAAGATAGGAAACGTCGGTACAATAAATGACCGCCTTGACTACTAATAACACTATAACGCCAGACGGAATATAAATATAAGCAATAAAGAAATCCGAGCCAGTTCTTCGTATTTCTATTTAATTGGCGAGGTTTTTGTTTTAATTAAAATATGTATACATACGGTTGTATTTCTGTTAAAAACAAAAAGGACGGACATACTCCGCACGTGGGTGCAGCCACTGTCGTAGGTGGGAAGTAGTTGGAAAGGTAGACTACAGACGGGAAATTCAGTGTATATATCTGTAAGCAACGATAAACCATTGTTAACGGAAAAACGATTCTGAGCGGAGTTCAGTTGATAGTGTTGCTTTGTTAACAATATATATATATATATATTACAATTTTGCACGTTTCTATGACAACAATGATTGTTTGAAAAAAGATTAAAATAATAAAAACAACTTAATTAGAACAAAAAATAAATAAAAACGGTTGCTAATCACGACCTTATTTATAATCTTGCAATATTTTTTAAGCTGAAGAACCAGGTTTTCCTTATTATCTCGAATGTTAACGAGAATTTCAAAAAAATGACCTTTTTTAAAGTAGGTACTACCCAGAGAACATTTCCTTTCAGAAGAGGTGCTTTACTTGATAATCGGAATAAGCTTTCTAAAAAAAAAACATCTTTGTAAAACCAATACATTCTTCGCTAAACTCAGAATCTAAAACAATTCTAATAAGTTGGAAAAGTATTATTCAGGCGAATCCGGTTAAACGTTTGTTGATTAATTTAAATTGAGAATCGCGTATTGATTCGTGGCTAAACCAAAAATAAAAAAATACAATTTTTCGCGGTGTTTTTGACGGATTTTGTCATAAATTTATACTTAAAACACTTATAAAAATAAATTACTATACAACTTGTTTTTTCTAGCGTTTTTGCTAAACCGAAACAAAATTGTATCCACGTAAAACTAAATAAAAACTTAAAAAAACTTGATAGTTTTAGATAGCTAAGAATAATTCAAATAACGCCAGAATGTTTTGACAATTACACCACGCATAAAAAATACCAATGTACGTATATTTAGGTGAAAGATTTAACCTAACCTAATCTAACCTTTCAGGTTTTTACGATTTTTTTTCACTGAATTACGACAATAAAAAAAAATATAAATGTGATATAAACATAACTCGTAATTGCGGAAATATTCTAGTTTTCTAATTTTTTCCTCGGTGTTGCTCATTATTAAGATTAAAAGTTACCTTTTCGGTGCACCAACTTGATAAAATTGTCATTTTCTGATTTCGATAGTTAAAACTAGATTTTTTGTCGAATATTTGTTAACAGATTAGAAAAAAAAAACACATCTCACAGTTAATCCAATATATTCAGCTCGTGACATTTAGAATCTAAAATTTATCTAAAACACATACTTTAAAATATTAAATAGCATGCAATTTCGTTGTGTTAGTAAAATTTCAGATTCTCAATATAGTAAAGAAACTAATAATTTTTCTAAGATGTGTATTTTTTTTTCTCTACTCGAAACATTTTATGAAATTCACAATAAATTCCTAAAAAAAACTCACAACTAATGACGAATGACGAGCATCGGTTTTATTTTTTATAGTTTCTAGGTTACCTTGATTAAAAGAGGAAAAACGGACAGATTATATTTACATTTTACCAGTTTACTAAGCTCCGATCTTTTTTTTTATTTATTATTGAAATGATACGTCGTTTCTTTCAATATATAAACTAATATCCCTAAAGTTATCTTTCAAACTTCACAAACATAATTGTAATATAATAGAATTATAATTGCCAACGATACGAAGTATGTTCATGTTATTTTTGGTAATTTTAATTTTGTGAAATTCAATTGGTGTATTGCAAATGATTTAAAAACGTCTCTTTTTTAAAAAAAAACAAACGTTTATAATAAATGACATTAAATATAAATATTGATGATAAAAAATAATAATAATAATCTAGAAATGTCATCTTCTTCTTTTGGTTTTCAATTTGTCGATTATTAGATTGGTTGCAGCTCCCCATTTTTCTCTATAAAATGTCATCCCCGTGTCCTTGAGAAATGAGCTTTTGGCGTTTCTTTTACAATTTTACCTTCTATATACGTGACTTTCAATAATCGACTCCGGACCAACATATGTGAACGACCATCGTATCCATTCTATTTTTATTTTTTTTATAATTAATTTCCGAAGCACGAAGTGTCACTCTAACACGCGACGAAATTGCATGTTTTTCTTTGAATTTATCGAATATTTTACGTATGAGTCAATTGAATATTTTATAAAATTATACCTTTTCAATTGTTTGTATTTTTTTAACTTTTTTTTTTTTTTTTAAGTAATTTAAATTATTTTTTTTCCGGGCGTATACAGAAAATGTGTGCGGTTAAATACAAATTCGTTTATTTATACTAAACGAGTTTAGCGAGTACAGCTATTCAATTATATAATAGTAATATAATACCTACATGAAACTCATTTACATTCTATGGCATTGTTGTAGTCATACACTCATACCTTTCATGATGAATGATGAATGTTGATTAATAGTATGATAACATAATAATATTATTATTATGTTTGTAGAAAGCACTTTCGTTTATTAACCGAAACATTTTTTTTTTCTTTTGTAAACCTACTCTAAAAAAAGCAAAAAAAAAATGTCATTGTAATATCACGTCTGTATATGTGTATTTCAAAAGTATTTTATTTAAAAGTTTTACTTATTTGTTTTAAAATAAATATCATAACAAGTGTGATAAGTTTCAATAATGGAATTTGACTAAAAAAAATATAGTGTTCATACGTACATATTTTGTAGAGTTATTATTTTTTTTTTTTCCAAACGTAAAAATACTATGGTTGGTATTCTAAATCAAATAAAAATTTGACGAATTTAAAATACTAACGTATAAACACTGAAAAGTACCTTATATACCTACTATGGAAACGGAATGAACAAAACTTTAAATAAAAAAAAACAATTTTAAAAAGTCACTTATAATATGGTAAAAAACAATACATGTTAAAGATCTTCCCCTCCTCTTAAATAACTTTTATTTAAGCAAAACGGTTAAGTTTTTTATTTCATTTGATACCTATAACAAACGAAGTAAACCGCCCGTAGCGTATAAATAAATCTGTCGACTTTATAGTTCATAATATTGCAGTCGTCGAATAACGTGAAATTAAACGTGACCTAATAAAACGTCGAGAGAAAAAAAATCTCCGGATATTTGTCGTAAAAAATTCAAATGTATTTCTATACTTGAAATATTCACACATAGATGACGACGAGATACATTTCATAATTTTAGAATCCGCCGTGCGTTTAGAAATCGAATTGTTAGCCCGGGGAAAAGTGTTAAAAATAATTTTAATAATATATTAATATAAATATTATAATATTCGAGTGTGTAAGGATAATAATTGAATTTATTGTTTTTATGCATAGCATGTTTTTTGAAGAAATAGGCGCATATTATCTACTGTTTTTTTTTATTTTTTTTTTTTTTTTTTTTGTCCTTTTTTTCCCCATTCGAAATTAAAGCAACCGATTTCCACGATATATTTTATTGCATATTATATACTTGGATATTAATAACACTACAACAATACTGGTACAATAAAAAATAATAATAATAAATAAGACAATAAAATGGTCCAAGGATGATAAATAATACAGTGACTAAAACGTACAATGATATATTATTCGTATAACAACGATAATAAAAAACCGGACATACTTCGCGCCGTGAACTGTTGTAGGATGGAAGTTAAGAGGTGTATAATACAGGATACAGGGTATTTCAGTCAATATACTGAAGGGCACGATATGTAACGAGCGCGATCAAAAAACGATCTTGAATGGAACTCGGTAAACAGATCAAGTATAACGAAATAATTATACGACTACGGCTATATTTTCATACAGTTAATGATGTTTTTTCTCTCTTGTAGCTAACCTAGAAATTAACAAAGTTTACGGCACGAAAAACAAATACACCTCTTAGTGAAACCATTGACTTTCAATCGTTATTAAATACACTCGGAATCTGTCACCTATTTCGTAATAATAAATTTTAGTTATTATTATTTTTAAATAATTACCGTTCCGTTATAATCTGCCGTTTGAAGAGAATTTTAATTTTTAGTAGATTAAAATATTTAAAAAAAAAACTAACCAACGCGAATTTATTTATTATTGACGTTATAATATTATATACTGATAAAAATACAAAAAAAATAAAAATAATTTCACGTAAGTCTTTTGACCCTTTTGAATAGGGTTGTTTTAAAAAAAAGCCAAATTAGTGCACGTTTTTTTTTTTTTTTTTTTTTTTTTTTTTTTAAACACATAACTCAACATAATTTTTGATATTTTCACAAAAAAATAATAATATTTCGAAATTGAATATTCTGTATATTAAAATAAATTGAAATTACCTAATTATAAAAAATTAAAAAAATAGTTCAATTTTACAGCTTAACCGGCCCACCGATTATACCGCATTATTTAAAAAATAATATTTAACGATACAAAACTGAGTATAATTTTAGGTTTTTTTTTTTTTTTTTTTGGAAATTCGATTGTAATAATATATAAAACAGGTTTCAGGTGGAAACATTTTTAATTGGTAATTTATACCGAAATAAAACATTACACGCGGCGTATCACGATCGTGGAAACGACCGTCTGCAGATTTCACCGGACACTCAATTTGTTTTAACATTTAACCGGGTTTAATTAGGAATTATTAGTCTGGCAGAATAACGTAGTGTAAGTAGCGAAAATTAAACGTGCGATGAGAATTATTTCGGCAATTATGGACTCCGCATAATAAACGAGAGCGTTGAGACATAACGATGTTATAATTTTACATAAAAAACCGACCAAGCCATAGTAATTCATATCCTTCCCCCGTCGAAACTAAAAAGTGGAGTATCTCTTTAACTGGTTGACGGGGATTAAAAATGTCAACACCAAAATTGGTTAAATTAATGCTCCATGGAATTTTCAACATAGGTTGCTGTTTGAAAATCAAAAGCATGTAGTGGGTTTAACCCTAAAATAAGGGCGAAAGGGTGACAAAAGAAAAAGAGTAGTGTAACATTTTTGAACTACTATAATTTCTTAAATGTTTTGAAAAGCAAATTTAGAAAACGTTAATCATTTACGAGATAATTAGTGTTTTACGTTATGTTGATCGCGCTGTATACTCTAAACTCAACCAGAATATCACAATCGTTGAAATACAGACACGTAAGACCGACCGAGAAAACGAATTATGATGTGTAAAAGCCTCTTAAATAATAATCCAAATAGATAAAGAATTTTGAATACGACCGGTTTCGACGATAATCTGTCAGAAAATAATAGAAGTGAAAAAAAACGACTTATATACAAACAAATATTATGGCGTATACCTAGGTAAATGTTTATTTTTTTTTTTTTTTCAAACGTTCCCATCAAATTATTGTTCTTGTCAATTCAGGAAATTATAATTATAATATTTTAATCTTCGAATAAAAAACTTTTCAGGAATCAGAATGAAATATTATGTAAGTCGTATATATTTGATATTTGTCGAGATTAATGACTCAAGTTTGAATATTTTGTCACCTGTGATAGTTACACAACTCACAAAATTGGCTCACCGCCCGCGAGTCTGTTCGGGCTATAGAAATTACAGGCAGGAGGAGGAGGACACGTTTAAACATAGGACAGACATTAGCCCTAATCCTCGCGCTGTATAAATAGTGACACCCCTCAATCAAAATGTCTAAAAATATGTTCTGGTTTATCGCATAATGTTATGGATTATTTTTTACTTTGTGTAGTAATAGTAGTTGCAGCGTCATACATGTCATAGTGCCGGGTGAAAACGGTCATTGAAATGTTTAAAATTACTAGTGCACGAATCCAAATGCTCTAACTAAATCTTTATGGCGAATAATGTAACCAAACGGTTTATATCCGAGATTTAATTTCAGCGTAAAAACATTACTTCTTATGTATTAAAGACCAACTGATAACCATCACTTATTGCACGTCAATCGCACTCGCGCGCATGATAAAAATCAAACTATTAATGAACTGCAACGACACTCTTGGGGTGTACGATTATTAGAAAACTGAGTGCACTATGCCTCAAAGTTGTTTTGCAGTCGTAATTATTATTATTATCATTATTATTATTACAATAATATTTTGGTTAAGACGATATCATACCCGCGTGTGTTGTCTCCGTAATACAAACGCACAACGTATCAAAATCATTGTGTTACTTAGAACATCAAGACTTTGGCATTTAGATTGAAATCGGAGTTCGATCACAAATAACAAAATTTAAAGAATTAAAAGTATTTTAAAAAAAAATGCAAAAACAGTAAACTGTAACTTTTTTATGTTACAATCATTTTTTATTTTAGAAAAAAGCCACGTACAACTCTCAAAAATATTCTCCTCTTTAAAAATATATGTTATCATTATTGTGTTTAAACCTCAATTTCAACCTAAACGCTACAATTTACGTGTTAAGACGTATTAGAGAAAAAAACGTTTCAAACAGACAGCTAATATGGTTCTGGCATTTCGTGTAGAATTGGTTTTGGCAGTTATGTACCGTAATTCGTCATTACGACGATGGCTACTTCTGTGCACTGCGTATATGGGTACCATTATAAAACGATTATAAAATACTATTGTAACGTTTTTAGAAAGTCCCCAGTAAAAACGAAAACAGAAGTCGTACGGGTGCGTGGCGATAATTTTGAAAGTAATTTATTATCAACGAAGAAAAATATACCGTTTCGGGGGTTAAAAAGACGCTGCGCATGCATAATATATTATCTCAGTCTTGCGAACGCAAAACATAGATAATTTTGATTCGGCAGGACCAATTTTCTAAATTTAATTTCTCTGATCCCGGGGAAGACGGGCTAAGTCGATAATGTTTAGCTTTTTTTTCATATTTATAAATAATTTTGTCTGATGCAATATGTTTCCCTTTATTTTTCGGGCGAAATTACATAAGTGTATGTATTTTCAAAATGTATTCGCATTGTCGATAACTATACAAAATTAACTTTCTTCAACGTTAATAGTAAGAACACGGCATGTGTTCGTACGTCGGTTTTTTTCGGATATTTAAATTTTTAAACGGGATATTTTTAATTATTTCATATCGAATATCTCGATATTGACATACGAAAACACCAACGTGCAAACGCAATTTGATTACGCGTCAATTCGACCTAATAATATTAAAACTAACAGCTCGAAACTTTTGGTTCTGCTGCAAAACGCGAGTTTGCTGTGTCGTACTTTTTTTGTAAGGCGATAGCAATAAATGATACGTGTGATGCACGCGGAATGCCCTCTAAACACATAAACCTATTTAAAATATCAACATTGTTGCAAAACATCGAAAAATCAATAATCAACCACGGCGAAAATAAAATCAACCGTTCGAAAGAATTACGTTTATTCAGAACTGAACATCGGAGTTCCTAGTCCACTTGCAACAATATAATAATAGACGACCGGTATAAAATGTGTTCTGTTCTCCGATTCGGTTTATTTTTCGAAAATTACTCCGATACTATTAAATGACAATTTATAAATTCAGTTACTTTCTTTCCGATTCCACTGGCGTCTAAAAGTATACTACAAATTCGATTTTTTTAGTCGATTTTAACGCGGTATTTTTCCATTGTGTTATTATTAAAAAATAATGACTCAAACAAATTCGGACGCGCTCTTATCTGTCGATCTCGAACTCTCTACTCAAATTATTATTTCGCTATATCGCCACGTTGTTTATAGGCGCACAAATAACATACGCCCCGGGTGGCACGGCCCATGGGTACAGCTATTAATGTCTATTTTTTTCTTCTTAAACGACGAGAGCAAAAACTAGGACATGGCTGAATTTATTGCTTTACAATGCGCGATATCTGCAGGCAAAATGCATTGTTCGCTGTTGATATTTTACTAAACGATTTTAAGTACCCGATTGTATCCCGAAAATATCAATCTAATAATTTCCAGGAAAATTGTTTAGATTCTGAACGAAGCGAGAAATTTTACTATGATATACTTTTTTTTTGTCGGTTAGGTATTAGGTTAAACAAATTTTTTTTTTTTTTTACCAGAAATCTTACTCCAATCCAAAACTGTATGCCAAACTTTTGTTGTTTTTCGCTGTACTTTTGATCTGATCGGGGACATTCATCGGGGTAATTTTTAGATTTCCCTCGTAGTTTTAAACAAACGGGAAAAACCGACAATTGTTTATAAAACGTTTGTTGATTTCTAGACTGCAATGGCAACAAGGAGGGGAAAATACGACTAAAAAAAACTATGCATAAAATCATGTTTTCCGATTGTACAGATTTAAATCAAATTACTTTAGAACATATCCTTCCTCCCGACATCTACGCTAAAACGGTGGCACACCAACCAGCCTTTTTAAACACGCATTGTTCAAAACAATACCTAGTTCTAGTAAAAATCTGTTGGTATTTTCCGATTGGCATTTGATCCACTAAAACCGGTATTCACGGTGTCAAACGCAATATCGCGTATCGTGTCGGACGTTTAACGATTTGTAAACAACGCATGTTAACGGTCGACAATATTGTTCCAGGTGCTGGACGAGTATGATTTCATCGTGGTCGGCGCGGGCTCGGCCGGGGCGGTAATCGCCAACAGGCTGTCCGAGATGCGCAATTGGACCGTCCTGGTGCTGGAAGCGGGCGGCGACGAGACGGAGATATCGGACGTGCCGTCGTTCGTCGGCTACCTACAACTGTCCGACATGGACTGGCAGTACAAGACCGCGCCGCCGTCCAGTGACAATCCGTATTGCCTGGCCATGGTGCATGACCGGTGCAACTGGCCACGGGGCAAAGTTCTCGGTGGCTCGAGCGTGCTGAACGCCATGGTATACGTGCGGGGCAACCACCGGGACTACGACCAGTGGGCCGAAGCCGGTAACCCCGGTTGGAGTTACAAGGACGTGCTGCCGTATTTTCTGAAGTCCGAGGACAACCGGAACCCGTATCTGACCAGGACCGAATACCACAGCAGCGGCGGCTACCTGACCGTGTCCGAGGCCCCGTGGCGGACGCCGCTCGCCGCCGCGTTCATATCGGCCGGCGAAGAGCTGGGCTACGAGAACCGCGACATAAACGGCAGGCACCAGAACGGTTTCATGCTGACGCAGACCACCACGCGACGAGGTAGCCGGTGCAGTACGGCCAAAGCGTTTCTCAGGCCCGTCCGGCTCCGGCCCAACATCCACGTGTCCTTGCACAGTCAGGTGACCAAAATAATTTTCGACGGCCCGTCGGCGGACGGTGAACCCCGAGCGACGGGCGTCGTGTACCTGAGGGACGGTAAGCGGCGCATGGTGACCGCCCGTAAGGAGGTGATACTGTCGTCCGGCGCCATCGGGTCACCCCAACTGTTGATGGTATCTGGTGTCGGGCCGGCCGACCATCTGGCTGAACTCGGGATCAAGGTAATCAAAGACCTGCGGGGGATCGGCCACAACCTGCAGGATCACGTGGGTCTGGGCGGGCTAACGTTCATTATCGACGAACCGATCACGTTCAAGAAGTCGCGGTTTACCACCGCGTCCGTGGCCCTCGACTACATAATGAACGAGCGGGGCCCGCTAACGTCCAGCGGCATCGAAGGGCTGGCGTTCGTCAACACCAAATACGCCGACCCGTCCGGCCGGTTTCCGGACATACAGTTTCACTTCGCGCCCAGCTCGGTCAACTCGGACGGCGATCAGATCCGCAAGATCACCGGGCTCCGAGACGCCGTGTACAACACTGTGTACAAACCGCTGATCAACTCGGAGACGTGGATGCTGCTGCCGTTACTGTTGCGGCCCAAGAGCTCCGGCTGGCTGCGGCTCAAGAGCAAAAACCCACTGGTGTACCCGATCATCGAGCCCAACTATTTCGCGCACCCCGACGACGTCCGGGTGCTGATCGAGGGCATCCGGATCGCGTTCAACGTGTCCAACACGGCCGCGTTCCGCAAATACAGCTCCAGGCCGCTGTTGACGCCCATGCCCGGTTGCCGGAAGTACGAGCTGTTCAGCGACGAGTACTGGGAGTGCGCTCTCCGGCACTTCACGTTCACCATTTACCATCCGGCGGGTACGTGCAAGATGGGTCCCGCCACCGACCCCACGGCCGTCGTCGACCACCGACTCCGGGTGCACGGCGTCAAAGGTCTCAGGGTCGCGGACGCGTCCATGATGCCGAACATAATCAGCGGCAATCCCAACGCGCCGGTCATAATGATCGGCGAGAAGGGCGCTGACATGATCAAAGAGGACTGGGTTTTGAGCGGTTTTTAGTGAAAACGGTTATAATTATTTATAATGGTTTTTTCGTGTTCCCGTATTGTTCGTGAACGACAATTGGTTTTTTGTTTTTAATTTGTTGACATTTGCTCCAATCTACTAGCTAAATTCCGTTTCACTTGCAAAAGGTACGCTGTAAATTGTCGGTCACCAGAAAACTATACCCTATAAGTCTGTCGTGAATTAATGTAGAAGAAGGAACGCGAAAGTCCACGCATTGTTGTAAAATTGTATTATAAACTTACGGATAACATGCACGGAGGAACGCATTATGTTCAAAGGATAATTGTCTTCGGCGAACGCATTTATTTCGATCCGGATGTTTAACGAAATCCGTGTAAATACTTGAATGTACATATTATAAATTCGATGGAATGAATAAACATGTCCGTGATGCGCACCGAGAGGACTATAGTGAGATGAAAGTATTCGAGATATTCCCTATGAACGGCGAAATGTAAATAATTATTATTGTTTCGATATTTATTCACGGTGTACGCGGAATTCAGGCGAGTTAATTTATAGTTAAATATCACGCTGAAAACGTATTAAAATTGTCGGTTATTCGTTAAAACACGGAAACACGTGTAACGTACGACAGAACATTTTCGTGTTCTCTTATTTTATAAATCACGAAGAATTTATTATTTATTTTTACTATTATATAAGTAGAGTTTGTTACTTTTTGTTATTATTATTATTAATTTTTTTTTTTTTTTTTTTTGTGTGTTTTATCGCGGTCTGTTAATATTGTATAATAAGTGTATAAATCGCCCGGGTAATTAATAACGAGCTCTCTTATACCTCAAAACCGGTCCACCGCAGAGCATAGTCGTTTTATAATTTATTCTTTCTTTATATTGAACATGTCATTACTATATTGCCGGTATAATAATAATGTTTATTAAAAAAAAAAAAAAAAACCGTACTGAAAGTGAGTTATAAAAATGTCAGAGGCACGATGAATATAAAATCATCCTTCACGAGCCTATAGGCTTTACATGCACGCATTTATATTGTATTATACAGGGTGATTATTTTTCGAACCGCAAAACATCTGAAATCTTGAATTGCATTAACATTTTTTTTTTTTTTTATTATTATTATTGGAAACTTTATAATACAATAATTAGCTTCGACAATTAATTTAGTATAATTTACATAATAACGTTACACAAAAGGAATACAAAAAGAAATTTTAATTTTAAGACCAGACTGGTTGACGAAGTAGATTAAAAATATTAACGTTATTTGAATATTTTCATGTCCGGGATATTTAGAATACTTACCCCTACGTACACTCAATATTCTCAAATTGTATACATGTACCGACTATTTCGATTTTAAACTGCGTATCATTGAGTTTTTGGGTGAAATACATTTCGGTGCTGATATTTTCTATTACGATGTGATATTCCAACGGCATCTAGAAGCCTGGCGTTGTGCGTTAAAAAAAAAAAAAAATCACCCTGTATGAGTAGGTATTACTAATCACATTACGTCATAATAAGAATTGAGAGGAACTGTAATTTTTCACTCGTGATCGATTATTTATTTTGTAACACTTCGATATTATTCAAATGTGCTTTTATTATTTGTTATCATTTTTTTTATTATTATTATTATTATTATTACTGTTATGTATTTTAATAAAAACGATGCTTACACATAGAGTTTAATTTCAATTGTTATACATTCATCATTGGAATTTCTTATAGCTTTTTACATACCTAACGTTATATTATTAAATTTAAATTTATTCATAATTATTATTAAGTTATTCCTATTATGATAATGTAGTGCAAGCGTATTGCGTAGGTAGATAGGTATACATAATACACGCGTCATTATTCGAATATTTAAATATTGTGCTATTGGGTAATCGTAATTTTGATTACTATTATTATTATTATTATTATTTTTATTTTTTTTTTTTTTTGACTAACTTATTTTAATCTAGAAATTGTTTCTTTCTCTACATGTGCAGTAGTCATATATTATTTGTAAACGCATTTTTGTATCGAATATATAATGTACAAGGCAAGTTATTTATTTTGTACAGGTACGTATTATACGTATACGCTGCAGAGGTATTATACGAGTATAATAAAATGCATAGACTCGATTTTGTATTAATATTACGCTTACTTTATGTATATTTACGTTTGATAAGAGTGTTTGACGAAACATAAACATGTACGGGATTTGCCGGCTCCCCATGTATGATTGTGTGTCAGAAACAATTAAATCGTACACGCGGTGTAACCACGGAATTTTCGGATGATAAAAGTGAAAACACTCGCAATTAGGTACCATACGGCCAGTTTTCGTTGTTATTGTCACATCTGGCGTCTACAATAAACTCTCACGGATCAATAATAACCGACGAAAAAGGATTATCTTTTTAGGCCGTGGATAACGCGTTTATTTGTACGATTAGTACATTATTATTAAATATTATATTTTACAATTTTTTTTTTATCATTGTTCCTGGTGTATCCAAAACTATTTGTTTTACGCTTCAAAATATCGAATGTCGCGAGAGTAACAACATTATTTTGCCGCCTACACGGTAGTTTGACCCGGGGTGGAAAAAAAATTAAGTACGTACACAGACGCAGAGTATACCTATTCTGCAGTCATCTGTCTGAACGCCATATGGTAGGTACCGTCGAAAATTCAAAGATTCGCATTTAAAAAAATAATGGGACAAAATCCCCAAACAATAAGGACGACGACAATCGACTGCTACGCGTAGAAAACCGTACCGCAGTTGTCATATACAGAGTGATTTATATAACATATTGTATCTTGAACCAACTATAATTATCTGTGTGTAATATGAAGATGTCGAGTATACCTGTTTGAGTTTGATTTTTGTCGTCAATTAGTACAGAGTAGTTCAACGACTTTGTGTGATTACGATATTTTCAAAATTTTCTTGTTTTCATTAAAAACAATCTACGTGTTTAAAATTCACGTACGAAAAGAGAATACTTTTCGAAACATTTTTTAATCGATTCCATATATAATATCAGGGGCGATTAAACGGGAGGAATGAGACAGGGGAGGGTATATACCCCATGACTTTTTCGCCTTTTTATTAGGTTGTACATAATTGTTAAAAAAAAAAAAAAAAATGTTAACGAACCAACCTCGTCCTCCCTACTCCCGTGACAAAATCACTTGTAAACCTAACCGCATAATATTATACTATAACGTAGTTTCCGGTTTGGATTTTAAACTGGCCGTTATTATAACGGTCATACATCCGAGATATTTTGTGTAAGTAAGTATTATAGGCGTGTCGAAATTTTTCGAAAATTATTCTCCATTCAAATGCCGGTATATTTTTATAATCGCGGTTAACGTTTCTCAAAAGTTTTCGGTATACAACGGAATAAGTACATTTCATAGTAATATAATCGCTCTGTATTATGTCCTCGCGCGGATACCGTCGGTCGACACAATAACAATACTACCTAATATAATAACACCGGTGAACAACGAAAAATATTATACTAGAGTGCTACACGTATATTAAGTACTGAAGACACGCATTTCGCATTGGACTCGTATATTATTTCGGTCGCTATCGTCGTGTTGTTTTATCAGACCGAGTGGTTTTTACTTTCGTGCGCGGGTATACACCTACCAATGACTACCTACCTACCTACCTACCTACCTACCTACCTAGAATATCATGTGCCGGCTGTGTGTCGACTTTCTAAAGGACAAAAAAAAAAAACTCATCCGTCCGGCGTGTCTATCGTCCTGCATTATCGCGCGGAGAACCATCACGGCGACGATGAGCGCTTTGATGCGTCCGACGAGTGTGTCATTCGAATAGCGACGGATTTTTATTTATTTTTTTTTATTACTATTATTATTTTTTGTCCGTACACACCTATTGTAGGTTTAAGACGTGTGTGTTATGATTATTGACACGAGACCGAAAACAAATCGATATTTACTTTTAGATTTTAGGCGGAGCGGATATAATATGTGTGTGTGTGTGATTTTTGCTAACGTATACGAACGAAAAAGACTTTTTTATTGCTCGGATTGAAAGAATTCACGAGAAATTTCTCGTACCTAGTGAATTTTGTTAAATCAAATTGCTACGTCGGGACAGTGGAGCACACTAAAAATTGAACTGGACTAACAAGTTAAATGACTAAATAGTATACTACCTATCAATCACCAAATTGTTCCGAATTTCACCAATTAGTTCTTCTTTTTCTCATTCGCCTTCATTCCAACTATTTAGTATCGGTCATCATCGCGTTCTAAACTTCCACTTGACCCGATCTCTCACTTGGTCATACACGGCTGTCCTGATCTCATTCTCAATCGCATCCAACCACCTCTTTTTCTGTCTTCCTCTCCTCTTATTTTCTGCTACGTTTATTTTCATTACCTACTACTTTAGATTACTATCTTCTCGTAACATTTCCATCTCAATCCATTTTTTCTCCTTTTATTTACTATCTATGATTTATTTGCATCAATCAGTTATTAGCATTAACCGAGCTATAATCTATAGTTATTAATTTGTACAATTGATTTCTATATGATTTCTGTATTTTTTAGGTTAGGTAATACCATTGCCCCCCAAAAAAGCGTAACGGTTACCAAACAGGCCTGGATTAAAAAAGAGGCGAGGATCCTAACCCCGAGTTACAAGGCAAAAGAGCCATAATGTTTCGTCTCTTTTTTTTTTTTTTTTTTAATTTTTTAAGATTTCGAGTGTGGCCAAGATGTTATTAGGTTTATACAAATTTGATTTTTTTGTTTTTTCTAAGAAAACGCTTTCAGTTGGAAAAAAAATGCGGAACTGTCGTCTGATCCTTTTTTTCATTTTTTGAAACTACAAATACTTCAATAAATAATATTATACTGTTATAATACGAATAAGATGTCTACTACGAAAAAATACACACTGAATAAAAATAAATAAATTTGAATTTAAAACAAAATTAATTTTGTAGACGGATTTTGCCAAGACTAATGATCCCAATCCCAAAATTTGTTAGTATACGCCACTACACCGAGGAGGTAATTATTGTTGAAATTCCTATAATATACTCCTGCATTAATATAATAATATTATATTCTTCGTCATAAGTGTAACATTGTAATATTGTTTAACCAAACAATATTAACGATACTCCTGTTATGGAACAGATCTGATATTTCGAACATTGGGTCCCGTCGGATTTTTAATATTTCCATAATGAAGACTCAATTTTTGAATTTCCGACTTTTCGTATTCTGAACATATATTTCAAAAACTTCAAACACAAGGGTCACCGACAGTTCGGTCGAAGAAAAAATAAATGCGTTATTATTTCACAACCCCCCCCCCCCTCAGCATTTGGAGTTGTAAATTTATAATGAATAAATTAAAATCACGAAAAGTCGTTAATAATCACGCATGGACGAAATGAGTAAAAAAAGAAAATATTATTAATAAGGTTCGGATGTTGTACGCATTCAATTTTTTTCCTGATATTTAAGGTATGTCAACTATGAATTTATTTCATATACTATGTTTGATTAATACAAGACATTTTGTTTTGATTATTTTGCTTTTTCGATTATTATTTCTTTTTTAATGCTTTTTTTACTTTTTCAGAATTATAAATAATAATTATTTATTTATTATTATAAGTGGGTTTTTTTTTTTCAAAATTTTCGTTGTTTTTTTTCGAATTTTTACTGCTTTTTTCAAAATTAAGTTCGGCTGCATAACACCCGAACTTCGTACGTTACGCGTAATACGATAAAATCGCAAAAATTAATAATTATTGTTTCCGCGTCGACGCACACGACGGTTGACGGGTCATCGGATCACGCGAATCGAAATGTTATTACGTGGCCGAAATAAGTTTTGCAACGCGGTTCCGGTCTCGACGCCAATAATAACAAGCGATAGGAATGGCTGGTGTTGCGCGCCGAAAACGGAATTTCCGACTTTCTAAAAACCCGTCGGCGTCGGACGGTACGGTTCCGAAAGCACGTATACCGGGTGCACATCGCGGTCCGGTCACGTACGCTTGTCAAACACACGCTCGAAGTAAAAATATCTTATATTTTATTAATCTACCGCGGCCGTGGTCGTGCCCGCCGTCGCGTGACGTCCGTGTAACCGTACAACAATCGCGCGGTAATCGTGTGCGTTATATTTATATATATGTGTGATATCGAAGAAGAGACGAGACTGAACGAAAACAATGAAAAACCGTTCAAAATATACGGTTCGGTAAGACGCCAAAAAGAAAACCCTCCCTGCGGCGGTGAAACACCGTCATGTTGTTAAAGGCGGTTATTTACTATACGCGTTTTTATATTTGTACTGGTTGCTAATAGCTAATAGTTTTAGTGCGCCCCGAATCGTTTCCAATGACCGAACGATTCTATACGCGACGTTTTATTTCGCACGTTTTTGTATTTTCGGACGTTCAGAGCAAATACTGTAAAGAATTCGTACGTTTTTAGAGCAGATTAATTAACGATTCCCGTACGTATTTAAGACATTTTCAACTCTACGAATAAATCATAAATAATTACCGAATCACGATAAATTACAATTTTAGGATTTCCATTTTTTTTTTTTTTTTTTTTTGAAGCCAAGAACAATTTACGAACCTCTTATTATATCGAATTTTCGAAAATTTATATTCGGCTACAAACCTCGTTGTAAAAAATAACAAAATATTTTTAAAATCACATCACTTCCAGACAACACGTTAATGTTAAGTATTCGATGAAAATCTCACGTTTATAATATAGAATTCATTATTTTTACCTACGCATTTTTGTGTTCTATTTCAATGCATAACACATATAATACGATTATTGCGCATTTTTGTTTACCTTTTAAGAGCTGACGGTAATAATAACGTCATTTTATTTTGCGATAAGTACGTTTGTACTCGTAGACATTTGAACATTATACGTTATTATCTCTGCGCGTAATAAATTAGAAATAATGATTGCGCATTTCAATGTTTAGGTCCCTATACGCGATCGCGTTGTCTTTGTGAACTTAATAATACTTTACACACAAAACAAATCTATAAATTAAAAAAAAATTAAAACAATAATAATAATACGCTCTTTTTTTTATTGTAATTTTTAAATTGTTTATTTCAATCGGTGTCTAAATATTTTGTATCTATTATGAATATTATGCAGGCAACTTATTGACGCTATATTATAATATAGGAGAAAAACAAAACAAAAATATTGTAACACGTTTCATTGTAGTGGTACACAAAACTGTCTATTATGAATTCATATTTTATTATCAGTCGTTACTATACCTACTGAAGCCGTACAAAAATGAATTATGAAATACTACACAGTTTGTTCGAATCATTAAATAATGCAAAATAATAGCGACATAATATAAATGCGTATTCTTGTACTAAT